AATTTGTTAAATGAAAAGAAAAGCGAATTTCATTTTAACTCTTAATACTTTATTATCTGTATAGAATCATTATATAAATATCAGGTACTTAGGTTTGACTTCTTGCAGAAAAGGGCCTAGGCCATGTTGATAATTCATTTAACAGTGGAGATTGGAGAGGCTATGAATTAGTCTGCTTGTATGGTATAATAGGGCGTCATGCAAATGAAACATTTTTAGGACTCTAATACATTTACTTATTGACACCATTGGAAGAAAAGTATATGACCACCCTGATTGATAGTAAGTACTGAGGCCAGGTGGTACATGGCCAAAAAATTACTGAAAATGAACTATGGATGAACACAGGAGTTTGAGATAGAATGCATACAATCTACTCTGGTTGTAAGAAGTGTGATAGTCAAAAGATTATATAGATTAATACCTAGTCAGGTCATAAGTATTGTCACACAGTAAAAACTTTTCTTTTAGAATGCTGGCCACAAAAAAGTTTATTGAATTCGAATTTCGAATTGTTCATGAAAATAAAAATGTATACTTTTTGAAATTTTACTCATTTTTAAATATGGAGTGGACGCTTAAAGAAGACCGTGTTGCAGTTATTGCGTTGCATCGTTGCGGTTACGCGCCAATTCAAATTTTTAACATACTGAAAAATTTGAATATAACCAAAAGATTCGTTTATCGTACCATCAAACGATACAATGAAGACTCTAGTGTAGATGACAGGTCAAGAAGTGGTCGCCCTCGGTCTGTTAGGACTCCAGCAGTGATAAAAGCTGTGAAGGCGCGAATTCAAAGAAATCCCAAACGTAAGCAGAAACTGTTGGCCCTTCAGATGGGGTTAAGCAGAACCACGGTGAAAAGGGTGTTAAATGAAGACTTAGGGCTTCGGGCATATCGAAGAAAAACAGGACATCGTTTGAATGCTCGTCTAATGGACCTGAGACTGAAGAGATGCCGCGCTTTGTTGAAGCGGTACGCGGGAAAAAAATATCGGGAAATTCTTTTTTCGGATGAAAAAATTTTTACCGTAGAAGAGAGCTACAACAAACAAAATGATAAGGTGTACGCACACAGTAGTGAAGAAGCGAGCAACCGTATTCCGCGTGTCCAACGAGGTCATTTTCCATCCTCGCTCATGGTATGGTTGGGAGTTTCTTATTGGGGCTTAACAGAGGTACATTTTTGTGAGAAAGGTGTAAAAACGAATGCAGTTGTGTATCAAAATACAGTCCTGACGAACCTTGTGGAACCTGTTTCTCATACCATGTTCAATAACAGGCACTGGGTATTCCAACAAGATTCGGCGCCAGCTCATAGAGCGAAGAGCACACAAGACTGGCTGGCGGCGCGTGAAATCGACTTCATCCGGCACGAAGACTGGCCCTCCTCCAGTCCAGATTTGAATCCGTTAGATTACAAGATATGGCAACACTTGGAGGAAAAGGCGTGCTCAAAGCCTCATCCCAATTTGGAGTCACTCAAGACATCCTTGATTAAGGCAGCCGCCGATATTGACATGGACCTCGTTCGTGCTGCGATAGACGACTGGCCGCGCAGATTGAAGGCCTGTATTCAAAATCACGGAGGTTATTTTGAATAAACTTTAGTGTCATAAGAATCTATGTTTTGTTAAGTTCATTTTGGTATATGAATGGTTACATAATGAATAAACTTGTTTCAATTATTTTACATTAAACATGTGACAGAATTTATGACCTGACTATGTATAAGATAGAGATAAAGGTCCCAATTTGATCACTGGTACATTAAAGGTCTTGAAGTGTTTGTACGAAAACACCACTATGTCAGTTTAATTACAGGACCAGGCTTCGGAACCCATGTTTCTGGAGTGAGATGTTATTTCTCTGGTTTTCAAAGCTTTGGACTGGAAAGGGAATGCTTAGCATTAACATCAACCGCGATTAATTAGTTCACCTTCGATTTGCCGACGACACGTGATTATGGCCGAGAACTTGGAGGATTTCAGTAAAACGCTCAGTGACCTCATAGGGCTCTGTGAGAGTAGACCTTGGTATGAATATGGACAAAACGAAAATTATGTCGAATGTCCATGTAGTGTCCAGTCCAGTAAAGGTCGGATGCTTTACGCTCGAAGCTATAGACGATGAGTTCGTCTACCTGGGACAAATTGTCCAACTAGGTAATAGGTCCAACTTCGAGAAAGAGATCAATCGTCAATTCCGATTAGAATGGGCAGCGTTCGGGAAACTGCGTAAAATCTTCTCATCCTAATTAACGCAGTGTCTGAAGACGAATGTCTATGACCAGTGTGTGGTCCGAGTGATGACATACGGCAGTGAGACGTGGTCGCTGACAATGTGCCGTATCAGAAGGCTTAAAGTCACTCAAATAGCAGTGGAGAGGGCTATGCTCGGAGTTTCCTTGCGAAATGGAATCAGGAATGGGGAGATATTCAGAAGAACCAAGGTAACTGACATAGCCCGAAGGATTGCAAGATTGATTTGGCAGTACGCAGGAAACATTGCTCGTAGAGCAAATGGCCGCCGGGGCCGAAAAGTTCTTGAGTAGCGACCGCGCTCAGGAAAGTGCAGCGTGGGTAGGTCCCCCACGAGGAGCACAGACGAGCTACTAAAAATCATGGGAATCCGCTGGATGCAGGCTGCGCAAGACCGACTATTGTGGCGTACCTTGGGGGAAACCTATGTCCAACAGTGGACGTGCATGAGTCAAAAAACAAAAATCAGTAGACATAGTCTTCACATATCACAATTAGTATTTAATTTGATTTAAATTACACATATTTAATATAATTAAGATGGTTAATTGTCGACAGTCATTAGCATAGTCATTATTGTATCCTATTTGTGATCACATTAGGTGGACCTGTATAATATCAAAACATCCGACCATGTTAATGTCTTCTGTTCTATTTCTGAATCAGTTCCGCTTTTTTATAGCGAGCATAACCACCGGCATCAGCTGCTCTATAAATTCGCAAAGCAACAAAAAAACAACAAAAAGCAAAGTGTACAACTTGAAGTTAACAGTTGAAATATTGCTTTTATTCTTATGAATGTGTATGTTCGTATGAAGTATTTGGTAATTTATCTGTTCTGTGAGCAGTCACACTGAATTAGTCAAGTCTTTAAAGGCATGCAGAGAAACACGTTCATTATCAAGCTAACAATACAGATTACATAGTTTATGAGTCACAAGGCTGTGTGACGTAATCGCGTCTGATGTCAAGTGTAGCCCGACCTTTGGCTTAAAATTATTGTAGATGAAAGGAAGTTTTTTTTTTTCTATATTTAGTAACTAGGTGACCCGGCGAACTTTGTTCCGCCTTAGAGGCAATAAATGAGCAGACTTTTGATTTTATCAATATCAATTTTTTATTTGGATAATTAATGTAGATTAAAAAAGCAAGTATTTTAATGATACTTTATTAGCCATGTATTTTAGTTGTTATTATTATTATATTTTTATTTCTTGTTTTTCTTCAGTCCTTTCACTCGCAATGTTTCGAACCCTAGTTGCATTACGGCTTCGTCGGGAACGACTTGATCGTGTTGGTCGCGCCATGGCTTTATTACCTATCTCGGCACAATAAGCTAATAGAAACTCGAAAAAAACACATTAACCGGTCATCTTCAAAATTCTACTTTAATTAACCATAGACTACATTACGTTTAGCTGTCAGTAGCGTTTTGTTATTCCATATCAGTTGCGTTTTGTTATACCACGTTTTATGTCACGTGATAAAAAGTATCCTATGACCTTCTCCTGGCTCTAAGCTACCTCCCCACCAATTTTCAGCCAAATCAGTTCAGCCGTTCTTGAGTTATAAATGGTGTAACTAACGCGACTTTCTTTTATATATATAGATTACTAAAGATAGAGTTTGGGATAATCGTTTGAATATCGCTAGCCCTAGAAATCAACTGTCTTTTCTGAAATAGTAATTCATACTGCATAAAGTTACGTCGCTTTCGGTATCATTCGTTGATAAGATAGTAATTATCAAATAAAAAATTTGTTACCTAACAGAATCGTTACTCTGTTTGTATATTATAAATGTTAGAGGTATAATAGCCCTTTAATTGTTCATGTTTATTTTCGCTCATAGTTACATAATATTTGCATCGGTTTTCACGAGTCGAAGTCATAATTCTAAACTATTTTGGCTGGTTAATCTCGCCGTTTTTTATTGTTGTTTCATTATTTCCTATATTTCGAATACTGTACAATTTTCGTGGTCACTGGCGAACGAGCACGTTGTTGTTTAGGTAATTTTAAATCTAAATATTTTGTTATTGAACAAACAAGATGTGGGTGCGTTTAGATATGTTTAATATTAATTTTCTAACAACATTAGACAGGGACTTGGCTGTGTGCTTGGCATCGCTGATGTCCCTGAGCGACGGGTATCAATCACTGCTCATTACTTGTCATATGCGTCTTCTATAGACGCCGTTTGAAAAAAAAACGTACATACATTATGTATGTTAACTTTGTACTTTGGCGTCTGGTAAATTAAATTAATTGAGAAAGAAAGTTAATTTTTATTTTTATCATTAATCTTTAAGATCGTTGAACATGTATTTTTCAAAACTTAAAAATCATAATACATGTATCATATTATGGAAATCTTCGTAAGCAAATTGACCAAGTGATATCGATCCTACAAGTGGAATGTATTGATTCGGTACTAACGATTTCTCGTGTAACGTTGCTGATGAAGTGTTGAAATGCGCATAGTTGTTGCTCGACATACGTGACAAAATTCTTAAAATGCATAATTTATCTATGTATATGTACTTACTATTGAAGATTTTGTGTGCGACGTTGTAATACATAATATAAATACATATTATTATGAATAAATAAATTCGTTTTATATTTTATCGATATTTTTCTTTATTAACTCACTTCCTTCTAACTGGTGTATTCATAATCATATTAATTTTAGAACAAAATATTTGTTTTATTGCAGTTGAATCGACGTATCCATCATGGAGCAGATCCCACCACCGAAAGAGGTGAAGATCCTCGAAACAGCAGAGGACATTCAGGAGCGTCGTGAGGAGGTCTGTTTGCAGTATTCATTTAAATTTATCACACGTTTTTCTTACTGGTGGTAGGACCTCTTGTGAGTCCGTACGGGTAGGTACCACCACTCTACCTATTTCAGCCGTGAAGCAGTAATGTGTTTCGGTTTGAAGGGTGAGGGCAGCCATTGTAACTATACTTGAGACCTTAGAAATTATATCTCGAGATGGGTGGCGCATTTACTTTATAGATGTCTATGGGCTTCAGTAACCACTTAACACCAGGTAGGCTGTGAGCTCGTCCCCCATTTAGGCGATAAAAAAAAAAGAATCTAGTGTTATAGAATTTTTTATTTATTTAAAATAGGGCATTTGATTGCTTGGATTTTATTTTTGTACCTATGTCATTATCATAAGGCTTCCTAACACGGGTTACATTCTCAGAATATAATTTAACCAAGTTTGCTCATATACACCAACAGATCACAGTGAAGACGCTACCAATGGCTATGAAAATTTATTGAAACTTTTTAGAAAATTGTGATGTGGTAACATTAAGATAATATGAGCTTGGAGAAAATCTCTCGAGATTCAAAATTCACTCTTAATAAAACTGATATCATTCAGATTTAACTTTTAAAGTTTTATCATCAGTCACAAGATTAAATAGTGGATAGTTGATTAAACTTGAATGTACAGAGCATATTGTCAATCATTTGCGATTTTCATTATCTTATAGTCTCTTTATGGTATGGTCATATGTGAGTTTATAAGTAACCAGATGATGACCGAGCTTTGCTCGGTTTTTTTTTTGATAACGCCATCTTGTTGTGTCTTTAAAGCGGTTAGTTGCCCTCAATTAAGAAAAATAGTATTATTATTCGCCAATAGATATCGGGAAGAGTTGATTATTAAGAACAAGAATAAAACATTTTCTGAAAATACATTGTAGCTAGATCGATTTATCGCCCCCGAAATCCCCTGTATACTAAATTTTATGAAAATCGTTGGAGCCGTTTCCGAGATTCAGATTATATATATACAAGAATTGCTCGCTTAAAGGTATAAGATATATTTGCCAATGGTGTCTTGAGCAGTTAATTGTCAGATCACCTATTAGTGACGATTTTTATTCTTGTTTACCAAAAAAAGATATTGTTCTAGGTTTTGAACCGCTATGAAGAGTTTAAGCAGGAAGCCCGTGCCAAACGTGAGAAACTCGAGGACTCCCGTCGCTTCCAGTACTTCAAGCGTGATGCTGATGAACTCGAGTCGTGGATTCAGGAGAAGCTTCAGGCCGCCAGCGATGAGAGCTACAAAGATCCCACCAACCTTCAGGTATCTATACTAATAATATTATAAAGAGGAAAGATTTGTTTGTTTGTTTGTTTCGAATAGGCTCCGAAACTACTGGACAGATTTGAAAAATTCTTTTTCCATTAGAAGCCGACATTGTCCCTGATGAACATAGGCTACTTTTTAAAAAAAAAAAAATATTTTATTTTTTTGGTTTCATGTGTGTTTTAATGTTTCCGAAGCGAAGCGAGGGCGGGTCGCTAGTATATTATATAGGTTCACCGGAATACAAGAAAAAATTACGTTTACAGAGTTAAAAGGGAAGAAAAAGGCTAGATCTTCAAGATTGACGAACAGAGAGCAGCATTCTTTCAATATTTTAGCAGTTTAAGCTAGATAGCCTTGAGAGGCGGCTATTTCAGCGTAACCTTAACTAGTAGGTGAGCTCGTGGGGCTCAAACCTGAGACGTTGCTAACACGAACCCTAGGCAAGAGCAGTGCTTCGCAGAATCTACTACCGTATCGGAAACGCGACCCACTGAGAAGATCCGGCGAGAAACGCAGTGGGCTGTGTCTGTGGGTTAATTTACTCGTCGAGCCCTTCGTCGCAAGCGACGGGTTCGACGAGAACGGTGACGGGTGCTTGAGGTACTTAAAAGCACCGTTAGTGGATCGGGAGGATCCGAAATGACAGTGATCACCAATCAGCATTGACTGGTACAACTACCCTGTCAACTTACGTTGCGAAGCAGCTGTTTGTTCTGGTTTGAAAAGTTCTAAAGCTGTTAGAATATACAATTCACCCATCTATGTTATAAAAAAGTAACTGGAATAAAATTTCAGGGGCACAAATCACCAATTATTTAACAATTGTCAGTACTATACGTGTATTTTCAATTCACTCAGGCGAAAATCCAGAAACATCAAGCATTCGAAGCGGAGGTAGCTGCGCACTCCAATGCTATTGTAGTTTTGGACAACACCGGGTCAGAGATGATAGCTGCGGGACACTTCGCTTCGGAGACCATCCGTCGGCGCTTGGACGAACTACACCGTCTCTGGGAACTGTTGCTGTCCCGCCTCGCCGAGAAGGGCATGAAGCTGCAGCAGGCGCTTGTACTGGTGCAGTTTCTGAGGCACTGCGATGAAGTCATGTTCTGGATTCATGACAAGGTGAAATAAAATATATTTAAAAAAAACTTAGGCGTTTTGCTGCCACTGATGATCAATAATAGTGGTGCTGTTATTTTTTTTTGACTCATGAAGCTTTGTTTGAACAGGAAACGTTTGTGTGCGCGGATGAGTTCGGTTCTGACCTGGAGCATGTTGAGGTGCTTCAGCGCAAGTTCGACGAGTTCCAGAAGGACATGGCCGCCCAGGAGTACCGGGTCACTGAAGTCAACCAGCTGGCCGAGAGACTCGTACTCGAAGGACACCCTGAAAGGGAAACCATCGTCAAGAGAAAAGACGTAAGTAGTTTTAAGTTCCTTTTGTATGATGACAAACACAATTATACATAGAATATTTTTTAAATGGTACGGATTTTTTTCTTACATCAGGAGTTGAACGAAGCCTGGCAGCGCCTGCGTCAAATGGCACTCATGCGTCAAGAACGTTTGTTCGGAGCCCACGAGATCCAGCGCTTCAATCGCGATGCCGACGAGACCATCGCCTGGATCTCGGAGAAGGATGCCGTGCTCGGATCCGACGACTACGGGCGCGACCTGGCTACCGTGCAGACGCTACAGGTACACCCTGGGATGTCCACGTACTGTTTCTAATAAACTAATGCAACTCACTGACTGTCGTTGACAGAAGTGCTTGCAATGTAGAAAAAGGTGTACCATAGCTTCTTTTCTCTTAATTGTATTTGTTATTGGCTACTATTCTATAATTTCTAATGATGGCGCCACTGTTACAGCGCAAGCACGAAGGAGTAGAGCGCGATCTGGCCGCGTTAGAGGACAAGGTGTCGGTGCTGGAAGGAGAGGCCGTCCGCCTGGGGGCCATCCACGGCGCGCACGCCGACGCCATCAGCGCCAAGCGCGACGAGGCGCACGCGGCCTGGCAGCGCCTGGTGCAGCGCGCCGCGCACCGCCGGCAGCGCCTCGAGGCCGCGCTCGCGCTGCACCGCTTCCTGGCCGACTACCGCGACCTGCTCTCCTGGCTCGCAGACATGCGGGCGCTCATCGCCGCCGACGACCTCGCCAAGGACGTGCCCGGGGCCGAGGCTCTGCTCGAGAGGCACCAGGAGCACAAGGTATGTCATTTGATCAATCAACCTCTGAGGGAATCGTTGAATGTACGAACGCAGCGAATGCCTTTTTTAAATAACTATAACTAATTAACTATCCCACTGTCGGAATGCAAAATATAAATAAATAGAAAAGAAAACACTCTTAATTTTTGGAACTTTGTGTATCATAAGTGTATGATGATTGTATAAATAAAATACAGGCTTGAATAATGAATATTTGCGTTTATTCTTATTTTATTATTTTAAATTACAACTTGCCATGAACGGGGCTAAAAAGTTGGAACGGAAGAGAGGGTAGCCAAGCGCCAAACTTAAAATTGGCAACTTAGTTAAAACTTAGGTGTTACCATTACAATATTACAATATAATTCTAATGTTCATATTTTGATTGAACAATGATTGTAAAAGTGAATTAAATTTCAGGAAATTTATAACATAACATCCTTAAATAAAACCTCAGAATTTAATTTCAGGAAATTAATAACATAACATCCTTAAATTAAAACCTCAGAATTTAATTCACCCAAAAATATGAAAATGACATGGTCAACTGTCCACATAGGGCGAGATGGACGCGCGCGCGGACGTGATCGGCGCGTGTGCCGTGGCGGGGCAGGCGCTGGTGGCCAGCGAGCACCACGCGGCGGCCGACGTGTCCGCGGCGCTGCACACGCTGGAGCGGGAGGCCGCAGCGCTGCAGCAGCTGTGGGAGCAGCGCCGCGTGCTCTACCTGCAGTGCATGGACCTGCAACTCTTCTACCGCGACACTGAACAAGCCGACGCCTGGATGCACAAACAAGAGGTATTTAAAAAAAATAAAAAAAATAAAAATCATTTAATTCCGACCATTATAAGTCCATATGTTGTTATTAGAGTAATACTTATTACTACATATGTTAGTAAAATTAAAATTAAAATTAGCAAAATTATTATTACTAAAGATTTCATAACAATTAATAGAGGCTTCAGTTAAAACATTAATATACACATATAAAAAGCAATTATAAAGATTTTTTTTCAATTCTGGTGCACATTGTAATTGCAATATTTTCCACAGGCTTTCCTTGCGAACGAAGATGTAGGAGACTCTTTAGACTCCGTGGAAGCTTTGCTGAAGAAACACGAAGACTTTGAAAAGTCACTCGCCGCGCAAGAAGAGAAGATCAAGGCCCTAGACGAGTTCGCTACCAAACTTATTGAGGGCAACCATTACGCCGCCGACGATGTCGCACAAAGACGAGAGATGGTATGCCGTGTGTTTTATATTCTATAGCCAATACTGATATTTGTTTGCACTGACTTTTTGGCGGGAGCGCGAAAAGTGAAGTTGTGTGATTTGTTTTATTTTGTCTATTTAGTGTTTCTTAAGATTTAAATGTGTAATAACGGTGGTTTATTATCTGTTTAATATCTGTGAAAGTCCACAAATGTGGGAAAATGAAACAAAGCCTCTGGACGTAACTACTCGGGATCCTCTAAAAAGTTCACTGAAAAAATCTCAGTAAATGACCACCATTTTACTAAGATTATATTTCATCCCATATCATCTCATTTCATTTAATTTCATCTCAGTTGATTAATGTCCCAAATTAATCATCTTCATTTAATTTCACTCCATATTATCATTTTTCATAAAAATAAGAATATTAATTAAAATAAGACATGACTTAAAGGTCTTAGTGAAAGTGAAAGGTCATAAAATCCCTTAAAAAAATTTGTTTGCACTTAATAATCTATAAACTTTGGTCAATGTCAGTTGTTGGAGCGTCGTGCGGCTTTACTAGAGAAGTCGAACCAGCGCCGCGCTCTCCTCGAAGACGCCTACAAGTATCAACAGTTCGAACGCGATTGTGATGAAACTAAAGGTAAACATGCGTATAGTATAGCACCATACTGTTTCAACAAAAATCTTGTTAAAGACAATTAATTTATTTGCTGTAATTATTTCAGGCTGGGTAAACGAGAAGCTGAAGTTCGCCACCGACGACTCGTACTTGGATCCGACCAACCTGAATGGCAAGGTGCAGAAACATCAGAACTTCGAACAGGAGCTGCAGGCCAACAAGCCTCGCGTCGACGAGATAACGGCCGTCGGCAAGCGTCTGCTTGAGCTCGAACATTTTGCTCAACGTTAGTACTACTGTAAAATTTTTATTTTATTTTTTACTAGCTGACCCGGCAGACTTCTTAGTGCCTCAATCGATAAATAAAAGACCTAAACTTTTGTTAAAAAATAAACTTAAAACAAACAAAAGGAATCCGTCCCACAGGGGACACATCAGAGGAAAAACAAAATTGTTATTTTTATTTAATTCCGTGCATTTTCATATTTATCTAACCTTTTAAACCTTCCCTGGACTTCCACAAATAATTCAAGACCAAAATTAGCCAAATCGGTCCAGCCGTTCTAGACTTTCAGCGAGACTAACGAACAGCACTTCATTTTTATATTTATTTTTTATTTATGTTTTACTGTATTATCACGAATCGTTTATGACACGTACAGCTCAAATATCGTCTCGCGTGGAAGAGCTGGGCGGAATATGGGAGCGACTGGTGCAGTCTTCGGAGCTGAAGGGAAACAAGTTGCAGGAAGCGGCTCAACAACAGCAGTACAACCGGGCCGTCGAGGACATTGAACTTTGGCTCTCGGAAGTTGAAGGACAGCTGCTCAGCGAGGACTACGGGAAGGTACACGCGCGCGCAGATGCTTCCATTATATTTAAACGCAAAACATTTTAACTCTTTAAGTTTCCAAAACCACACTGCAAACAGGTATATAAGTCTCAAAACCACATAGTCAGCAGTGTCTATGTTTATTGGTTTTGTTAACAATTTAATATTGATTTGTTTTAATAAGACTATGTAAGTGTAACTGTCTGTCTGTTGTCGCGTAGGATCTGACCAGCGTGCAGAATCTCCAGAAGAAGCACGCGCTGTTGGAGGCCGACGTGAGCTCGCACGCCGAACGCATCGACGCCATACGGAACCAGGCCGAGCAGTTCATAGAGAAGGGACACTTCGACGCGGATAACATCAAGGCTAAGCGGGTCAGTGGAGCTAATCTTTTATTAGTACTTTGTGTTATTAGGCATGCCTCCCTCCCTATATCACATATCGATCACACCCATCCTTCAAAAGGGAAACGAACAAGTTAATTTTTTATCTTAGCGCATTGCTACTTGATAGTAGAACACGACTTGCTCTCAATATTCAATAAAGTAATGGCAGAGATGTGTTAGGGCTTTAAATACGGCGAGATTGTTACTGCGGAAAGTATTTGCAACAGCATTAGACTTGTTTGATTTTTAGCTGCATTTGACTAACTAAACTCATGCCTTTGAATGGAACGCAATAGTCCCGGCTACGAGCTGAAATCGAAAGCCGTGAACTGTAATAAAATAAAAATATTGTAACGTAAGACGTACGTAAAATTGTGAGTAACGTAAGACGTACGAAAAATTGGGAGTAACGTATTTTTAATCCTGCCTATGCTGATAGCCTTGAGAAGCTATTTCAGCTTCGCCCTAATGTGTTTAGGTGAGCTTACGGAGCTCAAACCGGAGTGTTGCTAACACTGACCCTAGCAAGAGCCGTGCTTCGCAGAAATTACCACCGGATCGGAAACGCGACCCACTGAGAAGATTCGGCGAGAAACTCAGTGGGCTGTGTCTATGAGTTAATTGGCTCGTCGAGCCCTTCGTCGCAATCGACGGGTTCGACGAGAACGGTGACCGGTGCTTGTGGTGCCTAAAAGCACCGTTAATGGATCGGGAGGATCCGTAATGACGTGCTTTAGGCGACGTCGACGGTTTACCATTCGGTGTGAGTAACATAAGACGTACTGCACAGGACGCGTTGGTGGGCCGATACGCGGCTCTGGATGCGCCCATGGCGGTGCGCAAGCGGAGGCTGCTGGACTCGCTGCAGGCGCAGCAGCTGTTCCGCGACCTGGACGACGAGGCCGCCTGGATACGGGAGAAGGAGCCCGTAATTGCGTCCACGAACAGAGGCAAGTTTCAAAGACCATCGATGTATTAATTTGTCGTAAGAAAATGGAATACAAGTAAGTCTTAAAGCGACTCCTTGAGCAATGAAAAATTAGTGATATACTTTTTGCGCTGTTCCACAAGAAATCTTAAATAGATTATAAGCAGATAATCTGAAGCATCACTTAACTATCCACTATAGCTAACTCTAAATAAAGACTAATATTAGAGTCGAGAGTTGCTGTTGCTAGCTGCAGCTGGTGATATCTTAAGAGAAGCATCGTCAGCTGTACCGCACAGGTCGTTGCCTCTTCCAACTGGAACGTATGACACAAAAATATACAGAATGTGGGCACTGAACTGTGCGGGCATAATGTGTACTCTACCTTTGAACACTGGCTCGCCTGTATAGTGCGCTACTGTAATATATGCTGCTCTGTTGGCTTGAAATACGAGAAATATCTAAATTAAATTATAAGAGCACCCTGTTGTGTAAAGGCTTTTTAACTTTTAACGTGGCTCCAGGTCGCGACCTGATCGGCGTCCAGAACCTTATGAAGAAGCACCAGGCCGTGCTGGGCGAGATGGCGCAGCACGAGGCGCGCGTGGAGGCGGTGCGGGCGGCCGGGGCTGCGCTGCGGGACGCCGGACACTTCGCCGCCGCCGACATCGCCGCCAGACTCACGCAGCTCCGCGACAACTGGACACAGCTGCAGGAGAAGGCGCTGCAGGTACACGCAAGCACTCTACACTTGTAATTTGTTGACAGCCAGTAATACATTATGCCTACGTTTTTACTTTTGCTACACGTGAGCCAGTCACTGCCGAGAGGAACCACCTACGGCCTACCCCTTCTTGCGCCCGAAGACGTATCATTCGTAGTATTATACTTTGATAAAAATGTTAAGTGACTCTTGTGGTTTTTTATTTTTATCACTTTAAAGAAATGGAAAAAAAAATTATAAAAAAAGTATACTATGATGATTTAATCACTTTATGTAACATGGAATCCAGTGATTCTTTAAGTAAACAATCCTATTTTGCATACAAACAGCGTAAACAAGACCTCGAAGACTCTCTTCAAGCTCAGCAGTACTTTGCTGATGCCAACGAAGCTGAATCTTGGATGAGAGAGAAGGAGCCCATCGCCTGCACCCAGGACTACGGAAAGGACGAGGACTCCTCTGAGGCGCTGCTAAAGAAACACGAGGCCTTGCTGTCTGACTTGGAAGCTTTCGGGAATACCATCAAGTCGCTGAGGGAACAGGCCAATTCATGCAGAGTAAGTTTATAATGAAACAGGGTTTTTGAAGTGAAACTTCTTTAGGCGCGTTGAAAGTAAAATGTAGTTTGCAACAGATTCGTTACGGCTGGAGCGAAAAGATATAATTTAGGACGAGCGAGAGTGAGAACATAGACCGTCTCACGAATCACTCGCCTTGGAGAGAGGGAGAAAACGAGCTAGGTCGTTTTTCTTATACAAATTTTGTTTATGGGCGTTGGCCACTAGATGGCTTGTTATTAGTTTCTTCATTGTTCCTGTAGATGGCACTAACATATTAACTATCTTATATTTTATTTCTTATGAAAGATATTAAAAAATACAAATTTTTCTATGTATAATTAAAAAAATATATAACTGTTGAAAAGGTCGTTTCTCTTATACACAGCAATGCCTTATTACAAGAGAAATTTGTAAGGATGTAAAATGAACAAAACCGTTCAGAAGTTTCAGTTCTTTCACGTGCACCAAGTTGCACGCGCAACATTTTATTTTGTTATTAATTCCAAAGCAGTAGCATGTCTGGACGCAAACACTAATACATAATGTAAATCAACCCTTGGACAGATTATAATATTTTAAAATTTGTATCATTGCTGTATACATTGCAAGTATAATGAGTAACAGTCGATCTAGTTAGACCAGCAGGGCGGCCGCTGACGGTCCCGTGTGTCCGCAGCAGCAGGAGTCGCCCGTGGTGGACGAGTCGGGCAAGGAGTGCGTGGCGGCGCTGTACGACTACGCGGAGAAGTCACCGCGCGAGGTCTCCATGAAGCGCGGCGACGTGCTCACGCTGCTCAACTCCAACAACAAGGTTCATCCTACACACCATCCTATTACGCTGACGTCCATGAGTGACGTTAACCACTTGCCATCAGGTGGGCCGTATGCTCGTCTGCCTGATGGAGCAATAAAAAATAAATATAAAAAAAACACGCTCACTCGGGCTCCACGTACCATCCATTCCAGTATGTTAATACTGTTACGGGCTGGGATTCGGCATAAATAACCATAATTTCTACTGAAGTATAATTTAAAACTGTATTAGCACTTAGAACACTTAAAACAGTTCAAAAACACTTTAAAATTCTCAATTCACTTCTTCCGCTTCAGGTAGTCCTTTCTCTATTTCGCTTAGAGTAGTTCCGATTACTAATTGACTGCGTGCCATCTCTGCAACGCTTTTATAGTCGATACGACATCCCTAGATTTATCGAGAACTTTCTGGGTAAGTCGAGTAGCTTTGAAGCGTGCTTCTGCTATCTGACAATAGATGGCGTTGTACTTCTCGAATTTTACTAGTACCTTCGATATTCGTTCGGCTATTCGGCGATAGATGGCGTTATTCTTGCCGGCGTAAAAATACTTTACGTTCTCTACTAGATGATTAAACACATTTGTTGGAGTCAATGACCTGCGTTCTGTTTAATTCAAGGACGTTCATATTGTTAGTTGTACGATTTAAATGTTCTAACTATTAAAATGAATAAATTTGACAACAAATGAAATCTCCAACAAAAACTCATTTGTTAAGTCTTAATGTGTTTTTTCGCGCCTTGTAAACTTCTCTTTACACAACTGTACGTAACAACAAAGTCAATGTATTAATTAATAAAGTATTTAAACATATTATTAGAGTATTACGCAAATATTAAAAAAATTGTAATGGCGTGGTATCGGTGAAATCATATGATATTCCTTATCTTTTGGAACCAATCGGTAAAACGTCTTGTGAGTCCTCACGGGTAGGTATCACCGCCCTGACTGTTTCTGCCGTGAACCAGTAATACGTTTCGGTCTGAAAGGTGGGGCAGCCGTTGTAACTATATTGAGACCTTAGAACTCATCTCAACGTGAGTGGCGGCTTTTACGTTGTAGATGTGTATGGGCTCCGGTAACCACTTAACACCAGGTGGGCTGTGAGCTTGTCCACCGATCTATGCAACAAAAAACAAAGTGCCATGTCGCGAAGTTAATCCTTTGTATTTATTGACCGTCGTTATGCACACAAAACTCGGTCGTTTGAATGGTCCCATACTGGTCCGATTTTGTCAGAACTGGTACAGCAGTGTGAGGAAGTTGTCATTAAACTGGTTAGCCGCTGATGCTAGTCGAAGGTGACCAGTTAATATAGCGCTCTTTGCCCTCTGAGAGTTCGTTTCCAATAGTATTTACAGAACACTCCCTGCAAAAAATGTACTGCTAATTATTTTTAAAGTTTATTGAAATTTTTTTACTTTTTAACATTCTATTCATATATATAAAAAAAAAATCGCCCAGATTTCTTATAATATATAAACTCGAACGTCCGCTACTATGAACGCGGCCTTATATTCTCGGCCAACCGTTATCTGCTTTGAACCGAACTCGTGTTTATGTAATCAATTAAATATCACACGTGAACCATTCGATAATCGTAACTCAGCGCGGACGGACGCAGACATTACGTGAAATATAGACGCTTGTGTGTTTTTCAAACACGAATCCGAAGTGAGGAACGAAAATGTAGTAGTGTAAATAGACGAGACTAACATTCTTTAGTGTGATGTGATAAAGTCTGTGATAGCTCCGTGATATTAGTTTAAGTATTAACGAAATGATAGTTTTTAGTTGGCTTATAATTTTGGTTGTCGGTAAGGTTTTTGTTAAAAGAAAACACAAACGTGACGTTACAAGTGTGAGTTTAATTTTATAGGATTTTGAGGTTTTATTAATAAAGTTTAAATTAAAAAGTTTGTGTTCGGAAAGACGTCAATTGTAATATGAAAATAATAAACATTAAATTAAGCAGTGCCTTTGTACATAATTTTCCTATTACTCTGTACTGTGTCTTGTTTTCTGTGTGTACATAAATAAATAAATAAATAAATTATAATTAAAAAGTGGCACCACAAGTAATACTTTGACTTAAAATTTTCACTTCACTCGTGTGTTTTATATAGTAATGATATCAATTGATTTTAAAATTTCATCTTAATTTTTTTTTTATCGTTGTCTAATTCTAGTAAAAAAGCGACAGTTTTATTTATAATGGATTCACATCTTATCGAGGAGATAATTTAATCTGCTTAAAAATAATCCTTTTATGTACTTGGAACAAGCGCATGGACCGTGTCATGATATAAACAAAGTCAAACATTTTTGATTGAATGAATCTTCATTCAATTCACAGGAATATAATATCGTAGAAAGCATTTTGTAATGATTATAAAAATTGTGGATTTAACGGTACTTACAGTTCCAGACGCTTAGGTTGTTCTAAATTAATATATTTAAGTCTGTGCTGCGAACTTAAACTAAAAATGTTATGAACGATGCTTTAGGACTGGTGGAAGGTGGAAGTAAACGACCGCCAAGGCTTCGTCCCGGCCGCATACGTCAAGAAGATCGACGCCGGACTGTCGTCCTCCCAGCAGAACCTCGCCGACTCCAACTCCATCGCCGCCAGACAGAATCAGGTGAACACACTTGCGCTCCCTTTACTGTAGTCTAATAGCAAAAATATAAAGAAAAAATTGTTGCGGAATAGCCATGTTGCTGTTTTTTTGAAGGTCTTTGGCACAATATGCAATCCTTTTATTGTTAAATTAAAGTAAAATTTAGTAATTGTAACTAATATTTTTTTTTAAATTTCGCTCCATTTTTTTTATTGCTCTTGTAAGCAGACGTTTATACGGCCCACCTGATGGTGAGTGGTTACTGTCGCGCATGGTCTTCAACAATGCCACTGGCAGAGCCAAGCCGCTGCCTACCAAAGTTGTATTTTTGTACTCAATGTGTTGTTTTTGTAATCAAAAAGTGTAGTGTCACGAGTATCATGCTTCATTTATTATGTTTGAAAATACTTGTGTTGTTTTAGTAGTATAACAATAAAAGATTGAGAAAGTGTCGGTCAGGTTCATCACGTTGCCCAATTGGAATTAGAGGAGTAGTACATATATCAGTTTCCACATATAAAAGTTTGGTCGTGGTTCCGCCCGGACAGATCGAGTCGCAGTATGACAACCTGCTGGGGCTGGCGCGCGAGCGGCAGAACAAACTCAACGAGACCGTCAAGGCCTACGTGCTGGTGCGGGAGGCGGCCGAGCTCGCCACCTGGATCAAGGACAAGGTACTGTCCCGGGAGACGACCTGCGACACAATATAAATATATACATACTAGGTGATCCGGCAGACTTCGTAGTGCCTCAATCGATAAATAAAAGACCTAAACTTTTGTATAAAATAAACTTAAACAAAAGGAATCGTCCGACGAGGGACACATCAAAGGAAAATCAAAATTGTTATTTAATTCCGAGCATTTTCATATTTATCAACTTTTTAAACCTTCTCGGGACTTCCACAAATAATTCAAGACCAAAATTAGCCAAATCAGTCCAGCCATTCTCGAGTTTTATCGAGACTAACGGCCAGCAATTCATTTTTATATATATATATATATATATGTAGAATTGGGATCGTGGCGCATAAAACAAAATTATTCCACTGTTATTTTTCCTTTCCAAAATCTTTTATAATATAATAATGAAATATTAATTCAGTTTTTTTTACGATTTGCTCGTTTTAACGATCTTCGCCATCTTTCTTTTCTCTGCCATTCTTTTCTCTCTTAACGTTTTCTCTCACTCATATCTTAATGCTCCGTTCCACACTTTTTTCATACGTTCTATTTTTACCAATCCTACATATATATATCAATATTGGTGTATACTCATTTTCACTTTAAAATAAAACTTTTTCTAATAGGAGATGCACGCTCAAGTTCAAGACGTGGGCGAAGATCTGGAGCAGGTCGAGGTGATGCAGAAGAAGTTCGACGACTTCCAGAACGACCTGCGCGCCAACGAGGTGCGGCTCGCCGAGATGAACGAGATCGCCGTGCAGCTGATGACCGTCGGACAGACCGAGGCAGCCCTGAAGATCAAGACTCAGATGCAGGTCGGTGCCCGGACACATTGCCAACGAATCATTCTCTGTTTTTTTTTGAAAAATACTATAAAATTAATTTTATTCAGTGCATTAGCGTTCATTGAGTAAAAAATTGGGAAAAATAAACTCACATTCCAGTGATTTACGAATAACATGTTGTTTGTAAACCAAATTAGTGTCATGATCAAAGGTTGTCTTCAGTGAGTTTACAGTTATGTAATCCTGTGGTTAAGTTTGTTATTACGATCTATTAATGAAGTAATTGCATGTTTATTTATTCAATGCGGATATGAATATATATATATATTACTGGGAATAATTATAAAATATACATTTGCAATATTGTGTGAATGTAATTTCTCTGCATTGCCCTTTGGACGATATCCAAACTATATAAAACAGTTACCATAGATGCAAGATGCAAAACGTATCTATTTAATATAATAATATTTTTATATAAAAAAAACTGTCAATGTCGTAAAAGGGAGGAATGGGTAATTGTACATTTGTGTAATTTCTGTAACTAGTGGTCCCGCGGTAGTCGAAATTCGACTATAATTAATTGTAATTATAAGTTTGAACATTATTATGATTATATTGTTTAGGCAAATATTTAGGCAAATATTTATAAAGATAAACAATATTTAATCTATTCTGAATTTGACCAAAGGCTATAAGCAATAAGAAAAGTTTGACATTAAACAAACACTATGCATGCATGTGTGTGTGTGTCAAACAGATGGCATGTATAATGTTTTTTTTATGCATTTATTGTATTTCTAATGCATAATTCAGCCCTTTTTTATTAGTCAAACTACAAAGCAAACCGTAGTTACAAAGATACACCGCTAACTCAATAACAAAGTGATGTTGTTCCGTGCGTGGTGCAGGAGCTGAACTCGAAGTGGAGCTCGCTGCAGCAGCTGACGGCGGAGCGCGCGGCGCAGCTGGGCTCGGCGCACGAGGTGCAGCGCTTCCACCGCGACGTCGACGAGACCAAGGACTGGATCGCGGAGAAGGACGCCGCGCTCGCCTCCGACGACCTGGGCCGCGACCTGCGCTCCGTGCAGACCCTGCAGCGTCAGTACCGCATGCCGTCCAACCCTCTCCTTTAAAACAACGGCTATCATACTCTAGAAACTTTGCAGCTCTCTAGTATACTGCAAAAAATATTTTTGCTCTAACTTCCACACTAAAAACATTTTCTTTAAAAAGTAAAAGTAGGTAGTCCTATTGTCAACAGTTATATTAACAGTTTTACTTTATATACAGGCAAGCATGAAGGCCTAGAGCGCGATTTAGCAGCCCTCGGCGACAAGATCCGCCAACTGGACGACACCGCCAACCGGCTGATGTCCACGCACGGGGACTCCGCCGACGCTACCTACAGCAAGCAGATAGAGATCAACGAAGCCTGGCAGCAACTGCAGGCGCGCGCCAATGCCAGGAAGGAGAAGCTTCTGGACTCCTACGACCTGCAGAGGTTATTACCGTTAAAATTCAAACTTAGGCCTTTCAGTCTTTCAGTCAGTACATGGTTTATTAAAAAATCATTAGCAAAATATTTAGCCTTTTTTTAAATGTTATAATGTGTGTAATACTTAAGGATCTTCTGTAAATATATGAAATTTTCGTCTAGTGCCACAACTCGTGTGTTATAAATTAATAACCCTAACTCTGCACAGTAAACACGAAAATGTTGCCAAAGTTTGGATATTTTCAATATTTCCAAATGTGCAGATAGTAATTTGTTATAATACTATATAATATAATAATAATATATAATAAAAATGTATAATATAATCATAAAATAAAATAAAACAGGTTCTTGTCGGACTACCGCGACTTGATGGCGTGGATCAACTCGATGATGGCGCTGGTGAGCTCGGACGAACTCGCCAATGACGTCACCGGCGCTGAGGCCCTGCTGGAAAGACATCAGGTATTGTCCCATCACCAGTTTTACTATTAAATTGTCGCTGCATTATAAAATGTGTACACATTTATCCTGAGACACGAAAACTCCTGTAACAGAAAATTAAAAATGAAAATATATTTTTAGAGCCAGCGTTCGGAGATAGACGCGCATTACGGCGTAGTGCCGCAGGTCAGACGCAACGCTCGCATGGGTCACGCAAATCTAACAACTAGGGATATGATGCAATTAAAATTAATCGATTCTAATCGATTTATCTAACATTATAATCAACTCTAGTATGAACTAAAAAACGGATATTTCTATAGAAATTTACCAAATAGCCAATAATCTATAAATTATTTTATAATAATTAAATGAAAGGAATGATTAGACTTTAGATTCTGTTTTTATAGGGAAAATATGGGAAGACCTTAATTGGTATAAATAAGTCATTTAGTATTATACTTCCTATTTGGTTGTCTGAAAGAGATCACTTTGAGCCATAAAAGTACCTTTTGTATTTATGCTGCTGTCTAAATATTTGTTATTGTCTATTAAATTTATTTTAAAAAGAAGTAAAATGTAAATTACAATTTACCGATTAACGGTGATTCTAAACGGGTCATAATCTTTAAACATTCCTAAATATTTCAACAGTTATTTATAATGCACATCGGTAGTTATAAAAATATAATCCACAAACACTATGTAGATGTGCTCTAATGTTTTAGAATCAATCATTCACACGGATGAGTCTAATGGTCTGAGTTTAAAACACGTTATTTTTATTAACAATAGAAAAGATTTTCTTTTTCAAGTTGTTGTTGTATATAATGACGTTACTTTCGTTCGGAAATGTGCTATAGATTCGGTTTGTCGATGAAATGGTTCAGCAGACGAATAGTTGGATCGCGCTATGTCTTTTTTGTTGACAGTCAGCTTCTAAGACGAACCGAAGAGTTATAGCACGCTATAAACTGTATGGAAGATTTTGCGTTATGATTTATATCACTGTCTCGCTTGCTTATGCTCATTAGAAACTCTTCCAAAATATAACTATACTTATTTTTTGTGAAAGTAACGTCCTTATTTGAGTGGTTTTTTTCTTACGTGTTTCGATGTTTTCAGAACTTCTACACTAGTCTTTTTATTTATGTGTTTGTTCACTTTATGTTGTGTTTATTTTTGGGCTTTTTAATGATAAATATTACCCTCAATGAGTGATTTTTTAGCGTGGGTATTAAACGATTTTGGCAAATTCGATTAGACCAGAGATTGCGAGTTTTTTTCATATATACTACAGCTAGAAATGTAGCTGCAGCTACATTTCTGCAGTGTTCCCAAAACTCATAAGAAAATGTGGAGATTTTATCTAACTGTGGAAATTTGCGTTGCGGCTGCCTTCCAACCACGAATTGCTAGTTAACGAAAAGAAAACGGTCGCCACAAAGAACCACTTATTATTAATTCTCACTTATTTCATTTATAAAAGTTCTTATTCAGAAATATTATTTTTTTGTTTATTCAGATATGTAATTATAACAATATAAATTATTGTTATCATATTACATTGTTGTGTGATTACAGTCTGAATATAATTAAAATTAAATATTAATAATATAATAACATAATGTAACTTCAAAAATACAATCATCACAAAATAGTCATAATTTTAATGGGAGGGTTGTATGTACTTGATGGATTGACAGTAAATCATTTACTATCGAAAGCAATTTTCGTGGACCCCGCTTACGATAATTTTTAATCCCTTTTTTCTTTTCCACGCCAACGTAGACCCCATAGTTTATCACATGGACATCTGAGAGTACCCTGGCACTTTAGAAAGGAAGGAATGGTCTTGGTTTAAGCAAAACTTTGTGCTTTGTCCATAACTTCATCATTGCGTAATATGTGGAAAACTAGAACAAACCTGTTGAATTAATATAACGAACACATGTATAAATTTAATGTGAATCATTTAAACAACAGGAGCATCGTACGGAGATGGACGCTCGCGCGGGCACGTTCCAGGCTCTGGAACTGTTTGGCCAGCAGCTGCTGCAGGGCGGCCATTACGCCAGCGTCGACATACAGGAGAAGCTCAACAACATGAGCGACGCCAGACAGGAACTCGAGAAGTATGAACAATATTGCATCATTTTGCCGGGTGTCATGTTACGGATCCTCCTGATCCATTAACGGCGCTTTTAGGTACCTGAAGCACCGGTCACCGTCTTCGTCGAACCCGTCGCTTGCGATCGAACCCGTCGCTTGCGACGAAGGGCTAGAGTAAATTAACCCACAGACACAGCCCGCTGAGTTTCTCGCTGGATCTTCTCAGTGGGTCGCGTTTCCGATCCGGTGGTAGATTTTGCGAAGCACTGTTCCTGCCAGGGCCAGTGTTAGCAACACTCTCGGTTTGAGTCCCGTGAGCTCACCTACTAGATCGGTGAATCTAGAATAACCCCTGAAAGTTACTAGATAGAAAAAAAATATGTCAAAACCTTACCCGAAGCGCCAATAACAACTTCACAAAGCTCCAACTGAATTTGCTGAACAATGCATGATCGCAAATAAGTAAATTAAACTACTTTTCAATCTAATTATATTCCACACGAAATTTGTATTAATTCCTACTTATCAGTATCCTACCAGCAGCAAGAGTTCACATATCAAAAACTTAGCTCATCAACTACCTGTTTTCCAGAGCTTGGGTGAACCGACGCATGAAGTTAGACCAGAACTTGGAGCTGCAGCTGTTCTACCGTGACTGCGAGCAGGCGGAGGGCTGGATGGCCGCTCGCGAGGCCTTCCTGGCGCCCGCGGACCACGCCGACTCCGCCGACCAGCAGCAGCCGGACAACGTCGAGCAACTCATCAAGAAACACGAAGACTTCGACAAGGCCATCAATGCTCACGTAACAGCCTACTCTTTTATGTTTAACGGACACGCTGTTCGCGGAGTCCTATTATTAAAGATTTACAAGTCGCAAATAAATGTTTAAAATAATATAATAATTACAAGTCAGCAACTAAGATAAAACTATATCTTAAAACTAAGGTGTCTTTGTTCTAATTTAATGGTATTATATACAATTTCTGTACAAATAAAATCAAATAAGAAACAATGGAGATAACTTCCCTTAGGAAGTGTTTGAATGATAATAATAATTGTCTTTACCACTGAAGTTGTGAAGGACGTCCGGGAGCGCTATTAACGATTTAATAAGTAGTCGACTAGTCCTCGCACCGCAACAAAACTTTTTTTTTTATATATTGTAATTAAAAATGAATCGATTCATTGCATAGTAACATGTTTGCAACCCAGGAGGAGAAGATTGCCCAGCTGCAGACGTTGGCCGACCAGCTGATCGCTTCCGACCACTACGCGACCGACGACATCGACGACAAGCGCAAGCAGGTGCTCGACCGCTGGAGGCACCTCAAGGAGGCACTCATAGAGAAACGCTCCAGGTAACTCGCACACACCTCGGGCATGCATATAATAAGGGTCCGTTTACACAGATCGGATCTTATACGTTTAGAATTGGTCTGAGCGGAGCCGCCAAATATTTCACATAGACACAGGCTGGAAGAGATCTGAAAGCGGATTCGCACGCAATCGGAGCCGACCGGCTTCTCTTATTATTTCACACACAGAGCGTTCAAACATTCTTAATGAAAAAAAACTGCATATACAAAAATAAACTTTATTACAATGACTCAAAACTCTGTTTCCAGCTTGTCAAAAAGCTGCTCTCCTCTCCTAGCTCTATGTGAACGCACTCTAAATATTCAATGTTGTTAACCTTCATAAATATCAAAACAAATTGTATTTACTAAAAAATGCAATCATTTAGATTGGGTGATGAACAAACTCTGCAACAATTCTCTCGCGACGCTGACGAGATGGAGAATTGGATCATGGAGAAGATGCAGTTAGCTACTGAAGAGAGTTACAAGGTCAGTTCGAAATTAGTTGATGTCGCAGTTTTATTCCTTTCTAAGGAAAGCAATAAGTTGCATATGTGTATATTAGAATGGGCTAAGCGATTTCAATATAAATTCATGACGGATTGTCATGTCATATATTAAATAAATAGCTTGCAAATAGGGCAACAGCTGCGAGCATTTTATGTTATAATTAATGAATGTATACTTTGTCCAGGACCCAACCAATATTCAGTCCAAACATCAGAAGCACCAGGCGTTCGAAGCAGAACTGGCGGCCAACGCCGAGCGCATCCAGTCCGTGCTCGCCATGGGAGGCAACCTCGTGCAGCGCGGACAGTGCAGCGGCAGCGAGGATGCCGTGCAGGTACTGAACCTAACCTAACAGACCTTACCACTCAGGTGGTGAGACTTTCCCCGCAAAATATATAGATTTTAAATTTGTTACGAAGAACCTTGGATTTAGGAAATCATAAATTTGAGTTTAAAAGCTACCATTAATATAAACAGGCTCGTCTCGCTTCCATCGCTGACCAATGGGAGTACCTCACTCAGAAGACTACAGAGAAGTCTCTGAAATTGAAAGAAGCGAACAAGCAGCGGACTTACATTGCTGCCGTTAAAGATCTGGACTTCTGGCTCGGTGAGGTCGAGAGCTTGTTGACCTCAGAAGACTCCGGCAAGGACCTGGCTTCTGTTCAGAACTTAATGAAGAAACACCAGCTCGTGGAAGCTGATATCCAAGCTCACGAGGACAGAATCAATGGTGAGTTAACGATACAAAAGTAGCGCGGAGTGTCGGCGTCTTGGTTCAATATTTGTTTTTGCCACAGAACGGAATAGCAGCAGTTGATTCGTATCTCGCCTTCGACGACTGCGCATTTTGTGTCATGTACATTTGTCACAAAATAAATTAGGAAATTGCATTTACTCTTAATCCAATGAGAGGCGCGCTACGCTCACGTGCTAAGCCAGCCGGTGTGTTCCAGACATGAACGGGCAGGCGGACGCGCTGGTGGAGAGCGGGCAGTTCGACAGCGCCGGCATCGGCTCGCGCCGCGACGCCATCAACGAGCGCTTCGAGCGCGTGCGCAACCTCGCCGCGCACCGCCGCGCCAGACTGCACGAGGCCAACACGCTGCACCAGTTCTTCAGGGACATCGCCGACGAGGAGTCCTGGATCAAGTCAGTACCCTGCGGTGTCACAGCTCATTGTTTCTAATTATTAGCCATGCACAACCAGTATGTGTGTAACTAATGACACCCAAATAAATAATAATTGTATGATAGGGAGAAAAAACTTTTGGTCGCTTCGGATGACTACGGCCGCGACTTGACCGGCGTCCAGAACTTACTGAAGAAGCACAAGCGTCTCGAAGCGGAACTTGCGAGTCACGAGCCCGCCATACAAGCCGTGCAGGAGGCCGGCGAGAAGCTGATGGACGTGTCCAACCTTGGCGTGCTCGAGATCGAACAGCGGCTGAAAGCTCTGGCCTTGGCCTGGGATGAACTCCAAGCGCTGGCTGCCGAGCGAGGGGCCAAGCTGCAGCAGTCGCTCGCCTACCAACAGTTCCTTGCCAAGGTTGACGAAGAGGAGGCCTGGATCAGGTGAGGCGGGTAGTTGGAAAATCTCTGCGTTAAAGCAATAAAAACATGAGGCCTATTTAAAAATTAAAGCATTGCCAAATTTTAATTTCGTATAAATTCTAGATACCTTGTGCGATTTCTAAATAACTAAAAAGGGTTCTAAGATCACTAACTGAAAATAAATTTTCATTAGATTTCCTATTCTTTAGTTAAAAACTAAAGCTGGCAAGGTCAGTTATACTTGTTTCTTAATCCGTGCGCGTGCGTGTACCGACAGCGAGAAGCAGCAGCTGGTGGCGGTGGGCGAGTGCGGAGACAGCATGGCGGCGGTGCAGGGCCTGCTGAAGAAGCACGAGGCGCTGGAGGCGGAGCTGGCGGCGCGCGGCGAGCGGGTGCGCGAGCTGGCGGCGGCGGGCGACGCGCTGCTGGCGGCCGGCAACCTGCACCACGACGCGCTGGCGCACCGCATCCGCGCCCTGCAGGTACCCACCACACCCGCCACTTCCTCTCCTCTGCTTCAAATTTCACTGCTGCTGACTAATCTAATGACTAAAGAAGCAAATATTACAATCTAAATTAAACTTTCCTATGACCTGAAATTCTAAAAAGCCGAATATGGTTATTGGTGGTAGGACCTCTTGTGAGTCCGCGCGGGTGGGTACCACCACCTTGCCTATTTCTGCCGTGAAGCACTAATGCGTTTCGGTTTGAAGGGTGGGGCTACCGTTGTAACTATATTTAGACCTTAGAGCTCATATCGCAAGGTGTATCACAAGGATATTAATAGTATGCATGTATAAATAAGTAAAAAAAATATTTACAAATTTATTTATTTTTGTCTTATCTATATAAGAATTCACCGTTTATTCTTGAAATATTAAATTGTGCTTTAAATTTCAGGCCAAACTGGAAAAGCTCACGGCATTGGCGGCTCGTCGCAAGGTAGCCCTTGTAGACAACTCCCTCTATCTGCAGCTACTGTGGAAGGCCGACGTGGTGGAATCCTGGATCGCAGACAAGGAGACACACGTGCGATCTGATGAGTTCGGTCGAGATCTGTCCACTGTGCAGACATTGCTCACCAAGCAAGACACTTTCGATGCTGGTCAGTGGTTTATCAAATTTTCATCATCACATTAGCCACAAAATGTTCACAAGAATATTATAATAATATTTTTAAATCAGAAAAAAAATCATAAAAATATAAGTAAAATTGTTTTGTACAAAACCATACTGAGATCGAAATAGTATGGCAAGACCATAGAATTAAAAAGTAATTAATATGTTAACTCATAATGAAATTGGAATTACGAATCCTAATAAGATATAATGTGGTATGAGGTCTGGCGGCGTTCGAGCACGAAGGGATCCAGAACATCACGTCTCTGAAAGAGCAGCTGGTGGCGGCGGGGCACGAGCAGACGCCCGCCATCGTGAAGCGGCACGGTGACGTCATCGCGCGCTGGCAGCGACTGCTCTCCGACTCCGCCACCAGGAAGCAACGGCTGCTGCAGCTGCAGGACCAGTTCCGACAGATCGAGGAACTCTACCTCACCTTCGCCAAAAAGGTACACCACCAATTTAGCTGGCTAGAGGTCAAACATCGCGGTAACACATGTACGATTGTTAAATTGACTGTTTTAGTCAATAACACGGTATATAAGTTCGCTGAAATTGAGAATAGCCTGTGTTCGGGTCATCGCCTCCAAATGCCAGTTATAATACCAATTTAAATCATATAAAGCCATTGAGATTTCAATAGTACAAAAACTTTCAAAGATGTAGGTATAGACGTATAGTCGTCGTGGCCTAAAGGATAAGACGTCCGGTGCATTCGTGTGTAGCGATGCACCGGTGTTCGAATCCCGCAGGCGGGTACCAATTTTTCTAATGAAATACGTACTCAAGAAATGTTCACGATTGACTTCCACGGTGAAGGAATAACATCGTGTAATAAAAATCAAACCCGCAAAATTATAATTTGCGTAATCACTGGTGGTAGGACCTCTTGGGAGTCCGCACGGGTAGGTACCACCACCCCGCCTATTTCCGCCGTGAAGCAGTAATGCGTTTCGGTTCGAAGGGTGGGGTAGCCGTTGTAACTATACTGAGACCTTAGAACTTATATCTCATGGTGGGTGGCGCATTTACGTTGTAGATGTCTATGGGCTCCAGTAACCACTTAACACCAGGTGGGCTGTGAGCTCGTCCACCCATCTAAGCAATAAAAAAAAAAAAAAAAAAAAGACGTAGACTAGGGTCCTAGAACTTAACTTTAGAGAATATTACGTTTGTTTTACTTTTGTCTTTAATCAACAATATTATACGACTTGTAGTTACCTTTTACGAAGGTTGCACAATATACGTTTAGTTTACTGCTATTTATACTAAGCCTTAGGTAGAACACTACATTCTGCGTCATGTTTTATTTATTCTTTTATCTTTCCTAAATACTACAACTAATCTTCGCTCTATGATCTTAATTTTACCATAAGCACACCAAGAGTTAGTTTCGTTTTATTTAATACATTTTTTCTTTTCTTTTGTTATTGTAATGTTTTCTTGTCAAACTGGGAATAGTCTATGGTCCATATTTTTCTTGATACCAATAATTATAACTAAAAAAAAAAACGAATTTGATGATAAAACAATATCCTTTTAGGTAATTTTACGATAGATGACTAGTGTAAATGTGTTGCTAAAGTCAATTTCAACTGTCGACAGGCTTCTGCATTCAACTCGTGGTTCGAGAACGCGGAGGAGGACCTGACGGACCCCGTGCGCTGCAACTCCATCGAGGAGATACGCGCGCTCAAGGACGCGCACGCGCAGTTCCAGGCGAGTGACCCACGCATATTCCAACTGTATCCCGCCTGTTTCTGCTGTGAAGCAGTAATATGTTACGATTTAAAGGATGGGGCAGCCGTTGTAACTATACTGAGACCTTAGAACTTATCTCAAGGTGGATGGCGCAATTACGTTGTAGATGTCTATGGACTCCAGTAACCACTTAAGACCAGGTGGGCTGCGAGCTCGTCCACTCATCTAAGCAACAAATAAATAAATAAATAAAAAAAACTACCCTGTGTGAACACTGTAGTGACATGTGCAACTGCATCCCGCAGGCATCGCTGTCGTCGGCCCAGAGCGACTTCGAGGCGCTGGCCGCGCTGGACGCGCAGATCAAGTCGTTCAACGTGGGCGCCAACCCCTACACTTGGTTCACGATGGAGGCGCTCGACGACACGTGGCGCAACTTGCGCAAGATTATCGGTAAGTGTCGCGCTCTTCACCGCTTGCCAATAACAACATGCTCTAGCAAAATAATTATGTTACTAGTGGTAGGACCTCTTGTGAGTCCGCGCGGGTAGGTACCACCGCCTTACCTATCTCTGTCGTGAAGCAGTAATGTGTTTCGGTCTGAAGGGTAGGGCAGCCGTTGTAACTATATTGAGATCCTAGAACATATCTCAAGGTGGGTGGGGCATTTACGTTGTAGATGTCTATGGACTCCAGTAACCACTTAACACCAGGTGAGCTCGTCCACCCCTCCAAGTAATAAAAAAAAAATTGAATTCGAAAATATCTTTTAGATCATATTTAAATTTGTATTCATTTTCAATTCGCTTACCTAAAATTAAAATAATAACCAAATTGAAATAGTAGAATCTCCATCTCTTATCTATAAAATACTCCAATTTAAAATGAACTACAAAAAAATTATTACACCTTAGATTTTTTTTTATCTTGAATATAATTGTGTAGCGGAGCGAGACGTGGAGTTGTCGAAGGAAGCTCAACGGCAGGAGGAGAACGACAAGCTGCGGAAGGAGTTCGCCAAGCACGCCAACACCTTCCACCAGTGGCTCACCGAGACTCGGTGCGTTGACCAATTACTTCAAACGAGGCTTGTGGAGAGCATTAAGCGGTAGGCAGTGGCTTGGCTCTGCCCCTGGCATTGCTGAAGTCCATGGGCGACAGTAACCACTCACCATCAGGTGGGCCGTATGCTCGTCTGCCTACAAGGGAAATAAAATAAAATAAAATAGATATGCTAAACTCAAATATCATATTTCGTCTTCTCGCATTAAAACTGTATAATCTCAAAACTTCCCACTTTTACAGGAGAATGTCTTAAAGGTTTAACCTGTGATATTTTTAATATTAATCATCTTTGCAATATTTATTATTATTTTACCAGTTACATTATCAGTCTTTAAAAATAAGATAAAATTATGTATTAATTTTGTTACTAGTAGTCAAAACATAGGTAAACTAAAAAAAAAAACTAAAACTAAACTACACTCTTTTGACAGTATTTGTGAGAAAAATACTAGTGATACCAAATGATTTCGCATATTAACTCAATTTCGAGTATACTTGGCAATTGTACACATTTAATGCGAAAAGACGATTTAACTCCAAATAAAATAAGACTCAAAATGAATTCGGCAAAACCCTTTACAATGCACAGTGCCTTGAGTAGACCATACGGGACTTCTTTACCTTGTGTCCTGAGCGACACTGCACTGTATTCTCAGTCATCACATACTTACTTGACACCGGATGACCATTAACTGATGTCCCTATGTAATTAAAAACCAGTCATTTTTTATCCAATCTTTAATAAAACCGAACAAAATCCAAAATTTTATGGCGCAGTGACAGGTAACTATCAATCCCAAGTTCACCGTCACGGAGAGTGAGTGCATAATCAATATTGACAATGACAATGATGTACAGGTACCGGTTGCTAGGCTGGGACGGGTAACGTATTGGATGGTTTAAGTGTTTTTATACTAAACGCTTAATCGAAGTTCGGCAAAATATAATAATATATTAAATTATTAACTAACAATGTCATAAATTATCGATTATCAATCGATTAATAATCGATTTTTCATAAACAAATGAATTTAGTCGATGTTTATTTCACATTTAAAACAATTCCCGATATTTGTTAAAGATTGTTTGCTATCTTTTGTTTTGCCAAACGTCTTGTTGTAAGCATGTACCTGTCGTAATTTTTCCTACGCAGATAATTTGCATTGGCTTTCAAACTGTATAGTGATGTGGACTTAAAAAAAACAATGTAAATATTCAACAAGCCTACCTTCCCCGACGGAGACGAGCGGCTTGTAATCAATCAATTCAGATTATTAAGCTAATCCATATTTTAACAAGGCCATAAAACTTTTAAACTTTTTAAATATTATAGGGTAATTTTATATTAGACAAAATTACATTATTATACACTTAATAATAATAACCATATCAGTTTTATAAAACCGATAAACTGTTTTATATATATATTTCTTAAAATGACCTATATTTCAGACAGTATTTAAATGTTCTCAAAATGGATAGGTTTGAGCTATTGTTGAGTCGAATTAGTCACAAACACTGTATTACACATTTACATTTCAGATTCAATGTTTTACGCTGAAGCGGTGATAGAATGGTTACGAATTATGTTCTTTAAAACGAACAAATATAAAATGAGTTAAATCAATCTAATAATTCCAGTAAATGTGCAAATCATGATTTTGTAATATATGACTAACAGCACATCAATGATGGAGGGCACGGGTTCCCTGGAACAACAGTTGGCGACGCTGCGCCAACGAGCGTCCGAAGTACGCGCCCGCAGAGCTGACCTGAGACGCCTTGAAGAGTTAGGTTAGTCGAACTAATTTTAATGACATAGTTTTCTCTTGGCTTGATGTTAGTGCCAGTGATCTTAGCATTTGATGAAAAAGTACATAAATATTTTAAAACTAGCTGTACCTGTCCACTTCTCTGGGCATTTAAAATTAACATTATTATTTCTCACCCCCACAAAGATTCTCATCATTAACACCTCCGCAACTGGTGTAGAGAGTCCAACACTCACATAAATATTAGCCTATCCATTAAGTACATGTATTTTCTACATGGATACCAAGTTTCAAGTCAATTGGATGCATGGTTCAGTAGTTATAACGGAACATCCGTAAAAACCACTATTAGATTGATGTATTAGTATAGATGGTTTATGAAAGAATTGTATGTTGTCAGGCGCCGCCCTGGAGGAGCATCTGATCCTGGACAACCGCTACACGGAGCACAGCACCGTGGGACTAGCGCAGCAGTGGGACCAGCTGGACCAGCTCTCTATGCGCATGCAGCACAACCTCGAGCAGCAGATACAAGCCAGGAACCATTCCGGTTTGTATCCTTCTTCGTGTTTTGTATCAGTAGCTACACCGCTGAACCGGACTGTCGCCTCATAACTCGAAACGTTTCTTTCAGTGGCTGTGAGTAGTGCTTGTAGAAGCATAATGAATGCAAGGAACTTTTCACGTTTTTTTAAGACTTAACTTAACACTTTATATTTTTCTGTGACGAAATTGACAAACTTTGGATCTCTATTTAGTTTTTTTTTCTACCTATGCTAGTAACCTCGAGGGGCTATCCTAGGTTATGTTTAGTAACAAAAGCAATAGTTAGTAAATTGTACAGACAAATTATTGTAATGTGTAATTTTCCTATAATTATAATCCTGCTTTAGGACAGATCTTGTTTGAACTCCATATATTGTTCAGTGAGCTGATATTGTTATTTAGAACTTTGTATATGCCAATTAATCTTGTAAATGTCGTTAACGTTATTCTGGTTGCAATGTCTTAAATTCTATCAGACTAGTCTGCCAGCATACTTCAAGATTATATAAAATAATTCCATTTATATTTCAGGTGTAAGCGAAGACGCCCTGAAGGAGTTCTCGATGATGTTCAAGCACTTCGACAAGGATCGATCTGGACGCCTCAACCACCACGAGTTCAAGTCGTGTCTGCGAGCCCTCGGGTACGACCTGCCCATGGTTGAAGAGGGACAACCCGATCCTGAGTTTGAATCTATACTCAGTAAGTATAACCCATGCTGCCTATAGCCCACAGCTTAGATGGGAAACACTAATATACTATTCAAAAGTAAATTAAGCCCAAAAACTTGAGCCTCTCACGAGTCACGGTATGTTAAATGTCAAAAACATTAATAAAAGCACTTATCCTCGACTTCAAATACAAGGTTTCTCTGTTCTCTGACCCCTGCTGTATACGTTTGACATAATAGAATTCCAATTTTAATTAATATAACAATTGGTTTTTGCTTGTTCATCCAATCTAAGCTTAATGTTTGTTCCGTACGATGACTCAGTAGGTGCATATATTTAAAATAAGTGTTTGGAACAGGTATCGTAGATCCGAACCGCGACGGCCAAGTATCCCTTCAAGAGTACATGGCCTTCATGATCAGCAAGGAGACCGAGAACGTGCACTCCTCCGAGGAGATCGAGAACGCGTTCCGCGCCATCACCGCGCACCAGGACCGGCCCTACGTCACCAAGGAAGAACTGTACGCGGTCAGTATACTTGCATTAAAAATATTTATGTGTATCGATGGGGGTGAATATTTGTGGTGATGATTCTTTTTTGTGCGTCTTATCTTATTCGATTGAATGTCATTAAAAATCACGGAATTAATTTATCTGAAGTTTTTGATCTCAAACCAAAGAGAAAATTCATTATTTTTTTTGGTTAATTGTTAACAGAACCTCACGAAGGAGATGGCGGACTACTGCGTGGCGCGCATGAAGCCCTACGTGGAGCCGAAGACGGAGCGCCCCATACCCAACGCGCTCGACTACATCGACTTCACACACACTCTGTTCCAAAACTAAAACCTTCCCCTCCCCCTGCCCCGCGACCGGCCCCGCCACGTTCATTAAATTTATCAACTAACTCGCTTTTTATTTGGTCACCTTCCTCGTGCAGCGCGAATGGCGGTCGTGAGCGTAATTGCTATTTTATTACGACTGAATATAACTTATTGAACGTTAGCTAGGCAAATATAAATTATTAACTGCTTATAAGCTTATCCATGTTATTCCACTGAGCATTTATAAATTATAATCGTAAGTGTTGAAAAATACGATGATTTCTATCGAGTAGCTGATCGCGCGTGTCGTTAGGACGGCGATGGTTCAATGGGAACGCGCACCGTCCGACTCGATCCGGGAGAGTTTACTCACACTTGTACATGTTCCCAGGTTCATGTACTGTAACGGTATGGATTTCTTTTCTCTGAACCCAGCAGAGGGATACGAAGCTACCGTTAAGACTGTGCTTGGTCAAGTTAAAAGTTCTATAGAAGTATTATTTATGTACGCCATTATAATATGACATGTGTTTCGAAGCTTTGCTGAAACTCTATATTTATTTTTTGTATTCTTTATGATATTACAATAAATATTTGTTTAAAACTTAAAATTCGTTTAATTTGATCATGGTAAAAATTAAATCTTGAAACCCGAATTTGTAATCAAACAATAAATTTAATGGGGGGTTTTTTAATATATATATATATATTTTTTTCTTTCTTAGATGTGTAGACGAGCTCACAGCCCACCTGGTGTTAAGTGGTTACTAGAGACCATAGACATTTACAAAGTAAATGCCGCCACCCACCTTGAGATATAAGTTCTAAGATCTCAGTATAGTTACAACGGCTGCCCCACCCTTCAAACCGAAACGCATTACTGCTTAACGGCAGAAACAGGCAGGGTGGTGGTACCTGCTCGTGCCGACTCACGAGAGGTCTTGCCACCAGTAAAAGTCCGTTTTCGATATTTATATTTTTTTGGCTATAACTGCCGCAAATTGTTGGAAGTTACGTTTAGGATCGCCTAAGCGCAGTGCACCTCGTCGACCTCTAACTGACCAACAATCTAAATTCGGAAGCTGCTTTAGATGCAGCCGTCGGCAAAATAGTTTCTAATAAATTTTATTATATTTTTTTTAATTTCCACTATTCATTGATCGTCCCCTGCAAATATAAATGTTAACATTCATCAATTACAAAAAATCTTCTGAAAGAGTTGATAGGAATTTGTTTAGACATATTGCTCCATTGATCTGAAAGGCGCGCTTTTGAGTGTGAACAATATTTTTGCTAATTTAGACAGAATATCCAAACAAACCTTGATAAAAAACGGGGCTACGATACAAATAAAATCCGAGGGATCAAATTGAGAATTAACTTAATAGCTTTGCTTAGAGAATTAAAAGACTCAAACAAGATAATCCTAATGGAAGCAAAAAAAAAAAAAAAACAAAAATAATCATTAAATAAAGAAATAATTATATTTAAACGAAGTTTTCAGCAGTAAGCAGCGGCTTCGCTATTACACGGCATTAGCAAGATATAAGACATTCTGTGCATATTGGTTAACGTTAGTGCTACATGATTTTTAATATGATCAAATATATGCCACATCAAATAGGTATGTATATACAAAAGGTATTATAATTCTTCATAGCAAATAACAAATATAATTATTTATGTACAATTTATTTAAGTGCACACAATATTTTACAACAATTTAGTGCATTTCATAGTGCTTATAAACTTACAATTATTATGTCTTTAATTAATTTACGTTCCTCTCTAATACTTATGTTAATATAAAAAACTTCTGACCAACTATTATGAGTTAAATAATAAATATCTAATTTACAAAAAATCAATATTTGCAGCTTTGGTAGTAGAAATATTTAAGTCTGTCAGAAGACTCATGATATCATTTTATGTGTACAATCTGCATCTTGTAGCTGGTCAACAAGGTTGAGGCTGACTTGAAATATCTACATTACACCATGCGACGTGCACGTTCGTCTAAGATTTACAAATTCTGACATCTGATTCTGATTATTTGTTACGCGAAGTTCTAGAACGATAGTGATTCATAAATAGATTATGAAAACTAATAATTGACTCGAAACGACATGATTCCGAAATGATAAGTTCATATCTGTGCTCTCTGCAGCAAGCTGTACTCCTGGGGCGTGACGAGCTTCTGCAGCTTGTCGAGCAGCGGCTGCGGCAGCGGCGAGCTGGGCGGCTGCAGGTGCTGCACGGCCAGCAGCTCGCGCACGTAGGGCCGCCCTCGCGCGTTGTACGTCAGGCACCACTTCAGGGTCGACAGCAACGACGGAGGCAGATCTGGGACAAAATTCAAAACTTCACATTAAAACACTGGTGGTAGGACCTCTTGTGAGTTCGCACGGGTAGGTACCACCACCCTGCCATTTCTGCCGTGAAGCAGTAATGCGTTTCGGTTTGAAGGGTGGGGCAGCCGTTGTAACTATACTTGAGACCTTAGAACTTATATCTCAATGTAGGTGGCGCATTTACGTTGTAGATGTCTATGGGCTCCAGTAACCAATTAACACCAGGTGGGCTGTGAGCTCGTCATCCATCTAAACAATAAAAAAAGATACGAATTACATATTGATATTATATTATAAGCTATTTTTATCAATAAAAAAAAATTGTTTATGTTTAAGTTGATTATCAATAAAGTTGATTATTGAAAACACGCCTAAAACAACATTTTCTGAAAATAAATCGTAGTAGATCGATTTATTGCCCTCGAAATCCCTTGTATACTAAATTTTATGAAAATCGTTGGACCCGTTTCCGAGATTCAGATTATATACATATCGACGCTTGAAAGGCAAACGTGACTAAGCGACAATAACTGCTTTGTACATAAATGATAGGCAATAGCCATATTCGATGCGCAAAAAATATATATTTCTAGGTCTATTAAAATCATTTCAATCCTACAGCTAGATTCGTTAAAATAGATTTTTTTTTTGGTATTTTTCAGGTATATTTTTAATTAATTTCAACATTAAATTAGTCTACTGTAAAGTTCACGCATTGTCGCTTAGTCACGTTTGCCTTTCAGGCGTCGATATATATTAATATACAAGAATTGCACCAATTGAACGTTCATGATCTCCAAAGAAATCAGTAGTATTGGCCGTATTAGGCCATATTTAAATACAATTGTCCAATATCTCACGCTAGCGAATGACAACGTAGTCCACAGCGTCTAAATCATGAATGGTGTTCTCTTTATATGAATAAAAAAGCAATGCGCCTCCAAAATGGCTTAAATTTTGTCAATTTTGTACTCGCCAAATGTGAAGTGATCTAGTACATATTGCACTTTTTCGAAGTTATATTCCCAGTAACGAATAGATGTTACACTTTCCATATATAGCGCCTACACACATTTAATAAGCAATACGTACGTGGAGCAGGCGGATACTCTATCCGATGGTTGGGGTCGAGAATGGCAGCCAGTTTAGCGAGACTACGTATGTGCGCAAAAGGTGTGTGGCCATAAACCATACTGTACAGAATACAGCCCAAAGACCACACGTCTGAACGGAATGAGATCTGTGAAACCAAAGATAATATAAAAATTCCAATTCCATTTATTATATTCTAAATAAGATAAAAAGTGTATGATTAGTATCATCTTCTTTCTTTCCTATTACCCTCTGCTGGGGTGTAGGGATCAAATCAAATCCTTCTGTTTACATCGATCTTGGGCAGTCTGTTCAAGCTCCTCCTACGTCATGAACAATACGCTCAGCTCCTGCTCCACCGAGCGACACCAAGTTGTTGGGGACGGCCTGATTAGTATTATGGGCATTACAAAATTAGCGTATTATGTCCGAAACACACACTTGGGCATTTTCAGTGCGAGCATAATTTCCACAGAAATCGTTCGTTCCGATTCGAGACTGCTTATGTATTAGAGGTGGGCATATTGACACTTTGAGCTTCTGTACAGACTGGACAGCAAGTGTCCTGTGTGCGGGCTGCGTCTAGTACCTTGATGGGCGCGGAGCCGTCCGGCGGCGAGTGCGCGTGTTGTCCGGCGCCGCCGAGCAGCGCCTCGGGGCTGATGTAGGAGTACGTGCCGGCCGCTTGCGCCCGCACCACGCTCGTCGCGTCGCCGCTCACCGACGACGCGATACCGAAGTCGATCAGCTTCAGACGTCCACTCACCAACAAGAAGTTTGCGGGCTTCAGGTCTGCGTGAATCACACCTGTGCAAACACATTCGAATTGTAATTTCAATTTATGCAAAGACAAAATCTTAGAGAAATAAAATTACACCTAAATGTTATCACAAAGATCACATTGAAATGGGACAAGAAATTATGTATACAATACGAGTACAACAATGATCTAGTCAAACATTAATTATACATATTATACATTTTGTGAGCATTTAATATTTTTTCTAATGACTATCCAATATATCAGAAATTATATTTATTTCTTAAATATTAAATAAATATATCATAATTATTATTATAATATAATATATATCTTCAATATTTATTTCTATTGAGTACCCTTACTTTAGCAGTCATACTATTGAGAATTATTAATAACTAAAATATCAAGAGAACAAGACTATAAAGGAATACTGAATTACATAAATACGCACCGTTTTCATGTATGTAATTAACAGCATGGAGCATTTCCTCCCAGTAATGAAGCACAAGAGCAGGAGGTACTCCCGAATTGCATCCTTTTAAGAATGTTGATAAATCCGTCTCACCAACTTCCAAAACCATGCGTAACATCTGTTGTGATTTGTCATACTCACTGCACAGAAAGGTGTAATGTAACGCAATTGTGAATTGCACAAGTGTAGCTTTAAAAAAATGTCAAGTGATACAACTATGCCGGTCTTTAAATCTTACAGGTACCTATCAATTTTAAGAAAATTGGGTACTTCTTACAGGATTTTAACAGTGGCATGTGTTCACTAGGATTCAAGCACTTATCATTTTACGGCAAATTAATACTCAAAAAGTTTCTTAAAAGAAGATTATGTAAAAAACAATCCCATAAAAACATATAATTTGCATATTTATTGGTAATGGAATTTGTATGTAGCATAAGTAGGTACTACCATTCTACCTAACTGCCACAAAGGATGCAGTCAATGATGTACAGGTATCATATATATGTATATAGATATCTATGAGCAATTTAAATTAGTTCCAGAAATTTAATTACTATTCCCGTGCCATTTAATAAATGAGTACTAATTTTTATACACATTTTCATGAATAATAAACTCACTAGTCATATAGCTTTACAACCCTGTCTGAGTTCTGCAATTCCCTGAGCAGTCGAACCTCATTGATATATCCTTGGGCCAGTTCATGATCTGTCGCTAAGTAAACACACTTTACTGCATACTCACAAGATGTTCCCACTTCTAGGACCTGAAAAGAATATTTACAATCTGATGTATGAAAAACAATTCAATCGACCTTGTATTACCATAGATAGGTGTGGTTTAATGAATGAAATTATTATATTACAGATCATATAACTCATAAAATTGTAGAGCAACATTAACATCAAGACTAAGAACTAACTCAGTTTATATTATATTCTAGCTGGACGATTGTGCTCATGACTAATCTCACAAGTGATTGATGGCAAAAATAGTCATAATCAAAAGAGATTGTGGCTTTCAAATATTCAAACCCAGAATAGATCCCACCACTAAGTATTTACTGTTTAATCTCGCATTTTTTTAGTGTAATTATATCATTTCTGAAGTTTTGAATACTTTACAGTTTTAGAAGTCACAGTTGTGATGATGGCTGATGATAACAATATATAACACAAGTTTAACTATAAAAGTAGTTGTAATTAGTCATAATTAAATTAATATGTATGTCTACAACTTGGGTAATCTTCAGTTTTTATTTTGAGAACTAATGAGAGTACAAGCTTGCACACTTCAAAACATACTAATTGTCGTACTTAATTGTATTTTACCTTGTAAACCTCACTAGAACCTCCTATGCCCAATTTCTTTATGAACATGTACTTTTTATCCTTAATGTTTGTTGTTTTAAATAAAATTTTGGAATTATTGCCTACAGCGCCTTGAGGGTATGAAGGTGTAGCTGCATATGATGCAGGTATCAGTTTTTTGTTTAAGGGGGTCTCCGGCTCAGGTATTATTGGCTGTGGCTGTGCTATTTGATTGCTCTTCTCATCCTTTTTGTTTTGCGTAAACAATTCACACCTCACCCTATCTCTGCTCGGGATCATGCTGTTCTGTGGAGTTTTCTTATGACTCTTTTTAGCTGAGTTTGGTGTAAACTTACGTATACCTGATTTAATCCCTGGTGTTGAAGATTTATTTTTCTGTGCACTATTTTGAACTTTAATCATTTCAGGTGTTTGTTTAATATCTGAATTAGTACTTTTAACAGTACTGTTATTAAATGGCAGTAATACATTACGTTTCTTCACTTCAGAGGTGGGCTGCGGAAATAATTTAGGAGTTTGTGATATCAAACTGTCTTTGGTAGGATGTGTTAGATTAGACCTGAAACTGCTACTTATATTTTCTTTGTTGTCAGTACTAACACAGGCTTTTTTCTCCAAAACGACCGCTTTAACTTCTTTCGATTTGGGTTTTATTACAGGTGTGTAGAAGTCCCTATTTATTTTATTATTTGTTGAAGGCTTCTTGGAGACCGTTTCGCCTATCGAATCATCATCGCTCTCGTCAGCAGACAAAAAACTTGAATCAGGGGTATCTGACTCTTTTTGAAGAGGCATCAAATTAGCTAATAAAGCTGACATTGGCATCGGAGCAAATTTGATGCTGTTAGAAGTAGATTCCGTGTTTCCACTCATCTTGAATACAGCGTTATATTTGATGACAGTCTCTTGATAATTATTTTGTTGCACTAATAGTTATTTAGACACATCTTAAATATTAACAAAACACAAATTTATTTTTCTAATAAATTATTTGGTTCTGCGTGTCAAAACTTAAAATCCGTTGATATTTTCAAATGCAAACTTTGATGTTGTTCTTTCAACTTATGTCTCTGACATTTGACATTCATTTTGGCATTTTTGTCAGTTCACTTCACTGTCAGCGAGCGGCTTCTGGCCATAGACATTTTTTGTTTGGTACAATTTTTCCTTATTAGGAAACAAGGGGATCTAAGCCCATACAGCCTTGTCTGTTCTATATAATTTTCAAAAACGCGGAATCCCGGTCTTATATGATTTATATTATATCCTGAAATAAAAATTTCATTAAGGCCGAAGCCAAGTCCTTTATAATTTCTCCCTGAAATAAAAATTTCAATAAGGCCGAAGCCAAGTCTTATATATTTTCCAATCCTTGTAAAATAGCATATTCGACTTTTACTGTCAAATCCAAGTTCAAGACTTTTTAAAATCTTAGCTGGAATAAAAAAAAATAGTAAACAAAATATCATAATGTTATGGACGGTGCCATAACTTCGTCAAATCCTTGTAATCCCATTTTTAGATATTTCCAACTGATGAATCCATAAATTCACAAATTGGCTTAAAACTTTCTTGATTTCTTAATAATAGCTGAAGAGTACGCGGGATGTCCTCAGCATTTCCATATATACACAGCAGACGGTCAATAAACACAAATCTATCCAGTGAAAAAGCAAAACAACTAAAAAAAATGTGATCAAGGGACTGTATATCATTATTGCAGTCATTACAAACTAGAGAAGACAAAACATTGATTTGAAACAAATGAGCATTGAAGCGGCAATGACCGGTTGTATAAAACTTCCTATCAAGGTAAGAATTCCCTTAAATGAACCAAGGGGAAGAAATTTTATCTTTAATTTCAGCATACCATTTACCTTTTGACTGAACAATTTCTAGCCAAATATCTTTGAATTTTTTACACAATTTGTGGTTTATTGTAATTAAAAAATCTGAATCTGGAATTGGTACTTGTTTTATAAGATAATTAGGGATTGCTGCAATACATTTTGCCAAGTAATCAACCATCTCATTGCCAGCAACAACAGCATGCGATGGTGTCCAAAACAAAATTATATCTTTATGATGATTATTATTTAAATTATAGTACTTTTCCCTGATATCGAAAATAAAATAACTGGTGTTGGTAGATAATCTTGGATTATCTAATGCCTTCAAAATGCTCATACTATCAGAGATAATTAGCCATTTCTGTACTGCCTGAGCTTCAATAATCGAGTGCAGATTTAATAGCAAGACCCTCGGCTGTAAATATACTTGTTAAATGAGGAAGTTTATTACCGTACTTTTTAATAAATGTTTCATATTTCAGTGCATCTGGCTTTTGTGGCTTATGCGAATGTCCTCTTTTGGAATGGATGGCTTACAGTAGTTACAGTACTCTTATTTGTTTTAAGCTGTCGTTAAAGATTTCACGTATTAATGATTAATCGCAGTAAGGTATTTTCCTTATGTCAACGAAACTCATTTTAATTTTCGCCTAAGGACGTGACTAACCTTTAATGTTAAACACTTCATAGTATGCGCAATGTTCCCTTTGCCTGTTCAAGTACCCTGAGAGTTGAGACAAATAAACAAAAATCTTCGACTGAAAATGAAAATTGTTTAAACCAAGTGCAACATTCAATTCTTTTCAACCAATTTTCTTAAATATTCGCATTATTAACCGATTATGTTGTCTAATAATTTACATATCTGTAGTGAGCAAATTGAAAGTTTATGATTAAACATCATGGATATTGGAATCTACCAACAATGCAAGCACAGTAATTTGTAACCGAGGGTGTCGGGTTTGCGTCCTCTTATTTTTTGTACTTCCAAGTGATCATTTTTTGACCTTGATATTTAGACAAACCTTGAAAGCAACATGAATACGGAAACCGAACCATCTCCAAAGAAAAAGACAGACAAAATCACAGACAACCTCACAGTCTCACTGGAAAAGTGCGACATCAAGAAAATAGAAAAAAGTGACGAAGAACCGAAGCCTCGAATCGTATTAACCATACGCTCGGAGAAGTCTAATGCTAAAAATAGTAATATGAAGGTAGTATCCACGGAAGAAAAACAAGAAGAGTTCTGTCCTCGCAGATCCAGCAGGACACGAGGTAAATGGGAATGGGTCTGTGACAGCGATACATCTACTTCACCTAAAAAAGATAAATCCGCATCGGAGAACGACGAGTGTGACATTCTTACCACAAAAAGGTCAACTAGCCGTAGAAACAAAGATAGTGACAATGTTGTTGCCAATGCTATTGCAAGAAAAGAAAAAATGTATGATATTATTACACCACAGCGCTCTACACGACGACAAAAAGCAAAACCCGTAGAAGAAGTGGCTCACGAGACAGTGGATAAAGGTGTAAGAACTAGAAGATCAGCTAGACCTGATCCTGTGGAACCAGATACTAAAAATAAGGGAAAAGATGCAGAACAAGACGTGATTGAGATTGGCACAGATGACGACACCCTCAGCCAAAGCTCAGATATGAAATTAAAACACCTGTGTGAATTGGGCTTGAAAGCTATTAACCCTGAAGAAGAGGAGGATGAAGATTATGTTGATGGCCGGTTGGTATAAATTTCACATATTATAATATGAGATAGAGATTTGCCTTTTTGTTTAAATTACCATCTGAATGTAAAAGAAGATGATCACATACTTAGATTTAGATTGGTGGTAAAGCTTATTTTACATCAAATAGGTAGATCATAAAACCATTGTGCCTATTTCTGCAGTCAAGTAGTTGTAGGATTGGGTAGTTGAACTCGGTTGAAGGCTTTTATAACATATCACATTATAGTGACATTCACAATGTAATAAAATGAGGCTTGATCACTTATACATATTGAGGGGTAAAAGGCTATTTGGATTAAGCAACATTTTTTGCAACTTTACAGAAGAGCCAATTAAAGTTTAAAATTTGAAAAAAACATTACAACAAAAAAAAAAAAAAAATTCTTCATCCGTTTTAAAGGAGTAAACTCAATTGAAGTTCAATTAAAAACATCGATTGTTGATGCTAATACCAAATAAAACACACCTATAATTACAAAAATAAATGTCAAATATTAAGTGAAATGTCACTTAAACCAAATAGCCTTTTAACCCTCAATATTTTAGCAACCAACTATGAGTCTCTAGATACTAAGATTTATTATTCTTACCTCACTGGATATTTTCATACACTATAAGGAAACTCATAGCATTACAGTGTAAACGTTAATAGACATCCTCAGAATAAACTTAACTATACAAAGAATTCAAAAAGATATTGTTTTCACAAGATAATTAAACTATATTGGCTCTAGACCAGTATCAAAACCCGCAACAAAAACATACAAACATACATGACATAAAAATCCTATTTTCTAGAGACTCTGAAGACATGGATGATGAAGAGGAAGAAGATGATGAATTAGATGATGACACTGAAGTGATCACCAAACTTCTTGAAGCCGATGAGGAGGAGGCTGATTCTGGCAGCGATGAAGAATACTGCTGCTCAACGGAGGCATCACCTAGCGAACAACCACGGAGGTCGAGACGATTATGTAACTCATACATAGACAGTGACTCATCTCCTCCAGTTGATGATGAAAAGTGAAGTATAAATAAATCGAAAGTAGAAAGTAGACATGCACCGTCCGCTTTCATCTATAATTGTTTTGATTTATTTAAGCTTTGCTTTTGCATGTGAAAGGAATCAAAGTACATTAAAAAGTATTTTAACATTAGTTATGCTACTTAGATCTTTAAATTTCGAAAATAGAACTATAAGATTGGGTACATGATTTTAGTTTTCAAAATTTAACACTTCCCAATTGCTTTTAAGGCCTTGTAAGTAAGTAATATTTTAAAAGACCACATTCACTTTAAAAATAATGGGTCATAACTTGCAAAAAGTCTATACTGAAGCATATTTTTAAATTAAATTGATTTTTCCAAGAAGTAGATCCAACCTATTTATTTCTATTGTTTTTCTATTATCAGTGATAATAGCAAACTATTATCATAAATTGGTTTGAGGTTTATTGAGGTAAATATATCATGGTTTTATAATCTAAAATGGCTTTAGATTTAGTTTAGGTTCTCAAGTAAGAATTAAAAATTACCTAAATTATGTAGTAGTAGTAATTTGTTTAACAGCCATAAAAAAATTACAGTTTTCATGAATATGATCATTGCAGCAGATTGGAAATATTTTTGTAAATTCTGCACCTGTTTTTTTTTTCGATGATTGAAACTGCAGAAATACTCAACAATATTAATTTATTGCACATGCACTTTTGATTACTTTACAATTTGATTTATTTTTACCATTATTTTTTAAGTTGCTTTTTAATCAATAATTCTCAAGGAAAATTTAAAATTTCAACAATTTTATGTTTGGTATTTGAGAATATTTATTAAATTTTATATATATATATTTGCAGGGTCCCTCGACGCCGTTCAACACGCAGAACAAAAGCACATTATACTGAGTCTAATGAAAGGTTAGTTTTATTTTAAACTCTTTATTCTCTCAATCTTGTGGTGTTCTTCTCCTGAGGTTTAGTTCCAATGGAAACAAGAATGCTACCTGTATTCGTAGTTCATGTCTGACTTTGTTGAGACACCTGTGTATTGTTACGGAATATCCATCTTCGAATGAAATTAAAGATTTTTCATACAGAGGAACCTTAGATCATTATCGTGTGTTTACCACTTATGTAGATTCAAAATATGAAAATGAAAATATTTTTTCTAAGTTTACTACATCCATGTAATAGAATACTGTTTGTTCAGAAGTGATCGTCCAAAACGTAAAAGAATTCGTTCCGCATGCGCTGAAGATGCTTCCGATGAAGAAATGCAAGAAGTCAAAGCGTGAGTGTACATAAATATTATAGATTTTTATTTATTTTAGAGGGTAATTATTATTTATTGCTTTTTCAACCTGCAGACAGACAACCTGTAATTAACGAATTGGGGCTTCAATTTTATGATGATTATTGTTTTTATTAGAGAGCCAGCAGACGCTGAAGAGGGCTCTGAAGCTGCTTGCCCACTCGAGGACTCCACGGTAGTCGCCATGTGCATGTGCGAAGAGCCGAGCAATGTATATGCCGCACCTGAGGATCTCACTGGTAGGGTACATAACTAAGCAAAGTCTACTATTATTAGCAAACAAGCCGATGTTGAGTGGTTATCGGAGACACAGCATCAAAACGTGAATAGTGCTACCTACCTTGGGACATTAGGTCAAAGTGACAGTTGTATTCTATAATAGTTAACCTATGTTTGACACTACTTTTTGTTGGTGGTAGGACCTCTCGTAAGTCCGCGCGGGTAGGTACCACCAACCTGCCTATTTCTGCCGTGAAGCAGTAATGCGTTTCGGTTTGAAGAGTGGAGCAGCTGTTGTAACTATACTTGAGAGCTTAGAACTTATATCTCAAGGTGGGTGGCGCATTTACGTTGTAGATGTCTATGGGCTCTAGTAACCTCTTAACACCAGGTGGGCTGTAAGCTCGTACTAACGTTATTGTCTAAAAATTTGACTGAAGAATGTAATCGTCACATAATGTTACGTTCTGTGATCTGTTCGTGCGACAGAGCCGGTGTTCTGTCAGGCGATAGAGATGCTGGACGGCGTCCGCGTGGGCTGCTCCCACCTGGCGCGGCGCGACCCCGACGGCGCCCACGCCGCCCTGCTGCGCGCCGGGCCCCGCGCCCCCTACCTGCTCGCCTGCACGCTGCACGCCAGCCAGCTCACCAGCCACATGTGCTGCGCCGCGTGCGGACTCTTCTGTACCCAGGTAAACTCATTGTAAGACTGCTGTTTGCTCTATCAGCGCGGAGCTCTTTTTAATACGCTTTTATTAGCTTCAGACGTATGTATGTAACGGAATCATTGAACATAATTTTGACTCCATTCAAAATGTCGGATTAACTCGAACTTTTGTATACTTATAAAGGACAGCTGTCAATTCAATTTTTAAAAAAATATTGAAAAATAAATTGAGATAATTGAAATTCAACTAAAAAATGAAAAATAAATAATAGTTTAAAAAAACTTATGTGGGGTGCATTGTATCAATAGTTATAAATATTTTATGAACAGATATGAGTAGAAGGGTTATTTTGATAATATCCTAAAAAGCACCACACGCTTTTTTACAATGAAATCATTTTTTCTTACACTATTTTTAATTCAAATTTATAAAAATTTATATTCTACCTATTTTTTAGTTGGATTTTCTATAAAAGCGTGTTTTGTTAGTTTTTTTAAACTATTATTTATTATATTTTTCGGGATTGAATTTTCCTTTTTGTCTATGGCTAAACTAAAATTTACTGCTGTTGCGGCGCATTGAGGCTTTCTGGTTCGATAGCTATCAATGTAATATCATATCACCGTCTTGGTGATATGTTGCATGTCCAATTCCTATTGAGATAATAAACAATTCTAATGGTGCTTAGCATATTGATATTATGTTTCCGTTACCAGGGCATATTCTACCAGTGTTCAAAAAATCACCTGTTCCACGTGGAGTGCAGCCTGAGCACGAACGATGCGCAGTCGGCGGTGGGGTGTCCCCACTGCGGTGTGTACTCGTACCGCTGGCTGCCCGCCAACACGGACTGCCACAGCGTCAAGCTCACCATGACTTGCAGCAACAAGAGGATATTCTTACCTGAACAAAGAGAGCAATGGTATATATAATGGCTTCATTCCCTTGTCAATACTTTTTTTTATTTTTTTATTGCCCTGCCTACAAGGCGAGCATACAGCCCTCCTGATGGTGAGTGGTTACCGTCGCCCATGGACTTCAGCAATGCCAGGGGCAAAGCCAAGCCGCTACCTACCAAAATACTTACTGATATAAATAAACTACTGATTAATTCGCAAATATAATAATAATTACATTTATTTACTCCACAATACAAATACAAATAACTTTTCAATTAATATGACAAAAAAAAATCTAATTCTAAACAATATTACAATATATTATGCTGACACAGTGGAGATAAAAAAGCCGCGGCTCAGCTTTGTGATAGCTGAAACTATCGCTGTTATTCTGCCGCTGCCTGTAATCTTAATCTATAAACTTAAATCTAATAATACCTAAATTTAAATATGTGGCATAATCTACAGAATCCCTGCCTCCGCACTTTGCTGTTTAAGTACAAATTCCTTATAAAAGTATTTGAAGGGGTTTAATTTAATATATAAATGTCTGCTTGAAATTTTTCAAGATCGTCAGAAATTAATCACACTGGAATGTTCTGCATATTAGTCCATCGGTGCCTTAAATATGACATTCATAACATGTTTTTCAGTACGCCCGCCCACTTATCTTTTTTGAGTAAAACCAAAGAAGCCAAAATAGAGCCTATAATCCCCGAAGACCTGCTGCCGTCGCCTCCGCTCGACTTGGAGCTGCTGTCGAAGCGGCCGGTCAGCGCGGAAGACGAAGAAGAGGCTTTGCAAGAATTGTGTGACGCAATACTGGCCCGGGAGAACGTAAATAATTTGTTGACTAAAATTGGTAAGTCAAAGATCTATTCTTTTGTTTTTCTTATTTTATACTAGTTTGACGTAATGAACCAAAGGGAAACGGGGGTGACTGAAAGTCGGCGCTGTTCGATTTATCGACTTTGAACAGCATTAGCTGAGCTACTTTCTTTTGCCTTTTTCTTTTTCTTTTCTTTTCTTTTATGTAAGGCAATGAATGATTTTATTATTATTCTACTAGCTGAGTAACTTATAGACATTTCCGTGACCGTGTCGGTGTGTGCAGCGGCGGTGTGCGACGTGGACCGCGCCGTGGCGTCGGAGGCGGGCGGCTCGTGCGCGCACGCGGCGGCGCGCGGCGGGCACGCGGCGGCGCTGCACGCGCTGCACNCGGCTCGTGCGCGCACGCGGCGGCGCGCGGCGGGCACGCGGCGGCGCTGCACGCGCTGCACGCCGCCGCCGCCGCGCTCGACCGCCGCGACCGCCGCGCCAGGACGCCGCTCGTCGTCGCCGTGTCGGGTCAGTTCATTCAAAGCTCCCTTGTTCTGCGGCCCTTATAACTACGACAATAAGGCTTGAACACATCAAAACGCCGTACTTTTTTAATTGACATCCACAGTTAAAGAATAACATCGTGTAATAAAAATGAAACCCGCAAAATTATAATTTGCGTAATTACTGTTGGTAGGACCTCTTGTGAGTCCGCACGGGTACATACCACCACCCCGCCTGAAGGGTGGAGCAGCCGTTGTAACTTTACTGAGACCTTAGAACTGATATGTCAAGGTGGGTGGCGCATTTACGTCGTAGAAGTCAATGGGCTCCAATAACCACTTAACACCAAGTGGGCTGTGAGCTCGTTCACCCATCTAAGCAATAAAATAATAATAATGTGGCGCATTGTTATGTCAAAGTGGTGAAGAGAATCAGACACTCTATGGCTTAGTATATTTTCTCTTATTGTTTCTGTAGATTTGTTGTCAGTGTATTAAACGTTTTATTCATCAGTTAATTTTAAAACCCGTTGCAAAAAAACCTTTTTAAATAGTTTTCAATCGGCCTACATTAAAATCTACTCACACACCTAGATAGTTAACCTATTGCAAAGTAATTGCTCAACCGCATAATTTTAGTAAAAAATATTTTTTACCAACAGCGCTTGTCGATAAATCGGTTAAGAAGATCGAAGATATAAAGAAAGACGAAAGAGATTCAACAGAAGAGATGGAAGTGGACCACGAAAAGGACGAAGAGAACGAGAAACCAGAAGCAGAAGCAGAACACAGTGACGGAGAAGAGAAGGCAACGTTAGGGGCAGTCGAAAGGGAGAAACCGAACGATGAAGACTTGATGAGGGTCATAAGATACCTGATAGCGGCCGGCTGCGACTTGAACGCCGCCGTGAGTGTGTTGTGTTGCTCATTACCAGTTTCCAACCTTCCAATATTAACCCTTTATATATTTAAAGCTGCTCTGCGTTCGTCCTGTCTTTTATACGATCTGCTGGTGATAGGACTTTCTGTGGAGCGCACCGTACTATTTTGGACGCAACTTCCCCACTACACAGTGTTGCCATCTCAATTAATCGTGTTCCCATAACAAGAAGCCGTCATGGCCCGCTATACTCGTGTCAATCTCGCGTGAAGGTATCAGTTATTGTAAGGAAATATGTACTTAATACGGATGAGCGACATCCACGAATAAAAAACATCAGTTTGTGTCTGATAATGCTACACATTACACAAAGCACATTTAAAACTATACTGAAGTGACACCTTGTCAGTCCAGCTGTAACTTGTTACTTAATGAAAATGCGAAAAGCGCCACTACAAAGAGAAACATGTATAGGACTTAGTTTTTAGCACTTTTGGAGGTTTCAGTTTCACCGCGTACTAATTGCCCATAATAATATGTTTTTACTCTCGTCTATACTATAAATGGCATTATTAAATAATTTTTTTAAGTTATACTTCTTTAGGCGCGTTATGAAAAATTGATGAGAGTGAAATTTTTCGATGCGCGCGCACCGTGACACAAAATTAACAGAATGAAGTTGCCCACTAAATCGCTCATTACAATACGACCGACGTAACTTGGCGAGTATGAATATAGCCGCAGGTGAACTTTCGCGCATGTACACTTGTAAAAAAAAGTGTTATTAGAATTCATGTTTTAGTAATATAAATGAGAAAATTATTATTTAATATAATTCATACTAAATATTATTAAATTAACTAACGTTAAATATTTATTATTAATTATTTAATATTAAAAAAAAGAAATAAATTTAATAAAAATAAAGTATAACTTCTTACGCGCCTACATAAGTACACGCACCTTTTTTTTTATCTTTGAATATTTTTATGAGTTCGTAAAACTGACGTTAAATTTGAATACAGGATTCGGAAGGCATGACGGCTCTCCACATAGCGGCCCAGCACGGGGACGCGGCTGTGTGCGGCGCGCTGCTGTCCGCGGGCGCCGAGGTGGACGCGCGCGACCAGGGCGGCTGGACCCCGCTCGTCTGGGCCGTCGAGAACGATTATGCCGACGTTGTCAGGTACCCTTGTCCAACTTAAAAAAGGAACACCTATATATCTTGTAACTAGCAACCCGGTCCAGCTTCGCTCGGGTCAACAAAAATTGCAATGATATTTGGCGTTATTTTATTTTTTTAAATAAAAGACCACTTATTGCGGCATAACTATGATAGTTAGACATGTGCTGTCTCGACACTTTTTGTAAATAATAATATGCTCTACAAAATCGTTATAGACGAGAATCGTTGGTCTCCCGTATAGATGTGGTCTAGTATGTATGGGTCGTCCGGACTTGTAGCGTAATTGAGAAAAGGTACCTGAGTAAGCGCCGTCGGTGTTCGGATAGTAAATTAAATACGACACCTTGCACACTAATTAAATGTTTATTCAACTAACACTGAGTCCACACGAAAATACAACACAGTCTATATTATTATAATTATGAAGAGTTGAAGGTTACGAGCACAGACAGATATTCAGTTTATAAACAGTACACAGAAGAAAGACACTTTACACGACAGTACAGTAACGATAAACACAAAGAAAGCGCGTTATCACAAGTGAGGCAAAAGCTTCGAAAACAATACAACAGTATACAATTAGCAAAAGCGACGTGCGTTCAGTACGAGGTAAGTTTCGACTGGGGGAGTGGCTAGCCGCGATCAGCTGCGCAAGAGTATATTTTCCAGCTACCCGCGACATTCCGTACAAGCGCGCGTGTCCACAGCGCGAACGAACGGGCGACCAGCTGATTGACGTGGTACGATAAATTGTCGTGTGTGTATGTCTGTTTTAAATGTAATGTAGTAATAATATATTAATAGATATGTTATATGTGTGAATGTATACTCTGTGTGTATTAATAATTATATTAAATAAATATATTATATAAATATTATATTGTAAAGAGTAAATGTGTGTGCATGGAATGTGGGATAAGCCCACATCGTAATACATTCTTTTATTCTATCATGAATAGTTTTCACAGGACACGCGATGTTTTTTTTTTATTGATTAGATGGGTGGACGAGCTCACAGCCCACCTGGTGTTAAGTGGTGTAAAAAATGTAAAGAACATTTTAGACAATTTTTTTGCACAAAGTCGTACATTTTTTTATTCTATCATCAATAGTTTTCACAGGGCACGCGATGTAAAAAATATTTTAGGTAATTTTTTTGCACAAAGTCGTAGTCTTCATCATCAATGTCTTCAGAGTCTCTTGCAAATAGGATTTTTATGTCATGTATGTTTATGTTTTGGTTGCAGTTTTTGATACTGGTCTAAAGAGCTTATATAGTTTAATTATCTTGTTTAAGCAATATCTTTTTGAATATTTTAGGTAAGTTCATGCTGAGGATGTCTATTAACATTTACATTGTTAAGCTATGAGTTTCCTAATAGTGTATGAAAATATCCAGTGATAAATAAATCTTAGTATCTAGAGACTAAAAAAAAAACCTAAACACGTTCTTGAGTGGAGACCGCGAACTGGAAAACGTAGTGCAGGACGCCCTCAAGCTCGATGGAGTGATAATCTGTGCAGGGTGGCTGGCAGAAGCTGGATGAGAGAAGCCGAGGAGCGTGCTCAGTGGCGAACAATTGGAGAGGCCTATATCCAGCAGTGGACTGCTATAGGCTGATGATGATGATCTAGAGACTTATAGTTGGTTGCTAACATATTGAAGGGTGAAATGTTAATTGGTTTAAATACATTTCGTTTAATACGTGACATTTATCTTTGTAATTCAAGGTGCGTTTTATTTGATACTTTTAATTGAACTTCAATTATGTTTAGTCCATTTAAATGGTTGAAAAAGTTTTTCTGTTCTGTTCTGGCATTTTTTGAAAATTTTTCTTTAAACGTCCCTCCTGTACAGTTGCAAAAATGTCACTTAAACCAAATTGCCTTTCACTCTTCGATATGTATATACATTCTTGGACAGTCTTGTTTTAACCGTAAACTCAAAAAGAAATCTAAGCCAATTAAAATTAGTAGAATTTAACAAAAATTCCGAATTGTAAATCAATAATTTCGACTAGTCATCATCTTAAAACTAACACGATTAGGTCTCGCAGCAACTGTACTCAAGTGTGTGTGTGTGTGCATCAGGCTACTGCTGCGCGAAGGAGCGGACGCGCTGTCCGTGGACAAGGAGGGCAACAGCGCGGTGCACTGGTGCGCGGCAGCCGGCTCCTCCCGCGCGCTGCCGCTGCTCGCCGCCGCCGCGCCCGCCGCCGCGCACGCGCACAACGCGCACCTCGACACGCCGCTGTCAGTACGCCGCACACCTCCCTGCCCTCTAACATATATATTTATTTATCTATTTGGCACACAATACCCATTACAAGCTAAATCGATCATCGTTATTAACCCTCAGACACAGCCCACTGACTTTTTCCCCGGATCTTCTCAGTGGGTCGCGTTTCCGATCCGGTGGTAAATTCTACGAAGCACTACTCTTGCTAGGATTCGTGTTAGCAACAACGTCAGATTTGAGCCCCGTGAGCTCACCTACTCGCTCGGTGACATTGATATGGTCTCTCAAGAGTATCAGCTGAGGTAGGAAAAAAAACAAGCTAAAAAGATACACAACAAAAGTAAAAAATCTGGCTTAGCACATAAGCCATGCGCGCACGACTAAACAAAACAAACGTGCTGAGGTTGTACACAGATTATACTAAAAATTTAATTAATCAAATAAAAAAATCTTTAAATAGAGCAATAAAACAATTCACAAAAGTACTAAAAAAAATTGAGTAAATAATATCATAAACAGCCACTGTTGCAACAACAAAAACTGCAGTTTCGGCTGTTTGTTGTTGATCTAGTATCCTCGCGTCCTAGCACCTCTACTTATTATAAGTGCCTTAAAAAGTGCACAGAGGCGAACGAAACACATTTTCATTATGAAATGAGTTAATACAAAATATTTGACAATTTGTAATTTGGTGATTTTTTTTTTAATTTCAGACATGTCGCAGCGAGACAAGGCCACTACTCGTGCGTCGTGATCCTGCTGGCCAGAGGCGCCAAGGTAACCATGGCGATCCACTTTACTAGCAGAAACGAACATATTAGATAAGGGAGTTGGTCTCGCAAACCCGACCAGAAACTGATAACTGGGATTCCTCTGTTTAAAAATTAGTTTTTTATTTTTATTATACTAATGTTTTGTGGCCGGTTTTTGTGTTGCAATACAATTTACTTGATGAGTGGTTGCCCGTCTCCTATGACGCACGATGGGTTCGCAATTATAATTTATTAGCATTATGCAATACGATAAAGAGACGTGCTGGGCGAAGAAAGAAGTCATGGCTCCGGAATATCCGGGAGTGGAGCGTTAGTGCCCCCGTCGAACAGCTGTTCCGGCTGGCTGCTGATAGAAATGAATACAGGAAGCTAACGGCTAACCTTTAGGATTGAAGAGGCACTGAAAGAAGAAGAAGAATACGATAATCTTAGTCTGTCATATTGTTTATGGCAACAAATGTGAACGTTTTCAGACGGACGTTGCGAATTCTTCCGGGGAGCTCCCGATCGACGTGGCTACAGACCCCAGCCGGCGCGCCATCTCGCTCAGCATGCAGATGAATCTCGCGGTCACAGAGAAGCTCGGCCAGCGAAACGTTCTATCCTTGTACGCGTGGTTTCTTTCTCCTTGCTATTACGTCATTAATCCGGTACATGTGTGCAACCTGCCTTACTTCATTAATCTGGTACAGGTGTGTAACCTGCCTTACGTCATTAGGCAGGTCCACGTGTGCAACCTACCATACGTCATTATTCCTCTGGTGTGGTAGATCTTTAATTAGCGAATCAAGATAAAAATCGGCTGGAACGCGTCAGGTGCTACGCCGCTGTAGTCAGACAAAAAATTTATCAGTTTCACTAGATCAACATCCTCCGATTGCCGAAACTGATATCGATTATTTTATAAGATTTGTTTACCTATTGACAGTGACATTTCGAATGGCTGCGAGATGTATCCGATACCGTGCGTCAACGAAGTGGACTCTACCCCGCTGCCCGACGACTTCGTGTACGTCACGTCGCACGTCATGCCCACGCAGATCCCCATAGACAACACCATACAGACGATGCAGGTAATCTGGCGTGTGTCGACACTAAATGTAATCTGTTCCCTTGCGGATCTACAATATTTTATGAGACTTTGGCGGGAACGCCAGGAGTGAAGTTGTGTGATTTGTTTATTTTATCTATTTAGTGTTTCTTTAGGTTTAAATGTGTAATAACGGTGGTTTATTAACTGTTTAATATCTGTGAAAGTGCACAAATGTGGGAAAATGAAACAAAGATGCTGGACGTAACTTCTCGGGTTCCTCCAAAAAGTCCACTGAAAAAATCTCAGTAAATGACCACCATTTTACTGCGATTATATTTCATCCCATATCATCTCATTTCATTTAATTTCATCTCATTTCACTCCATTTTATCATTTTTCATAAAAATAAGAATATAAATAAATTAAAATAAGACATGACTTAAAGGTCTTAGTTACCAGGTCATAAAATCCATAAAAAAAAACAATATTTTATAATACTCATATAAGGTGCCTATTATTATTTATTTTCTTATTTTAGTTTATATTCTTATTTTTGTGAATAAACATAATATGAAGTAAAATGAAATGAAATTTCCCGAGCGCTAAGACATGTCCTTCTTCAAACGAGGCTTGTGGAGAGTATTAAGCGGTAGGCAGCGGCTTGGCTCTGCCCCTGGCACTGCTGAAGTCCATGGGCGACGGTAACCACTCACCATCAGGTGGGCCGTATGCTCGTTTGCCTAAGAGGGCAATAAAAAAATTAAATGAACTGAGATGATATGGGATGGGATGAATTATAATCTCAGTAAAATGGTGGATATTTACTGAGATATTTTCACTGGACTTTTTGGAGGATCCCGAGAAGTTACGTCCAGCAGCTTTGTTTAATTTTCCCACATTTGTGCTCCTTCACGGATATTAAACAGTTAATAATCCACCGTTATTACACATTCAGAAATGCTAAATAGACTAAATAAAACAAATCACAACCACTCCTCGCGTTCCCGACAAAAGTCCTATTGACAGTCGTCGCACAATCAAAATCATAGAGCTGGTCATGTCACCCGTAGTAGTAGTACTAGAACGTAGTAGGATTCTGTTCATGTCAGTACTCCACACCAGGCCGCTCTGTTATTTCAACTTTGGCTCTCAACACCTCAAGCTCTGGAACGCTGTCGAAAGTTATGTTACGCGATACGATTTGTAGTAAGGCCTGGGTCGATCTATGTAGTTCACCAGCTCCCTAGCAGATAGCTTGGAATAGGCACGTTAATGAAACCGTGGTTTTTTATTTATTGTTTAGATGGGTGGACGAGCTCACAGCCCACCTGGTTTAAGTGGATACTGGAACCCATAGACATCTAAAACGTAAATGTAGTAGGATTCACTCACCTTGAGACATAAGTTCTAAGGTCTCAGGTATAGTTACAACGGCTGCCCCACCCTTCAAACCGAAACGCATTACTTTTTCACGGCAGAAATAAGCAGGGTCCTACCACCAATAAAAGCCCCTCTCAGTGTCCTCGTTCGTCCGCAGGGCTGCACGTGCAAGGAGGGCTCGTGTTCGTCGGAGTCGTGCGCGTGCTGTGTGCTGTCGGTGCGGCGCTGGGCGCGCGCGGGCCGCCTGCCGCCCAACTTCCCGCACCACGACCCGCCAGTACTCTTCGAATGCAACGCCACTTGCGCGTGTAACAAGGTGTGCACATAAATACAAGGGTTCGTCACAAAACACGAATGAAATGTTGCTGTAGAGACAGGTGGCCAAACGATACGAGTTACACGCCGCTGACTTTAGTTGTACACCTCCCGAAGGTATCTATTTCGAATGTTTGAAATTGTAAAATCAACCACAATAAGTGCTAAAGAAAATATATGTTGCTTCCAGCATACAATATCAGCAGTACAGACTGCAGTGAGCATATGAATAAATTTGTATGGAGTTGGAATAGCTTCCCTTCGCTTGCCGCTAGGGGCGCTGTTCCAACTCCATACAAATTTGAGTTAGCTTTTACGCGATCGAGAGGTTATAAAACTCGCATTAAACACACAGATACCAGTTCACAATATGATCTACCTTCACAGTAAGTAACGTTTTTGAAATCCTCTGTGACTACAGAAGAAGTGTACGAATAACTTGGTGGGCAAGTTGTCCTCGCGCGGCGCGACGTTCGTCCGCACGGAGGTGTACCGGTGCGCGGGGGGCGCGGGGTGGGGGCTGCGGGCGCGCGAGGCGGTGCCGCGGGGTGCGCCGCTCGCGCTGTACTGCGGGGAGCTGCTCGCCTCCGCCGTGGCCGACACCAGGCCCACCGACCATTACATGTTCTCACTTGATCTCAAGCCGGATCTCCTCGAGGTTACTCTTAATTCGATTTTTTTAATTTTCCATGATCACGACAATAGTATCCAAAATTTTTAAATTATATTAGTCGCTTTACAAAACCGTAAAAATATATTTTAATGATTAGAACACTATCTTTAAATTTCAAGACAAAGGGTACTTACTTTATGATATACTAGCTGACCCGGCAGACTTCGTAGTGCCTCAATGGATAAATAAAAGATCTAAACTTTTGAAAAATTAAAATTAAAACAAACAAAAGGAATCCGTCCGATGGGGGGGGGGGGACACATCAAAGGAAAAACAAAATTGTTATTTTTATTTAATTCACCTTTTAAACTTTCTCTGGACCTCCACAAATAATTCAAGATCAAAATTAGCCAAATCGGTCCAGCCGTTCTCGAGTTTTAGCGAGACTAACGAACAGCAATTCATTTTTATATATATAAGATTATGTACAAAAAACCTATATACACTCAACAAAAATAATCGTCGCAACACCACACCGTACAATGCGAAATAGAAAGACGAAACGAAAATAACTGTCTTGTTTTCTATGAGAGAGAGAGAGAGAAAGACAGAGAAACACGCGCACGCCGCACGGCTTAGCAAAAAGTGTCGTTACAACTTTTGGTCTTAATTTTTTTTTTAAATATAGAAAATATTTTCAAATTTCCAAGATAAAGGGTACTTTAAGATATAGTGATTGTTGTACAGCAATGTGCGGACAAGACGCAGCTGTGCATAGACGCGGCGTCGTACGGCAGCGCGGCCCGCTTCATGAACCACAGCTGCGAGGCGAGCGCGGCCGCCGTCCGCGTATTCACCCGCCACCGCGACCTGCGCCTGCCGCTCGTCGTCCTGTTCGCGACCAGGGACATACACCCAGGAGAACCGCTCACGTAACCTTGCTAAGAATAATACTAACTTATCTATACTAATATATAAATCTACAGTAGTTTTTACGGATGTTCCGTTATAACTACTGAACCATGGATCCGGTTGACTTGAAACTTGGTATCCATGTAGAAAATACATGTACTTAATGGATAGGCTAATATTTATATGAGCGTTGGACTCCCTACACCAGTTGCGGGGGCGTTAATAATGAGAATCTTTGTGGAGATGAGAAATAATAATGTTAATTCTAAATGCCCAACGAAGCGGACGGGTACAGCTAGTCACTAATATATAATCTTAGCGTGCTCTTTCACGAGCTGTTATCCACTTTACAAAGGGTCGCCTCCATTACCATAACTTTCTTTGGGAATTTCAAGCTCATGGATGGAGAGATCACGACGGGGGCCAGGGTCATGGAAGGATAAAAATTTATTTTCATTTACAATATTGTACTTAGAAGCAAGTATTTCTATGTACAATCTCTTAGAAACTGCGATTTGTAAAATAACTAAATCAAACTAAGCTTTAAGAAATTCGAATAAAATTTAGGTTATAGGAAGGTCACATTTGCAATTACCTTAAATTTCGAAAAAAAAAAACATCCTTTACACTATCTACTCTATTATTACTAATCTATACTAATATATAATTCCACAGTGGTTTTTACGGATGTTCCATATAACTACTGAATGCATCCGATTGACTTGAAACTTGGTATCCATGTAGAAAAGTTTTGAAGTCGTCGTGGCGTAAAGGATAAGACGTCCGGTGCATTCGTGTGTAGCGATGCACCGGTGTTCGAATCCCGCAGGCGGGTACCAATTTTTCTAATGAAATACGTACTCAAGAAATGTTCACGATTGACTTCCACGGTGAAGGAATAACATCGTGTAATAAAAATCAAACCCGCAAAATTATAATTTGCGTAATCACTGGTGGTAGGACCTCTTGGGAGTCCGCACGGGTAGGTACCACCACCCCGCCTATTTCCGCCGTGAAGCAGTAATGCGTTTCGGTTCGAAGGGTGGGGTAGCCGTTGTAACTATACTGAGACCTTAGAACTTATATCTCATGGTGGGTGGCGCATTTACGTTGTAGATGTCTATGGGCTCCAGTAACCACTTAACACCAGGTGGGCTGTGAGCTCNAAAAAAAAAAAAAAAAAAAAAAAAAAAAAAAAAAAAAAAAAAAAAAAAAAAAAAAAAAATACATGTACTTAATGGATAGGATATATGAGTGTTGGACTCCCTAATAATAATGACAATAAATAATAATGTTAACTTTAAATGCCCAGCGAAGAGGGCGAGTACGGCTAGTCTATAATAATTGGATAGTGGCTCGGCGATGGCCTGGATCATCTGCCTTCACATATCGTCTCACTCGTCTGCCTATTAAATCAATATGAAAAAAATTTACAATGATTTCTATTTTCATTAACAGTTTTGACTACGGCGACAAATTTTGGGCAATAAAAGCGAAGTGGATGAGATGCGAGTGCGGCGCTCCCGACTGCAGGTATCCGGTGAAAGGGGGCAGTAACAACGACAGTAATTAAACTCTACTGGAATGTAGTTGTCGTTGTAAATTATAATTATTAAGCTTTAATTTATTTTAAAATCATTTTTACATATTATATATATGTAATAGATGTAATAAATGTTATATTCGAAACAAAAATATTCCAATAAAACATTTTGAAACTGTGCGTTTCTATTTAGTCATTAATTTTAATGAATTTGTTTACTTTAATTTTAACAAAATTCATCACAGTAGAATAAATGCCTATAGTGGCATATCGATTACGTTATCTAACGTAAGCTAATTTAGAATAATCTAATCTAAGGCTGCCTGTTGACCGGAGCGGAGCGGGGAGACTGAGAAATATTAACCAATAAGATTGCACAAAATCATTTTGCAATCTTATGATTTTGATTGTGGACGCTCCGGTGGACAGGCAGCCTTAGTGGTCCCAGATAACCCCAATCTAGGGTAGAAATCTAACGTTACTAAGACAGGTTAACGAAGTCTAAAAAACGACGTTTTATATCTACTAACCCCGTTTGCGTAGATGAGAGGAAAATAATATCTAGAAGATTATAGAGCTATAAATTAATATTAAATAATAAATTATTACAGTAAGAGGTTATCTAACATGATTTGAATATTATTTGCAAAAATTTGATGCAAGAGTAAGAACATTAAAATTGAAAATAATTTTTTTAGTGTAAATGTGTAAAGAACGTTCATGGCTGCTGTGGATCATTAACTTTGGTGTCCCATGAGGCTAGATGCTTTCTCCCACGTTCTTGTTTATTAATAACATCGCTCTCCACGAATACCAAGCATTGTTAAGCCGATGATAAGAGAGAGAGAGAGAATAAATACACTTTATTGCACACCAAAACACAATTTACAATCAAAAAACCGTCAAAAAGCAGATTGCAGCAGACATTTGTACAATAGGCGGTCTTATCGCTAAAAGTGATCTCTTTCAGACAACCCCTTAATTTACAGAAATTTTGGAAAATATAAAAATATAGCAGGTATGTTACGGTGTACTATACACAATACATTATTATAGAAAAAATATACATACAATAAACAGATATATACCGTTTACATATATGTAATATAAAATATATAACTAATTAATTTAAATACCAATAAAGATAAGACGGGTACTCATGAAAAATATTATTTTATTTCACTTTTGTTCAAAGTTGCTTACCGGATTTATAAGCAGGTCGTAATTCTGATCTGGTAGTAGATGAAAGGAAAGGACTACATTCTCTTTGCCTTTCTAAATTGAAAAAAACTAAGTTAACAATTTATTTCAAAATGTCAACTGTCAGTCCCACGAAAGCAAAAGTAGGTAGTTTCTAAAGTGAAATTTTCTTTTCAAATTTGTAAAAAGTCGTAATTAAAATACATATTCTCATTTAATTAAAGAAACAAAGATAATGAGTAATTTGTATTTAACACCTGAACATGTGCTGCAAGGCGGATACCATCATGCTGCCTTGAGAAAGTTACAGGAACCGAACACAAGCATCGAACCGCACAATATTATGTATCCTGTGTTTTTAATGTATGTATTATGGACTTATATTTCTGTAGGCAATAAATAGATTGTGTAAATATAATATAATGGTATCGCATTACCTTGATAAGTCTTAGCTGCAGAATAGTCGCTACCTACTTTGGAAATTTTATTTGGGTGGTTTCATATTATTCTTTTCGTTCACTAATTAAGAATTTATGGTAACAATTATTCCCAAATGCAAATAACACAGGAATTCAATAATCTGAACATAAATGATATTCTTAAATTTATTTTGTTATATTTGTGAAATGAAACTTTTTTATTTATAGAGAAAAAGATAATGCTATCGAACCGGTTCATAGTATGCCGAATGTAAACAGATATGGTGTTGACCAACTCATACCCCTTTTAGCAGAACTTGTGGAGAAAGGACTCAAATCTATACTCATTTTTGGGATTGTGGAGACACTGCCTAAGGTAACACACTTAAACTCATAATTAAAGAAATAAATAAATAGCCTTAAAGGTAACTAAAAATTTATTAATTTGAGTAATGAAATCTCTACAACCAGTGATTCTCAAATTATAAACTCAAATTCTTAGAGTGCTGCCAAATTTTACATTCAAAATTATAATCACACTATTATATACATAAGTGAACAACTTTTAAATCTATCTTTTTCTTAGTGTGCTATTAAATTTTAAAATTGTGTAGTTACAAAAAAAGTTGTAGAATCAATACTCTACATATTTATGTCTCTAAATTCTCAGAGAAACATATTGCTCATTGTTATATAATATGTCATAGACATACTTTAAGTATCTGTTTGCAGGACCCAACAGGTACTAGTGCAGATTCAGTAGACAATCCAGTAATAAAAGCATTGCCGAAATTGCGTGCTGCCTTTCCTGATTTGTTAATAGCATGTGATGTATGTTTATGTCCTTACACATCACACGGACATTGTGGCTTACTGAAGAGTGGAGGAGGTATCGACCATGAAGCATCGGTAAAGAGGATAGCTGAAGTCGCATTGGCTTATGCAAAAGCTGGTATAACTACTTAACTTTTTATCTCTTTACTTAAACTAATAATTCAATTTTTTTTAACATCAGTTTTAACCAATTTAAAGCAAAAAAAAATGTTCCCACCTCCATAAGTCATATTTTTTTATATATAAGCTGATTTTCTTGATAGAATATTTTATGACTCCAAAATGACATCAACAAAAATATAATCATGACAAAGTAAAGACAAGACTGATAAGTACCATTTTCACCTCAGTTAACAGATGTTGCTTTATTGTTTTTTTTTATTTTGTAGCTATTGAAGAGCTTTAGGCTATAAAAAAATGGAAATAGTTTTTTTCATTTCAAAATGTCAAATGTCATGTGAGGGTGCCTAAAAGAGGCTTGGATGGATTGTGTGAAAGAGGATATGGTGTGAATACAGAGATGACGTATGATAATTTCGTGGTCATATGATGACGTATAATAAATGAATGACCTCTTTCATGCTGAGCTGATCCGCTATAGCGGAATAAAGTGGAATAAGGACAAGAAGAAGAAATAACAAAACAATGAGAAGAGAGATTGCAACATAATTATATAATTAATCAGGTTCTTATAGTGTCCATGATTAAGGTCAAATTTGGATTACTGAGCGAACGAGCCAGACATATAATATAAATCATATAATAAAGGTGATTTCCGACATATTGTTTTTTTTACTGCATTTCATTTCAACTTTAGGAACGTCGGTAAAGAATTTGTGTATTTAATTAAAATAATAGAATATTTTTTTTCAAAATGCAGGTGCTCATGTGGTGGCTCCTTCAGACATGATGGACAATAGGATTAAAGCAATCAAAGAGGAGCTGGTCAGAAATAAATTGCAAAACCAAGTAAGTGATTGAATTATTTGAATCTTATTTGTATTTGTTTATTTTGTGATCGCCATTAAAACAATAGAAATGCAATAGTGCCAATTTCTGGTGGCTTCCTTTTTACGTGATCATACCATCTCAGCCTACTCTCCTGCATCTTGTCGGCGATGTCGCGTACACCGAGGCATCCACGCACGTACTTGTTGCGGATTTTGTCATCAAGCATCTTCATTTTAGCAACTTGAATGTTATGCACGTCGTACTTGTATTGATCGCATATGGTTACAAGTTGACCGTCGATGGAAATCGGGCTGTTGTCACCTGGATCTGGGTCATCAAAAGACATTTAATGTGTCTTCGCAACACTCAATACTAGGCCACCAGCCTGTAACTACTGTTTCCACAACAGGAGTGCCTCTCGTAGCTCTCTGCCGCTCTCGGTGCAGATGGCAACGTCGTCTGCGTAGATGAAAGTCCACGAGGCTGAGGATTGCGCCACTTCAGTAAGCGAGTCTAAAACCATGCCGAATAGGAAGGGACTCAATACTGAACCTTGATGCAGAATTTCCGCAACTGCTATCGGTTTTGTCTGACCTACTACTGTTCGTACCATTGACCTCGCATCCCTGTACATGCCAACTATGATGTTAACATAATGTTGGGGTCATTGTTCTTGCGAAGGCTTCACCAGATCGTATCTCTCGGCACACAGTCAAATGCCTGTTCCATGTCCAAGAATGCGACAAACAATGGCCAAGTTTCGCACGATACTTTTCAGCGATCGTATTTAGAGCAAACATAGGATCGGTGATAGATGAGCCCTGCATATTATCTTTATAAAAAATCTCAGATAAGTTTGCTGGGGCCCCTTTAGTTGGGCATCTAAGCCATGGCGTGGCATAAAGTGAGATGAGCGAACCAGAATGTTAAATATAACCTGAAAATTACAGCAAACCAAAAATCTTTCATTATAAAACAAAAACAAAAAAGTTTCATTTTTGTTACAAACAAATTTACATTTGCTTAAGTGCGTTGCTGAAGATCGGGTTCAGTGGCGAGCTTTGGGGGAGGCCTATGTCCAGCAGTGGACTGCCGCAGGCTGATGATGATGATGAAGTGCGTTGAATACCTGAGGTTTCTTTTGATGCACTTGATATACGCAGGAGCACACGGCCGCTTATTCTGAGCAAGAGCTCAGTTTGAGAAATGGTTGTCTCGCTCTTTAAATCGATGCACATGTAAAATTGTCTTTTTTTATGTGTGATTAATGGTTGCCCTAAGGCCTTTCCAATTTCACCAGGACAGGTGGGCGAGCAAACGCTCAGCCAGGAGGGTTGATTAATTGACAGCAGAGAGGTAGGACGGTGGTATCTACCCTGAATATGTCGTAGCAGTAAGTAATGGGCGATTCCAGAAGCTGCTATCAACTCTACCTACCTGCTACCAATCATACCTTCGGCAGCTTCTTATATTTTTTAAATGGAAAAATTCATTCTGCCCTCTTCCTGCCGCTTCTGCGCTTTTATCGCCTGTGCTCCTATGTTTTTTTTTGTCATTTCTAAGGTGTCGATACTGTCTTACTCGTGTAAGTTCGCATCGTCGATGTACGGACCGTTCCGTGACACTATGAAGAGCTCACCCATGGAAGGCGACCGGAAATGCTATCAGCTTCCGCCGGGCAGCGCCGCCTTAGCCGCCAGGGCCGCAGTAAGTAACGCCAAGTATTCCAATGGTAATTTATGAAAATTATTTAGGTTACATTTTCGAATCGGTTTCTTGAACGTAACTACCTAAAGTTAAGAATTAGTTTTCGGAAAGTATGGGAGATATTTTTATAGGTACTTAATGATACCACAAATTAACTAAGTTGGTTCCAAAATATTCCCTATTTATGACCAATATTTTTTTGTATTATTATTATATGCCCGTCCCAGAACATTCCAACTTGTGTTTTTATAAATACGTTTCGAGTTAATTTTATGAATTTTTACAGTCAACTATTATTGGAATGTTTAAATCATGTAAACAGGCAAAGTCAAAAGTGACATTTTTCCGGTCACCGTCCTCGTCGAACCCGTCGCTTGCGACGAAGGGATCGACGAGCGAATTAACCCACAGACACAGCCCACTGAGTTTCTCGCCGGATCTTCTCAGTGGGTCGCGTTTCCGATCCGGTGGTAGATTCTGCGAAGCCCTGCTCTTTCTAGGGCGAGTGTTAGCAACACTCCGGCTTGAGCCCCGTGAGCTCATTTATATATTAGGGCGAAGCTGAAAATTAAATAGCCTCTCAAGGCTATCAACTAGATAGGAAAAAAAAACATTCTCATCTGTGTGTGCCAAACAATTTCATTTTTTTTTTGTAGCTTAATATTTTTTGAAAAAATATCATTGTTTTCTCTTTGTAATGTCAACAAAAGAAAAATATAAATGTGAAATATTGATAAAATGCTATTTGAAACGAGCAGGCGCGTGACGTTGCTGAAGGCGCCGACTTCCTGATGGTGAAACCGGGCCTGCCCTACCTGGACATAGTGCGGCAGACCAAGGACCGCTTCCCGCACCACCCCTTGTTCATATACCAGGTAGATTTGTATTCCCAAAAATATTAGGTATTATCGTAACAGTTAACGAACAAATATGTTACATCAATGGAGTTTATTAATATCAGACTGATAAACTTTTTCTCAAATATTGGATTCTGCTTAAATTTTATTATTACTAATATTGTATATGAGTCGACTATTATCAAAGGCGGCAATCTGACTTTTGGACAATGATTGGTAAATCAGAAAAACGAATTATTGACTTTGTATTCCATTGGCAGTCACAAAACTCTTCGGAACGACATCTTAGATAAATAACAGGTTAACTATTAAACTTTATTTAATGCAGGTTTTGAACCGTATTCTTTGAAGGAGACGATTATATTCAAATAAATCTGTATTGACATATCAATAAATTTTTTTTGTCCAAATGTACAGATTGCCACCTTTGATAATAGACGACTCATATCATCATAATATCATAACATAAAAATTATTACTGTCATTTCTATTTCTCATTTGCTTAGTATTGACCTATTTGTAGTATTAAGAATGTTGTTTTGTTCTGGTAATACGCGTCGCGTTTCCGATTCGGTAGTAGATTCAGCGAAGCACTGCTCATGCTAGGGCTAGTGTTAACGAATTCAACAGCTTGAGCCCCGTGAGCTCGCCTACACATTAGTTAGATGAACCTCGAGATTACTAGGAAAGATAGAAAAAAATGTATGCATATAACATACTGGTAGCATGACTTACTGAATGTCTCCATGAGTATACTTACCCCGGTAGCGTGGGTGGGTACCCTACCTTTCTCAGGCGAAGCTTTCGTGCATTCCAATGCATGTCATGCAGGTCATGCAATTTAAACTTCGAATTCATATCAGAAAATAGGTGACGGCATTCATGTTATGATAGGCTTCTCTTCATAATAAACAAATAACTAACTAATAAAGTAAGAACTCTCGCAAGCCTCTTCCTAAGAGGAAGTGTAAAAGTAGCCCCGGTAATTACCAAATTAAAGAGCGGACGGTTAGCGTGGTATGGACATGTGATGCGGAGAGAGAAAATGCGTGTGACTAGGAGATGTATAGAAATTGTAGTGCTAGGTAGAGGGGGAAGAGGTCGACCGAAAAAGACGTGGATGGAGTGTGTGAATGACGATATGACAGAGAGAGAGAGAGAGAGAGAGGAGTGTGAGAGTGAGAGTGTTGAGATGACGCCTGATAGAAGAGAATGAAATAGAAAAATTCCCGGTGCCGACCCCACCTAATGGGATAAGATGGAGAAAATAAGAAGAAGTCTCTTCCAACACAAGAAGGCAAAAGGGCACTCCCAAAAACGGTACAGGCTTTAAAAGGCGGATCTTCTCATTCTTCAAGCTTTCTCTATGACTCATTCCCTCAACCGCCCATAACTTTTAAAGTGTCTAAAATTTTTAGACCATAAGTTAATGTTAACGTTTGTAATCGTCAGGTATCCGGAGAGTACGAACTGATATCTAGGAGCGGTGATCGCGCGAGCATGCAGACCAACCTGATGGAGATCCTTACGTGCATGAGGAGGGCGGGTGAGATACCAACTCGTTATATAGAGCAGCGTTCGCTCAACGAGCGAAATTCGACGATAATCACTACTGCTTCAAGGTTTAATTTATGAGTTAGACCTTCTCATTGGTTTTGTTGTTGAAAAAGAAAGACCATTTTGAACCGGTGGTAGGACCTCTTATGAGTCCGCACGGGTAAGTACTACCACCCCGCATATTTCTGCCGTGAAGCAGTAATGCGTTTCGGCTTGAAGGCTGGGGCAGCCGTTGTAACTATACTGAGACCTTAGAACTTATATCTCAAGGTGGGTGGCGCATTTACGTTGTAGATGTCTATTGCTCCAGTAACCACTTAAAACCAGCGAGCTCGTCCACCCATCTTAGCTGTAAAAAAAAAAATTAAAAAAAAAAAACGTTCCATCCGGTTCTAGAATGTTCTCCACGGTGCTTGCTGAGCGCTATAATATGTCCTTCTTCATACGATGCTTGTGGAGTACTCAATGGTAAGTAGCGACTTGGCTCTGCCCCTGGCATTGCTGATGTCCATGAGCGACGGTAACCACTTACCTTGAGCCGGATTCTCGTCTGTCTACAAAGGCAATAAACATTTTTTTAAGGCCAATATTATATTTATATACTTTTGTTTTCAGGCGCCGATTGCATCATAACGTATTTCGCTCCTCTCATTTTAAGCATAATATCAGAAAAGAAGTAATAAATGTCAAATATATTATCTGTAAGTGGTGGAAGTACATACATATATATATAATAAGTACAGTTTTATAGTTATAGTAGGTATATCAAGTACAGAGACTGTTGTTAATGTTCTACTTAATTTTTATACACCAATAAATTGTTTGAGGAAATGTTTCTTTTTTTTTAATTTATAAACCTGTAGTCCTGTAGTATATTGGTGTTTTGGCCTAGAAGGAATAATGGGATCTTCAGAATCGGTAATTAATAAAAAGTAAAAAACACTGCTAAAATAAGTAATGCAATGCACGGCTTTACGCTGCTAAGAAGGGTTTTTATTATGTTGTATCCTCAGATTTTGGAGCTGTGGGTGATATGTTGAAAGTTAAACCTACTAAGAATAGTGGACACAGTCAGCCTCTACTGCGATTTTTAAGATTTCTTGTGCTGTGGCACAACAATACATACATACATATTATTATATACTTCTTGTGTTACGCTGAAATTTACCATGAATATTACCACGCTATGTATGTTAAGTATAAAATTTAAGTAAATACGGATTAGGCGCATATATTCAAGTATAAACCGCTTGGTCAGCCGCAGCCATCTTTTGAAACAAAAGTTCAATAACTTCATTTAAATTTGGAGAAAACATAGAAAGAATAGTTTTTTTTATTAATTGACACTAGTTGCCGCAAATAGGTATTACGTAGATTAAGTCAAAGTACAAGAAATTTTACTAAAATAGCCACTAAACACTTTATCCTGTAAAGTGGCTAAATTGAAACTTTTTAGTTTTTTTATATACATAATTATGTTTATGTGCTTGTACAAAAATCAGATTGAATTTAAAAATATTTTATAAAACTTTTTAGTTGTGTGTATAACATATACATATTACTAAAATTCAAAAATGATAAAATACCTACTTAGATGTGTTTTGACCAATAACTTCCTAAAGAAAATTGTTCTTAGAGATCTTGCATGGTCAGTATTGTCTGGGTGGATGATCTGCAGACTTTTGGAATTTTGACGATTTTGCATCAATTGCGACTTCCTCCTCATGTCTCAATGGTCGTGGCTATACCGGTGATATATGTGGATCCTATATACTAGTATATACCTCTAAGTACAACTAAAGAGATGAAACGAAAGCTCGTCTGTCCGTAAAATTTAATCTGAGAACATAAATTGAGTGTTAACTAAGCTACATGTATAATATACTGCAGTTGTTTGCATTCTGCATTTCATGATTTTTTGACGTTTTGTTTTTTTAACTGTTGCTATGGACTGCTTTCCCTCTAAGGGTTGCAGTCCATGACGATGTTTGTTATGAATATATAGGTATTGACCCAAATTACTATACTTTTATTATCACAGTAATTATGTACACATTTTAACTATAGTTTCCAAAAATTTACAAATTTGGTGGCAGATGGAAAGAAACAAACAAAAATAAGGTATCAAAATGTAATTATTACATTCTGTTTTTTGAGCTAGGAAAGACATAACTGTCTGAATGGTACATATATAGGAATGTATTTGAAAACATTTTTTGTATTTTAATAATATTTTTTTTAGTTTTTTTTTAATGTTGCACAATTTTGCATGTAAAACTTTCATAATTCATCATACTCTTATCCAAGAATTTGATTATGCCGCCCTTTAACTTTCCACTCAAAGGCCACTTAGAAACGTGGGCCAATTGGAATGATCCAGATCGACTTACTTGTACCAATTATACACACTGTACAGCTACGTCATCACAAAGTGGACCAATAGTAATCGCCCACGATGAACACTAGCGCTAAATAATAGCGACGGCAGCGTGTCAAACTTCAGTTTTTCTTGAACAATTGAACGAAAAGTATCGGTGTACTGTTTGAATACGCAAGTGTTTGATAAAAGCATTTTAAAGTGATCTTATCGTGGCTGTGAATATAATTTTATTTAGATTTTTGTTAATTTCGGAGTCTTTTAATCTATAGGTAATTATAATTGCTTTAATCGTTGAAACTTTTTAACCTAACACTGTAACTTCTAGCTCTGACAATTTTGAATTTTGACAATAATTCTCGTTTTCGCAGTACCCGATTTCATTTAGACAGGATAAAACAGGATTTCATTAACGAAAACGTAACCAAGCTTAAAAATATAGGCAAATTAAGCATCGTAAAACTCTTGTACTGGAGATAACGGCCAAAGAATTTTCTCGACGTCAAAGCCGCTATGGGACGGCCCACATAACTATTCTTGATATGTTATAATAATTGGAGTTGTTAGATTCCTATGAATACATTCCACACCATGCGTTTCTAATTTCATTTTCTAGTATTTTAATAGACCGGATATTGACCCCGAGCTTCGGATGACGTGTCCCTGGCATTGGTTACGTGTCTCAATGGTGTTAAGCATTTTAGTTTGGAAATAAATTTTATGAATGAAACTGCTTGCTAACTGCTATGGAACAATAAATAAGGTGTTTTTATTTCAAATTTGCTTCAGATTTTGCATGGTCAAGATGCGGTGGAGTTTGTTCGCGCTAGTTTTGGTGGTCGCGGCCGTTTGTGCCGACGACAAGAAGGAGAAAGATAAGGACATCGGCACAGTAATCGGTATCGATTTGGGTACCACTTACTCATGGTGAGTTATTCTATCCTAAAACATACTGGTCATTTTTAAACAATTACACTGAAGCTAAACTATTACATTCGAAATTTAACACTGTATTAAAAAAAAAAATCTGATTCTAACAATAATTTATAGATCATAGTTGAATATATTGCTCTTTATTTATGATTTCACAATGAAAGTGGAGACTTAAAAAATGCTTCTTTAGGCTTATGGTAAAATTTTCTAAACATTTCTATTTATTTTAGACTAACAACATTCTTTTTTCACTCGCAGTGTCGGTGTCTACAAAAATGGACGTGTAGAAATCATTGCCAATGACCAGGGAAACCGCATCACACCTTCATACGTGGCCTTCACTCAAGATGGTGAACGTTTAATTGGTGATGCTGCCAAAAACCAGCTTACTACCAACCCTGAAAACACTGTCTTTGATGCCAAGCGTCTGATTGGTCGTGAATGGAGTGACCAAACTGTACAACATGATGTTAAGTTCTTCCCCTTCAAGGTCGTTGAAAAGAACAGCAAACCTCATGTTCAAGTACAAACTTCACAAGGCGACAAAGTATTTGCTCCTGAAGAAATCTCTGCTATGGTTCTGACTAAAATGAAGGAGACTGCTGAGGCTTACCTTGGAAAAAAGGTTACTCATGCTGTTGTTACTGTGCCTGCTTATTTCAATGATGCTCAACGTCAAGCAACCAAAGATGCTGGTACAATTTCTGGTCTTAATGTAATGAGAATCATTAATGAGCCTACTGCTGCAGCTATCGCCTATGGCCTTGACAAGAAGGAAGGAGAGAAGAATGTTCTAGTCTTTGATTTGGGTGGTGGAACCTTTGATGTCTCTCTGCTAACCATTGACAATGGTGTATTTGAAGTTGTTGCAACTAATGGGGATACCCACTTGGGAGGTGAAGACTTTGACCAGAGAGTCATGGAACACTTCATCAAGTTGTACAAGAAGAAGAAAGGCAAGGACATCAGAAAAGACAACCGTGCTGTGCAGAAGCTGCGTCGTGAGGTTGAAAAAGCAAAGAGAGCCCTGTCTTCCAGTCACCAGGTCAAGATCGAAATTGAATCATTCTTTGAAGGTGATGACTTCTCTGAAACCCTCACCAGAGCTAAATTTGAAGAATTGAACATGGACCTCTTCAGATCCACTTTGAAACCTGTGCAGAAAGTATTAGAAGATGCTGACATGAACAAGAAAGATGTTGATGAAATTGTCTTAGTAGGAGGCTCTACCCGTATCCCTAAGGTTCAACAACTGGTCAAGGAATTCTTCAATGGCAAGGAGCCATCTCGTGGAATTAACCCTGATGAGGCTGTCGCATATGGTGCTGCTGTGCAAGCTGGTGTACTCAGTGGTGAACAAGATACTGATGCTATTGTCTTGCTTGATGTCAACCCTCTGACCATGGGTATTGAAACTGTCGGTGGAGTGATGACCAAACTCATTCCTCGTAACACTGTCATTCCAACTAAGAAATCTCAGATCTTCTCTACTGCCAGTGACAACCAACACACTGTCACTATCCAAGTGTACGAGGGTGAGCGACCAATGACCAAGGACAACCATTTACTTGGTAAATTTGACTTAACTGGGATCCCTCCTGCTCCTCGTGGTATTCCACAAATTGAAGTCACATTCGAAATTGATGCCAACGGTATTTTGCAAGTATCTGCTGAAGATAAGGGAACAGGAAACAGAGAAAAAATTGTAATCACTAATGACCAGAACCGACTGACACCTGAAGATATTGAAAGAATGATTAAGGATGCTGAGAAGTTTGCTGATGATGACAAGAAGTTGAAGGAACGAGTGGAGTCGAGAAACGAGCTCGAAAGTTATGCTTACTCAATCAAAAACCAACTTCAGGATAAGGAAAAACTTGGTGCTAAGGTTTGTATCTAAATAATTTCGATTAATGCAAAAAATTATTATGAAGAAAGTGTATTTTATATGCTTTTTAACATGTTGATCCTAAATAAATATTTACTTAATAACAGGTTACTGATGACGACAAGGCAAAGATGGAAGAAGCACTAGATGCAGCTATTAAGTGGTTAGAAGATAATCAAGATGCAGAGTCTGAAGAATACAAGAAACAGAAGAAGACGCTTGAAGATGTAGTGCAGCCCATCATCGCCAAACTTTACCAAGGCCAGGGTGGAGTACCGCCCCCGGGGGCGCCGGAAGATGACGACTTCAAGGACGAGTTGTAATCAGACTGAATCGCAGCCAAACGTGATCTCCGCACAGATGGCCGCGATCGTCTTGCGCGGCGAGTGTCCCACGCACGATGGATGCAGTGTTGTTAGCTCGAGTGTGTATATTTATTGTATGAGTGCAGTGAGTGGGCGTGTGCGACGAACCTCACAGAGTCGAGATCTGATCGAGTATCTGCCGTTGCGCACGCACGTGTGAGTGAAACGTGTGCCTGGTTCTGTAAAAAAAATGTGCATTTTGTATTTTTAGTAAAAGCAATAGTTAATTGTGTGTTTGTTAACATGGAGATTGATAACATCAGTCGATTCAGTCTTCCTGTATCGAATCGATTATTCTCGCACACTATGAGACGACCTCAGTGTTCTGTATGTATGTAATTGTTTTAGACTGCAAATTTGTTAGTTCATAATTAGCAGAATAATTTAAATAATTATGTGTACCTAGTTAAATAATTTCAAAGAAGTACGAAGGAGTACATAATAAAACATTTTTTCTATTGAGCAAAGTGTTTTATTTGAAATTTTAGATGACAAATTCAGTCTGCTCGGACGTGGCAGAGTTGCGCCCCGCACTCTATATCAAAAGTAGGTGCCGCCATCACGGCCGCCTGCAGTCTCACTTGCACGCCGTCTGTTGACAGATATTACTACATTACAATACGGTCTATCCATTTAGTCCAGTCATCGTTCCCGTCGAACCCGTTGCTTGCGACGAAGGGCTGGGCGAGTAAATTAACCCATAGACACGGTCCACTGAGTTTCTGAGGTGGTAGATTCTGCGAAGCACGGCCCTTGCTTGGCTTCGTGTTAGCAACGTCGTCAGGTTTGAGCCCCGCGAGCTCACCTACTAGTTAAGGTTACGCTGAAGTGGTCTCTCAAGACCATCAGCTCAGGTAGCAAAAAAAACATTTAGTTTTAACACCGGTCTGCTTAGTGCGAGTTTTTTAACGTTCTCGATTGCGTAAAAGTTAAGTCAAGTTTGGATGGAATTGGAACGTTTGCCTATGTTTGCCGCAAGGGGCACTGTTCCAGCTGCATACAAATTTCAGGTAACTTTTACACTATCGAGAACGTTCAAAAACTCGCACTAAGCACACAGACGGGCATGTTTTACACGCATTGGACTGATAACTGAAAAACGATATAAGGACGTTCTTGACTTTTACCAATAAAAAGTAGCCTATTTGGTAACTGGGTTGGTGCGAAAATTTCTTCCAAATCGTCAAATCTTTACGTAAATTTATAACGAACATACGAATTTAAATATTATTTAAAATATTATTCTAGAACTTATTTATTGATACAAAATACTTATCAATTTACAAACTTCATCAATCAGTCAAGTGATATATTTATCACAGTTGATACTTTCTAGACACTGTATTAGTTAGTACACGTAACACAACTTAAACAGGATCTGGAAAGTATCAAATATGATAATATAATTTATGTCGCTACTGGGAAATCGCATCGACCACTTTGGGAATACCTGATTTAAACTAACCAAAAGATTGAGTAGCGTCGACTTCCACCGCAGTGATACCGGCCGCCGCTCGTAGCTCCGCTAATGCCTCGGAGAAATAGTTGTCTAACTGTAAAACAAAAATCATTGACATTCCTAAACAGTTACAAAATAAATTATTAATAAATTTGAGTTTCTGTATATTTTAATATATTTGAGGGAAAGCGATTGATAATTTTTTTTGTAACTAACGCGGATGTTAAGTTAAGTAGGCATGCTTTTCAATAATAACGGTAGGCTAAGGAATGTAGGTCATTGTCCCGTACAACGGAGGACGAGAACAATGAACTGTCCTAGATTTTATTGTGGTCTGAAATTCAATTAACATGAAGAAAATACTATTGGGATTAACAGAAATGATGATTTTACAGGGCTACGACTCTACTGTTACTCAACATACTCACAATGAGCGTAAGCATAGAGACTAATTCATAGGGATTGAAACATTCTACCTCGGTTTCAAGTTGAGCTTCGTCATCTCTAGGATGCCGCATAACACGAGACCCTGAACCCAAGGGTGCTTCATCACCGCTGCACCAGTCCACCCCTCGACTCAAGCGACGACTCTTACACGTTGAAGCATCCACGTTCAATATTATTATTCTAGATAAATGTAAAACATTGTAACGGCTTGCATCTTATTATGCCTAACCCCATCTGACGTGGTGAAGTTGGAGAGACGAAAACCACCGGCAATCCCACCATCCCAAAACTGCTATAAGTTTCTCTGGGATTTCAAATTCGATGCCAAGTTTTATCTCTGTAGCAGCATACATAAAGTCAATTGAATTAAAATAAGTTCTACAATAAGGCCAACATAGAAAAGTCTTTTTTACTATCCAATCGGTCTACCTGGTGTTGAAACGGAATAGTGTCACGAATATCCCATCTTGAGACTAAAATATACGAATGTTTCGCGGTATAAATACGTAATGTAGTAGGTATCCACTTTCTGTGCGGACTTATACCGCCTACAGCCAGTAGGTAAGTAGAAAAGGCAAGAAGTCATACCACACGGGTAGGCACCACCGCCCCGCCTATTTCTGTCGTGAAGCAGTAATGCGTTTCGGTTTGAAGGGTGGGGTAGCCGTTGTGACTATACTGAGACCTTAGAACTATATCTCAAGGTGTGTGGCGCATTTACGTTGTAGATGTCTATGGGCTCCAGTAACCACTTAACACCAGGTGGGCTATGAGCTCGTCCACAAGATCAAATATTACTGGTGGCTGGGTCGAGTATCTTCGAAACATTCAAACAGATTTGGCAGTGTAGGATCGCCTAACCAATAAAATAATACAGGTAAGTTACATTAAAGCAAGATTTTTCAGCACAAAGAAACCTAAAGTTTTTGCAGCTAAACTTTCACTTGGAAAGTGCATTTAACTGTTGATCGTAATTATTGTAACAGGGCTTTGTGTAGCGTAACGAAAGTGAAATGAATGAATGAATAGCTAGTGCGGTGACTTGATATAATAATATAACTTTTTGCTTGTTACACAGCCATAATCATTTTTATGAGACTTCAAAAAAAATTTACAATTCGATTGGATTTTTTAAATGTTTGTTTGCTCAGAACCTGGAAAACGCCAGGTAGAAGTGAGCGTAAATTACGACTAAATAAGAATGAAGACTTTTTTTAATTACTACATAGTTAATAATTATTTTCCTATTTTAAATTATATAGAATTATGCTTCACATCATGTTTGTATTCATTATACTTAAATGTGATTAAAACGAACCTATTTGGCGGGGTCGGTGTATTGTCTAAAAGTTCGAATTCTTTCCCCGACATCGGGAATCCAACGAGAACCCAACCGTTATCGATGCAGTCCTGATGAGAATACAATTTAAACAACAATTTCTATGGATATTTTAATAAAATTTTCTGCTCTAGACTGTAGAGGTGTGGACGAATCTCACGGCTTACACCACATTAAGGATTCACTTAAGGCTGCTGTCTATGAATAAATTACAACGTGAATATAACCATGAACCTTGAGACATGGGTTCGTCGTGAGACGTCTCAATTGTATAATAGCATAAGGGATGTGCTACCCATAATTGCTTCGAAGCAATTGCATAGTTGTACCGAAGCAATTATATTCAGGGAAATTTGCTTTGATACCGAAGTGTCAAATCCCCCGCCCCCACACCGTGGCGGGAAATACGCTGTTCCACTAGCATACAGCGGTTGGCGACTGAAGTATACAAGTGCTAATAAACGCCCGTTTTTCCGGGGAGATACGCCTTTGAAATACTCAAGCCGTGAGTGATTCTATTCTGGACACTACACAGCATTATGTGAACTGAAAAGTATATTTTACACATTTGTTAAAAAGTAGCCGATTACAACCGACATGAGTTGGTATTGTGCCCATTAACATCATAACTAAATGCGATTGAATGTTAAGATGAGCACCGCATAATGCTACCGTTACTATGGACTGACCAAACAAAGGCAGTTCTAAGCGGTCACGTTAACGAGGGCCCCAAAAAGGCCGCGGTACCCGAGGAATGGCGACTTCCTGTGAAGCGCACCACCATCCGAACTGATAACCACGACCACTCTGCCAATGCTGCAAACGTCTGATGACGGGTTTAATGGAATATGCGGTAGGGCCCTAAATATATCCTTGGACCCTGGTGGTAACATCTGCAGGCCGTCAAGTCACACACACTCTGCGTGCCCCTTAGGCGTAGACACCTCGTAGGAGGTACGGCTCCATGCCCCAAAAAAAAGTTGTAATGAAATGAAACATAACCTTCAACAAGATACGTCGCTTCACTATGACAGCTTTAACTTGCACGCTCGGTTCATGTTGACGTAGTTTCTGTCCAAACTCGTCGGTCTTTGCTTTAGCTTCACTTAATAAATCGTCGAAATGTACTGCGTGAAATTTTCCATGGGGGTATTAAAAAAATGTAAAATTTCTTTACTCAAAACAAGAATAAAAATTAGACAACCGTAAAAAGTTATCATAAAATCAAAGATTTTTTCTACACTCACGATAGACTAAGCGGAAATGTTTGGCCAGAGCCAAAGCCTGAGACCTGCGGCCCGATCCACGAGGTCCAATAACAAGGACTCTGTACACTCCAGGAGCGCCGACCACGTGGTGTCCCTGGTAGGGTCCTTGAGCGCCGGCCGCACACGCCCGAATGGCATTAAAGCATTTTGTTGATATTTTTTCTATTTCATCTTCGGAATCAATGTACACCTCCTGTACATGTTTTAAATGAAATAAAAGGAAGCAAGAGGAGAAAAGAAATATATGTTTTTTAATTCAAGTATAGTCACTCGACATGGCTTTACCAGCGATTCGGAATAAAGTTTCAAAACTAATAAGAATCGACAAGAAACCTAAAACCGGCTCTTTGCTTATTTGTCATTTCCAATATGTACATAAATACCTACAAACAGAGTAAAACAACAAATATATATGTATATCTACAACAACGTGGTGTTTACCTTTAGAGTAGCCTTGTATGCAAACTTGAGTCCTTCGAAATCCTGCTGAAAAAACGATCTAGCTGATGTGAGTAGATTGTCAGACGGAGGAGCTTGAGGGGGGGTTGGCATAAGGGCTAGTGTCACGGTTGGCAGCACACCGTCCTGCTGCAGACAACGAGCCTCCCGCACTGTGCAGGGATGGTCTGTATATATCAAGAAATTTATCTAGCATAAGTAGGTTAAGAAATTAGACAATAATAATTCGATAAAAACAGATTTTTATAGACAATATCTATATGTATAAAAATGAATAGCTGTTGGTTAGTCCCGCTAAAACTCGAGAACGGCTGGACCGCTTTGGCTAATTTTGGTCTTGAATTATTTGTGGATGTCCAGAGAAGGTTTAAAGGGATTTATTGGCGGTAGTTCTTTTTGACGTTCAACAAGTATGTACTTTCATTTATGTTGAATAAATTTTTTTGATTTGATTTGATTTAGATAAATATAAAAATGCTCAGAATTAAATAAAAATAACAATTTTGTTTTTCCTTTGATGTGTCCCCCGTCGGACGGATTCGTTTTGTTTGTTTTAAGTTTATTTTATACAAAACTTTAGGTCTTTTATTTATCGATTGAGGCACTACGAAGTCTGCCGGGTCAGCTAGTAGACAATAAAACTTCATACAGATTTTTGATCAATTTAAGATAAACAATAAAATGTTCGAATCCGTTCGTATTAAGTTTAACGATTACTTTCAATTAACGACAGACAAAATGAAAAGGTCCTAGGTTTTATTGCTATATACTTATAAATATAAATTTTATATGACTTTATATATTCTTTAGTCCTATGGATAACGAAAACCCGCAAAACAAGATAGATAAAAGAGGCGAATTATACCCAAATCCGACCTGTAGTACCTACATTACTCGGGGTTATTTACCAACGGCCATACGACGCGACCAAATTATCCCAAATTTTAGGTCTCAAGTACAATTACTTTACCAAACATCAACCAGCCGGCTTGAAGTATTTGATCTTTCATAGTAAGAGTTTTCGTAATTTCCGATAATACAACAGGAGACACGCATCCGGGCATGTAATTTTCGTGCTGTAATTGTGATAAAATTTTAATCATCAATTTGTTTCATTGTTTTTTTTATCGATGAAAACGTGTTTTATCATTTACCTTCTCGTATCGATCCATCACGACTCGGCGTGTGATCACGAACAAACCCAAGTCCTTTATCAACTGTTTTAAAATGGCCGTGATATCTATGAAAAATACATTTGATTTTAAATGCACCCACCGCACGTACAGCCATGATGATGCTTGCGTTTATTAAAAAGCTCGGCAGTCACGTAGTATGTACACGTATTTATACATGACACTTTAATTTCAAATGAGGTATATTAATTCACGTTACATACAATGGAATCATTCCAAATTCGAGCACTTTATTGTATTTTATTTCTTTTTTCTGGATACGGGGTATATCCATTAATGATGAGGCCTTCCATTAGTGAGGGACTATAGTGAGAAAGGAGGCGAATTTAGGTACGCAATAACAGAAGTGAGATGGGCCAGGTTCGCGCTTAGTGAAACTATTATCCATGGTATCAACTCAGCCATGTTTTCGTAAAAGCGTAGGCGGGGTGTGTTGTGAATATTCACTGATAATTTTTCATATTATTGTACACAATTTGAAATTAACGGAAAAAAATGCTTACTTATTCACTGTTCCAAAATATGTAATTAAATGTTTTTTTTTTATTGCTTGGATGGGTGGACGAGCTCACAGCCCACCTGGTGTTAAGTGGCTACTGGAGCCCATAGACATCTACAATGTAAATGCGCCACCCACCTTGAGATATAAGTTCTAAGGTCTCAAGTATAGTTACAACGGCTGCCTCACCCTTCAAACCGAAACGCATTACTGCTTCACGGCAGAAATAGGCGGGGTGGTGGTACCCACCCGCGCGGATTCACAAGAGGTCCTACCACCAATAAATAAAATTAGTTTTACGGTTTCATCTCGCTTTTTATTGTTGTTATATTATTTCCTGTATTTCAAATACTTTACAGTTTTTGTGGTCATCGGCGATCCGATTAAACCGTAAAGTAGCTTTAATTATAAATTACCGAAGAAAATATTGTAATTAATTATACCTAGTTATTTTCTATTTTCTAAACGTACAATCTAGAACGGAAGCAACACGCAATAGTGACAGGAAAGAGTTCTATCGTTATGATTAAGAAATAGGAATATAGAATATAACACCCACCGATATGTTCGAGCTCTGGTGATAGTAATAGGATGATCCTATCCGCATCTTTACAGCTCTGCGAATAACGATGTAAGAATATTTTCATGTGCTTCAAATGATCTTTGGGCAAGTTGATTAGTAGATCTTTCAACATGTCCTATAAAGAGTTATTTACTTATATAATTATTACGACATTGGACTCCAGCATCATTGTCACTATCCACGCGCAGAAGACAGGAGGGAATGGAGGAACATAGTCCAAACAAAAGTGCTCAGTAAAGGTGAGATCCTCAGCACTGAGGAACACGATGCAAGGAGGATAACGAGTTAGCTTTGTTTTTATTGAAGATGAATTAAACATTGGACTGTTCATTGCGTTTACCTTAAATATTTGGTATACTCTATATTTTTCCATATAAGGAATAAACCTTGGGACCATTTCAAGTGGTCGATTCGTAGCATCCGTTTCAGTCATTTCTGTGAGTATACTGAGCAAACTGTGGCAATCAATTAATTAATGTCAATACCTTTACGGAAACTGTAAAATTTACCTACTTATTAAATATTTTTCTTTGTAAAATATTTTTTATTAGATATTATTTTTATGATTACTCGTCAATTAAGTAAAATAGCATAATGTCACTTTGAATAAATGAGATTTATTTTTTCACCAAAGAGAATATCTCGGTTTTCTCTTCAGTGTTATCTTAAACAGGTTTTGTTTGTTCTTGTTGGCTTAGTACCAGTTTTAATTAATATTTTTCATTACCACTTCAATATTTAATCATAGCAAGTGATTGCGAATGAAGCAAGCGATGTTCCACAAATGGGGCAAGATGGAAAACTCTAACAGCAAACTAATAAATGCAGTTTCGAACTACTCTTATCTACTGGTTCTTTTGCTGCATCACATATCCGTATTAACAGCGTTTTCATCTTTTTTATTACCGAAGTCTGTAATTATAGTTGGGAGGTAGCTTAGAACAGTACAATCCTATCTTTTTCCGTAGGAGTAAAGACCAAGAAAGCAACTATTGAAAATTGGACATCAGTGTTATTTGAATATAATACTAGCATACTCGAATTACCGACTGGCGGTTACTATTGATAGGGGATAATCTTAGAGGGGTAGCACCGTCGCACAAATCAATACAGACTTATCACTACCGAGCGTCGTGGTTTGTATAGCTTTCGCCTACTGCGAAGTTACCATATTGCAGAAGTATGTTTTGGAACTTGAAAGTGAACATATCAAGCCTTTGTCATTACATCAGGAGTCGAGACATGAACCTCGTCCGATCCTCTGCGCCGTGAGTTTTGGTTCTCCTCTATTCCCTGGTTTCAGAACTCAAAAAGGCGACACGATTACGTTCTATCACATCCGAGGGTCAGCCGCAGGCTATTGAATGACGGTAGGTTTAGTTGGTTCATAACATACCCTCTTGTTCTAAACATTTTTAAGCTATTCCATAGCTTTTATCGCGGGCTTTGAGCGCGGCGACCGATTCAAGAAATTCCGTAACGAAAATAAAACCTAACACCCCAACTCCGCCCACCATACAGTAGCTCGCGTTCAACACATTCACACGTTGCGCTTGTGTAGTGTTAGTGAATAAGCGCGCGGCGTGACGTTGCACTGTATGCGCATCATGAAAAGTTTGCCCATCTCTCTCTCGCGCGGTTTAGCTTATGAGTGTGAAGGGGACAGCTAATGTTTTGCTTTTGTTAATGTATATAAATATGCCGTGGTATTATTTTTTATTGCTTTAATATTTAATTATTATTGTCTAATTATAATAATAATTGCAAAAGTTGATAGAAAATGCTATGCAATAGCTTTACCGCGGCAGTCCCCGAGTGACACACGTGTTTTTTTTTTTTTTTTGTTCTTAAGTGTTTCGTAGATTCGATAGACAGCGTCAGTGCGATTGGTAGAAACCGTGTATCGATAGAATTTTCTACAGCCCAGGGAGCAAATGATTTTCATAACTACTCCCTGTTAAAAGAGAAAGGCTATAAAGCATTTATACCCACTTTCAATATTACTCGTATTGGAATTGTTAGAGGAATATGTACGGAACTTTCAAATGAAGAAATAACGGAGTTTATTGAAACACCGCATGGTTACGGAAAAGNTTTTGTATACATTTATTCAACTAATACAAATAGTTAATTAAACAAAAAATGAGTAATTTCGAAAGAGAACAAACGTATTTTATATAAGAACAATCGAAAATGAATATTTACGAGTAATTAAGGACGAAAAAATATTAAAAATTGCAATCGAGGGGCTAACTTGTAGATATATTTTTAATATTTTTTTTAAAATAAATAAATGGGGAACAAACAATTATTAACAGTGAACAATCAAGAACAAAGGATGAACAAACGAATTAATAGAAAATAAGTAGAAAACAGGAAAAAAAATTTTTTTTGAGGGGCTAACTTCATTCACCCGTTCACGTGTCCTCTTTACATTGTTAGCAAACTGGAGGTTATGTTTACAAAAAATATTATCAACAAAATGATATACTTCTATGTACCGTCTACGTTCCGGATTAATTTGGTTCCATGTTATGACGACAGACGACCCTCGGGGTCATGTATCAGCTCATTCGATCAATGAATACGAAGAACGGAGCCGCAACATGCTACACCAGCTAATTTCACGGTCGTATTGTAGTGCTGTTTTTTGCCACAATTAGCTAATTACATAGCTAGACGGTGAGGTGAACTGAGATAGAGCTCGCCAATCGAGCGAAATAGTAGGTGTTCGACAGGCTGATGAATAGCATCGGTCTGTGCCGTAGTTATTTACTTAATAGAATAACAGTGAGGATGTGTTCCTATTACGAAGTAAGTTTTCTTTTAATCATATTATTTGTTATTAAGAATATTACATTTGTTAACGTAATACGTATAATATTTCATACAAAAATATTACAGGATGCAGTTCGTAAATTAAACAGATTGCAATCAAACAAATCTACAATAGAACAAATCAGAAAGGATATCAGAACAGGACAGGTAAGCGCATCTAATTAAATTTTAAAATAATAAAATGTTACCTGAGATAGTTAAGCAATAAATTATTTTAGGTAATAGAGGTGTGTGACATCTACTACTTTCACATTATCTGACCTTTCGTATTGGGATTAGGTAGTAGGCCTTAGGTAATAGGATTTTCCTCTTCTCATTTGGCTATAAAACTGTCTTCCTATTTTGAATACATGTGAGAAACATTGTCATTAGGCTGCCACAATTATTTGAGCTATTCCAAAATATAATATTATGCAAACAACTTTGAGTCATAACTTGGATAGCATTTTTTTTATAAAATTAACAGACTTCAAGATAATAGATGGGTTGTGAATTTACTCTGTGTGACGGACTCTGGAAATCGCCTAAAAGCAGATGTTACTAAGTCTGTCAGACCCTGAACTTTAAAAAAAATTATTATAAAATGATTGAATTTTCCAATTCATTGTACATATTGTGTGATGTTTTGATTGATATTACTTTTCAAACTTTAATCTTGTGTCTCAAGACGAGTGGAGATATTTATGTGGTGATGTAACTCCCATATATCACTAGAAACGAGAGCTCATTTACACATCTATTCAATAAAAAAAGTCATCTCCATGTCCAAATGAAAGTTTTAACTTTCCAAAAAAAAACTTCATATTCAATTTATTTTATAGAATCTTGAATATGAAACTGGATAACTGAATGGTACGTGTCATAATGTATGTATTGTCTTATTAACAGATGTTTACTTACATGTATATTTAATACATTGAATATTCATTATTCAAATTGTAGGTACACAATATTATTCAAGGTCAAATAATGATAAAATTTATGAATATATTATTATCTGCGAAATATATGTAATTTACAATAAATATATTGACGCTTGAAAGGCAAAATTGACTAAGCGACAATGCGTGAACTTTACAGTAGACTAATTTAAAGTTAAAATACCTGAAAAAAATTATATTTTAACGATTCTAACTGTAGGATTGAAATGATTTTAATAGACCTAGAAATATATATTTTTTGCGTATCGAATATGGTTATTGTCTATCATTTATGTATAAAGCAGTTATTGTTGCTTAGTCACGTTTGCCTTTCAAGCGTCAATATTATTATTGACGCTTTCATACTTCCAGAAATGTACAAATTTAGAAGATATGGAGAATTATTTGTCAAGAACAGGTGTGACCATGTCAAAGTTGGACGAGCTATCTGTGGTTCATGTTGCTGGAACCAAAGGCAAGGTATTTTATGGCCACATACTTATTATCTGGTTTTATAATTTACCTTATTTTTAATCACCTTTGGTTCGGACTAACATATTTCGTATTGTACGATTCATTGATGATGACTATCTGACTAAATTACCTATTTCTATATAATTGTTTCATGATTATGGCGAAAATAGGCAGAATGCTGCTACTGATCTATCTGGTCTTGCTACATGCCCTATCTCTAATATTTATGTTTATAATTAGGGAGTTCAGTTAGCCAATAGTAAGGAGCATATATACCATTCCTGCCTCATCAATGAGAACTAGTGAATATTTATTATTCTTTGCAACTGTCCCCACGCATTAAAAATTTAATTTACATATCTATATACATACGTTTATTTTGCTTGATCATAAATGTAGGAAGGAAAACAAAAAAAACTTCCCTAGGGGGAATTATATTTGTTTAATGTTGCTAAGCCAAACTTAAACATTAATATAATATCATGGTCTCGCAATCGAAAACGCAGATAGTTGGCGAACTGCGTCCCGAGACTGAAGAATCCCATTTTGATTTTAAACTCGTTATGGCTCCTCTTCACAATCGGCCATGATGGGCGATTATAGAAACTCACGATAGTGAAGAGGGTATAAATGTCTGTGATCGGCCATCATCGCGTATGATCGTGCGCAATCGGCGCTGTGTCGGTAGATCAAAGGAATGATGGCCCATGATTGTGTGAGCGTCCACACCATCGCCGATTACTCCGGATGTAGTTGTCTCGAGTGTGTGTCAATTGTGTCGACTACAAAACTATGGTTGCGTGGACCTTGTTTTGTTCCGATTGATAGTCACGACCCACCACCTTCTCTTCCTCTATCTTGTTTATAGTTATCGGTAGACAGCGGCTTGGCTCTGCACCTAGCATTGCTGAAGTCCATGGGCGACGGTAACCACTCACCATCAGTTATGCTCGTCTGTCTACAAGGGCAATAAAAAATAAGAGTTTTCACGATTTTTTTTTCGCGCACAATAACTAAATGACTATATTATGAGCTAACTAAAAATATTGCCGCAGCCGCGATCCCTTCGATTTCCATCATCGCTACCTAGACGTCTTAACATATAGTAAATGAACGTTCACGATTGTGTGGAGAGTTGCCCGATCATGGCGGCGATGATGGACGATCATTTGTTGGCCCATCATGGCCGACTGTGAAGAGGAGCCATTATATTGCGTATTTGTACAGACAACATCGGTGTATTATATAATTTTCATATTTAGAATCGATCGTTTATTGTTTTTTATGTCATTATGTAAGCCTTCGGTTTCTGGTCTTTTAATACCCTAATTACGTTTTGTCGTTTTATTTTTTGTCTAATGTTATTATACGCCGTTATCTAAGATCAATGTCACGCTTCCAGGGTTCAACGAGTGCGATGTGCGAATCAATACTCCGTCACCACGGTTTCCGCACAGGGTTCTATTCGTCACCGCATCTAGTGGCTGTTCGAGAACGGGTACGCTTAGACGGACGGGTCATCTCCGAAGATATGTTCGCGAAGTATTTTCACGATGTTCACCAGCGACTTGAAGATACACAGGTGCGGAATAAATTTACGAAAAAAACTATGTGTGTAGGTCATTCGTGTTGAGGTTTGTATATTGTTCTAGTTTATGGTCGTCGTGGCCTAAAAGATAAAAGAATCGGTGCTGAACGATGCGACTGTGCCGGAATTCGAATCCCGTAGGCAGATAATTTTTTTTTTTTCTAATGAAATACGTTCTTAACAAATGTTCACGATTGACGAATCCGTGATGAAGGAATAACCTCACTCAATAAAAATCAAACCCCCAAAATTTTTAAATGCGTATATACTAAACAATTGAGATGTAGGCCCCAATTTGTGGACCACACCAAGACAAAGCCAAGTGGAACGAGAGTTCGTTCACCCTTTCTTATAATAAAAAGCATACGTAAGTGCCACTAGCCACCGACACCGCCCACTGAGTTTCTCGCTGTATCTTCTCAGTGGGTCGCGTTGCCGATCCGGTGGTAGATTCTGCGGAGCACTGCTCTTGCTAGGGTCAGTATTAGCAACACTCCGGTTTGAGTGAGCTCACCTACACACGTTAGGGCGAAGCTGAAATAGCCTCTCAAGGCTATCAGCATAGGTAAGAAAAAAAAAGTGAGACGTAATTGAAGTTTTAACTATTTTCGTAAAATGTCTATTCGTTAATTGCATGTCGACTTTCCGATAGGATGCTAGTATCAACACTTGCGAGCCCACTTTACATATTATATATAAGTATATATGAGTCGTCTATTATCAAAGGCGGCAATCTGACTTTTGGACAATGATTGGTAAATCAGAAAAACGAATTATTGACTTTGTATTCCATTGGCAGTCACAAAACTCTTCGGAACGACATCTTAGATAAATAACAGGTTAACTATTAACCTTTATTTAATGCAGGTTTTGAACCGTATTCTTTGAAGGAGACGATTATATTCAANCATTGGCAGTCACAAAACTCTTCGGAACGACATCTTAGATAAATAACAGGTTAACTATTAACCTTTATTTAATGCAGGTTTTGAACCGTATTCTTTGAAGGAGACGATTATATTCAAATAAATCTGTATTGACATATCAATAAAAAATTTTTGTCCAAATGTACAGATTGCCGCCTTTGATAATAGACGACTCATATGCTACATATTGAATTGTTATACAAACATTAAAAAGAAATGGTTATATATAAATGAATATATTTGGGACTAATCGACAAAGAGAAGATCTTCCACGGAGCGAATGAAATTTCCCGGTAGACAGACGGTCAGAATGTTATTGTTCAGGACTTGTATATATGCAAACTTATTTCATAAAAAATCTTCAAAATATTAGCGAGATACAGACGTCTATAAAAGTTACTCGCTATAAAGGTTTTATTTTAAATATCTAATATAAATATATGATATTTCAGAAATTTGAAGGTGACATGCCGAAATACTTCGCGTTTTTGACTGTGATGGCTTACAATATATTCCTCAAGGAGAAGGTGGATGTGGCCATCGTGGAAGTCGGTATAGGCGGCTTAGTCGACTATACAAATATTTTGAGGTAAACATTTACAATTATCTGTTTGGTAACTCCTACGACTTACGAGAGACGACAAGGAGGTTGAAGTTTTAAAATTTTAAAAGTCACAAAAAGAATTATTTCGATATTAATTGCATTTTTCAGACGAGAAGTGGCCTAAATGTTATTCATAAATATACTATTCGATTTTTGAAAAATATTCATACGTGTATAGATATTGTATAGATTTTTTTAACTTCATTGAATTTTTCGATATTTATTCTTGTGATAAAATTTAAAAATCATTTGTACAGTTTAATTTTATAGGTTTTATTTTCCAATTTTCGAAGTTTTGGAATCTTCAATTGAAACTAAGCTCTATTAATTGGTCGTTAAGGTGTATTTTTTTAAAATACTTTCCAGGAAAGTTCCCGTTGTCGGCATAACGGCATTAGGATTGGATCACACTTCGATATTAGGGAACACGTTACAGGAAATAGCGGCGTCCAAAGCGGGCATCATGAAGCGAGGCTGCGAAGCTTATACTGTGCAACAACCTAACGAAGCTATGGATGTACTCATACAATATGCTGATAGTTTAAAGGTTTGTCTATATTTATACTTTGGATAATAAAAATAAAATAAAAATGAAAAAACTGAATAATTTCGTTATCAATCTCATGTCCCAAAGCGGCACGTACGTTGCGATATCATGAAAAGGTTTGCACATTTTATGGTGGTGGTAGGACCTCTTCCGAGTCCGCGCGGGTAGGTACCACCGCCCTGCCTATTTCTGCCGTAAAGCAGTAATGCGTTTCGGTCTGAAGGGTGGGGCAGCCGTTGTAACTATATTGAGATCTTAGAACTTATATCTCAAGGTGTGTGGCGCATTTAAGTTGTAGATGTCTATTGGCTCCAGTAACCACTTAACACCAGGTGGGCTGTGAGCTCGTCCACTCATCTAAGCAATAAAAAAAAACATCTATAAAAAAAAAGATTTTTCATAAATTCAAAAGGTCGTTTTTTTTTGTTTTTTTTTCCAGTGTCCCCTAACTGTCGTTCCCGATTACGACTTGTATTCGTTCGAAACATCACAAAAAGCCCGTTTACCAGTCGAATTAACGGCATATCGGACCAACGCGTCTCTGGCAATACAACTGGCGCACGCTTGGATGCGAAAAAAACACGAAAACAAAAAAAACTCCATGAACGGAGTTCACAACGGACTGATCACCAGTAAAATGGTGGTGGAATTGCCGCCATCGACGTGCCAGGGTTTAGGGAAATGTCAATGGCCGGGGAGGTATCAAGTAATTAACGCGGACTATGCAAAGTTTTATCTCGACGGAGCACACACCAAGGAGTCTATGGAGATATGCGCACAGTGGTTCAGCGATAATAATAGGTAAATATCAAAATTGATAACGAATTTGTGCCTAATAAGTATGAGTTATGATCCTCTTTTTAGATCTGACGACCGAAAATAGATTTTATAAGATACTCTTTGAGGGCATCTCATAACGAAAATAGTAAGGTCAGGACGTCCTCCAAGGGTAATAGTCTAACTGGTCGTTGATATTTTTTCTTACTCCCAAAGTTGTTCTGCCCTCTTTCATAATAACCCCTTAATCATATTGGTAATAGGGAACAATGACTTGCACGAGTGATAATCCTGTCAATTTCTGTTCTGAAGAAACACTACAGAATCTTTCTTCCATATAATGTGTGTCTCAAGGTGAGCGGCGGCATATACCGTGAGCTTAAATAAATGAGCAAAAATGGTTATTAATAATGCATTTTTTACGTGTAAACTGTACCTGTTGACCAATTGAATTCTTCTCGCCATCTTACAATCCTTACCATCTCTGGGTTTCACTGGAGAGGATCACGACAAACAAGCAAGCTGTAACCATTTTCATTTCATACTAGGCGGTGCCTATTTTGTATTATGACGTTGACGTCAAGGGTGCAATATAGATTATACAAAAATGCTTGTCGCGGTTAAGCCACAAGACATCCACCCTTCTAAATATTTTACATGATTCTAATTAAGAATTTCACTATCCTATTAAGATTATTTTATTTACCATTAAATTTTAGAATTTAGTAAATATATTTAATATTAAGGTATTTCTAGATAATCTTTTAATTTTAATAGAATCGACAATCAATTATTATTATTACGTCTAGATTTTATATCTATTAAATTGATTGTCGTTACATGCGATACTATTTTGTTATTTTTTTTCTATAATGCCACATAATAAACCACAATTATTCTTTTAGGTCACCGAACAGAATATTGTTGTTCAGCGCGACGGGCGACAGGAATGCCGAAGTTCTGTTACAACCATTGAAATGCTTGAATTTCACCAAAGTATATTTCGTCACTCCGACAGCTTATAAGGAAACGAATCAGAACAACGACAATTACTCTTTAGTCGAACAAGAAGAATTAATTTCTAGGTGTAAAGCATACAAACAAATTTGGAACAAAACATTGCGCAGTACATCTGAGGTGGCAGTGATGGAATGTGTTTCAAGCGCACTTGTCAATATAAAGCAGACGCAGGGCGCTCTTGGAACTCCCTCGGTTCTTATAACAGGATCGTTACATCTAGTGGGAGCAGCTCTTTCCATATTAGATCCTTGTTTAAATAAATCGTATTGCTCGTAAGATTATGTTCAATTTTGTGTTTTATTTTATTAACAGGCAAGAAGTCTGTTCTGATTCCACCCACTGAGTTTCTCTCTTCTATGAGTGGGTCGCGATTCTGATCTGGGGGTAGATACTCCTAAGCACTGCTCTTGCTGGAACTGGTGTTAGCAAATTCTCTTAGGTTGAGCCAGTGAGCTCACTTACTCGTCCGCGCGTAACTGGAATCGTCCCTTAGGCTACCAGTGAATACGTAGGTAAAAGAAACTAATTCAAATAAGTAGAGAAAAAATATTAAAACTTAGCAAAATTAGTATATCCAGGTTTTTATTGCTACAATCTCATGACTCAAGTAGCACAATGGCATCTAAATTTGTAATGTTTATGGGGTCCAGTAACTGTTGAAGTTATATATACTTCTTTAGGCGCGTTATGAAAAATTGATGAGAGTGAAATTTTACTATGCGCGCGCACCGTGACACAAAATTAACAGAATGAAGTTGCCCACTAAATCGACCGACGTAACTTGGCGAGTCTGAATATAGCCGCAGGTGAACTTTCGCGCATGTACACTCGTAAAAAAAGTGTTATCAGCATTCATTTTTTAGTAATATAAATGATAAAATTATTATTTAATATAATTCATACTAAATATTATTAAATTATTAACGTTAAATATTTATTATTAATTATTTAATATCTAAAAAAAAAAGGAATAAATTTAATAAAAATAAAGTATAACTTCTTACGCGCGTACATAAGTACACGCACCCTTTTTTTTTAATACTGGCTGAGCTGTGAGCTTTTGCATTATCAATGCAATAACATTTTTGCGAGTTTATTGATAAATATTACTCTGGCAAGTGTATATTCCATGAAACTAAAACAACAATATTTTGAATTAAAAAAAAGTGTTTTGAACAAAACAAGTATTTACAATCTACACACACACATTTATCACAAGTTACATTAATGTTACAGTAAGATTATGCATACAATCATTCTATAGCACAGTGACTGTTTGTATTCAATAATCTATCAACATCAGTCAGCCAAAATATTAGTCTATCTAAATAGCCATTATCTTGTTTGTAACTCAAGAGTAACAACTGAATATGTTGGTATGCTTTTGGTTGCTCCAATAAGTGTGCCAACTGTACATCTCTTAATGATAGAAGTTTTATGAATATTATGGTAATCATAGTCCACTGTATCGGCTTAAACATTATATTATTTGCTTTCAATTTGAATGTGTTTACCAAAAGACGCACCTCCGTGCTTATGGCCAAACTTAATAAACCTAGGCACCTCAAGATGTCTGGTAGGGTCTTATTTAAATGTTGACAGACTATTCGTCTACGTAATGCATTTTGAGAATTCTTGTCTACTAATGGCAAAGCTGTGAAGTTCTCATCTGATTGTGTGTTCTTTTCTTCAGGCTCTGGTTCAGGTATTTCAGTTTGACCAGCAAAAAAAGCCTTTACTTTCAATTGTATTTTCTTGCTTTCTTCCTGTAGCATAGTGTAATCTGGCAGCGGTTTCATTTCCCTTTGCATTGTTTTGGCATCATAACGTTTGTCTTCTAATTCAAGCATATTAAGTTTCCTGCATAAAGCTTGGTATTGATCATAGGCTGTGGAATTGTAGAATGTACCTTTTGTAAAATTTTTCAGATATTCTTTCACACTGTCTTCTTTATCTGCTACCATTTCTCTCACTTTCTCTTCGCCATAGAGAAAAATTAATGTGTCTAAAGTAAACCATTCTGCTAGACATTTTTCCACTTCTACAATCAATACAGTCACTAATGGCTTTTTCTCTTTCTTTTTTTCTTGAGATAGAGATGAGCTTGTATTATTTTGTTCATCCTTTGCACTTAGTAAAGTCAAATCAATTTTCTTCTCAGGTTTTTCTATGATATCTCCGACAATGTTCATTGGATTGTATACTGCTTTTTTCATTTTATCAGTATTTTCAGACTTCACTGATACAGGACAAGATTTTTCCTGTGGATACTTTTGTGTTTGAACAGAATTTGATTCTGTATTTAAGATATAGGATTTCCCTTCTGATGCTTTATTTACGCTGTCTTTATGCTTCATTTCTTTTTCATCCAGTTCAGGACTTTCCGTACTTAATTTAAAGTTTTGTTCATTTTGCTTCTCAGTGGCTTTATTATATACATCATCTTTACCATTATTTGATGCCATATCTCTAAGAGTAGCTTTTACAAAAACACTGGTACCTACGAAAGGCTTGTTTTCAAGTTCTACTTTCACTCTGTCAATTATTGACACATCAATCTCCTGTCCCATGCAACCATCTGCTGAATTCATTGGTAATAAATTAAATTGTGGGATTATCTCATATTCTCTAAACCAAAGCGGGCTTGTTAGCATCTGCTTTTTAATGTGCATGGCAGATTTATAACAACTATTGCTGCAAAAGCTTTTTCTAACTGTAATATCATATACTTTGTTCGTTTTCATGGAGATTCGGTATTTTTGTTTCGGTATGTCCTTCTTGGATAATGTGTTCGAGCAGAGCGGGTAACCACATAGACTTATGATTGATCGTTCTTCAATAACATCTTCGAAATGAGACTGGTTTAGGTCTGGTAAGCATTTGAGGAAATAAACCTCGTTTATGCTATTTTCTAGAAAACTTTCAACTATATGTTGCGCTTTTGAGTTACACTCTCGTTTCTTAATTATCGCTTGTTGAATTTGTTCTTTCGTGAGGTCTTCTATTGTTGTAGGTTTTTTTTTAGGAGGCTTCACGTTTGTTTCCATTTTATTCATAAAATTGTTTAGTATTTTTATTTCAGATCAGAACCATAGAAGCCATAGATATTTTTTTTGGTACAATTTTTCCTTATTAGAAAAGGCAAAAGGATCTAAGCCCATAGGCCTTGTCTGTTCTATGAACCGTATATAATACACTTATTATATTATGTTAATTCAATGGAGTTAATAAGTACCTACAACGTTAATTCACACAATGCTTTTTCTTTCATGTTAGCAAAAGTCAATGTCAATTTCATTTCACTCAGAAACTCAGAACTCAAGTTGGGAGTAGGTACGTGTCTAAATCTATGGTTAGTATTAGATTTTTTTTAAATTGGATTGGGTCCTAGACATTCATAGAAATGTAAATGGAATAGACTGAACTAATTTCCTCAACATATTCTGGTATTAATATTTACCCTGTGCATTATTAATGGCGGTCTGGTTAGTCGTCTCTCAAGGCTAAGCTTTATTAACCAGTTCCTCAGTCCGTCGGACACGTCAGTAAATCTTAAGTCAGCTTTTAATCCACAATTCCGGTAACCATAATGATTTCATTATGAAATCATCAACTTGTAACCGTTTTATTTTTTATTGCCTTAAGCTGAAGCAATTTTAAAATCTATATTAGTAGATGGGATTTACAGCTCGCCTACTGCTGAATAGATTCATATATAGACTAAAGTATGAATGAACTCACCTGGAAATATTAAGCCAAATTGTTTATTTCGAAACGGTTCTTCAACTATTCAGAATAATTCGAAAAGCTTTGGTTTTGTTTGTTTGATTTATCTGTTCCGCTCGGCTGGACAATATCTGTCTGAAACTATAAGCCTGCAAAGTTATTACGGATTGGACTGGCGTCGTTTAAGCGTTTGACATGATATTATTTAATAAAACTATTAAGATCCAGGATATACATTAACGGATCAGTAGTATAGTACTAGACAATACCTGCGTACTAGGTACACACATCCATAATGATCCATAGTATTTTAGTCTAGCATTTATTAACAGACTTGTCTACTTCATAATATATTAAGTGTATAATCTATGGTCTACTTCGCTAGAAGTAATAGTGTTCTGTGATTGTCTATTTGACAATTCATTTGTATGATTTGTATTTTATATTAATTAAAAATTGCTCTCAGACTCGTCAGTTAGGCTTTATTTTGGTATACAATTTAAAATCATAATTTATAGTCAGATGCAATATTTGTAGCTGACCCAAAAGTGGGTGAAAAAAATTAAGTTTCAAAAGATAAGAGCGCGCCTGTTATGATAAAGTTATTTACTTTTATTTTTAAAATTATCAATGAGTTAGATAACGTTGTTGGTGTCGAACGATATGAAAATTGCATTTGGTAAATAGAAATGGAACGCAGCAATTTGAAGTGGACAATACAGTTTAATTGATAAGTAGTAGGTAAGTGCTACGAACACTGAATCATATTTAAAATTATTTTGAATGTAATGAACTAGAGTCCTTATTGATACCTGTATTTTAAAGCGCTTAAACAACAATGTATAATTTTTTGTTTTTTTCTAAAGTTACAAAAACTTGGTATTCATATGCCAGTCTTATTTTAGTTACAATGTTCTATACTAGTTTTTTTTTTTTATTGCCCTTGTAGGCAGACGATCATACGGCTCACCTGATGGTGAGTGGTTACCGTCGCCCATGGACTTCAGCAATGCCAGGGGCAGATTCAAGCCGCTGCCCACCGCCAAACTATACTAGTGCTTTACTTAATAAAATTGTGAATTAAGAACATTAAGGATTTTTCCTACTTACAAAGTAATGACAAATCTGAATAATTATTTCTTAATTATGTAATTAAACCAACAAATAGTCACTTCACCAGATCCACTAGAATTTCTCCTATTTGATTAATATTTACTTATGAAGATTTAGCTTAACAGGCTCTAATTTATTCATAGAAATACGATTATAAAATATATAAAGCAAAACATAAAGCCCTACTTTAAAAACTAGTGTATATTGAGAAGTTGAAGACTAAAATAGAATAGAACACAAAGGACTCAAATGGTACATCGCAGTTCATATTACACATATATTAGTTTAAAATTTAAAACATTGAGCGCTACTATAAACATAATTTTCACATTCAATATAAAAATAAACTATTTAAAATTTAAGTATAAACATACTGGAATTTAAAAATCAATCCATAAATATACAATACTCAAATCACCCAGTATGAGTTTATGTAAGAGTGGCCCCAATTTTTGTTTTGTTTTGTAATTGGTGGTTTTCTTAGTCTTTATTAACCAAAAAATCATGGCATTCCATTTTATAATCTTGGTTAATTTAAAAATCCTGATTCTGAATGACTTCATAGCATTGGAAGAATAGCCACTCTATCCTCTCCTCACATTATGTTGATAGTGGCTGAAACAGCTAGGAGAGTGCTAGTAAACTCTGCTGACATGCAATAAATGGTTTATTCTAAGTTCTGCAAATATTGCTGATGTTAAAGACTATTGGTAAACTGAATGCATCCATGTTTACCTATGGCTGTATTAAAAATAAATTCAAACTGAAGAATTGACAAGACAATCACATGAATCATATCAATCACAATGGCCTGTGATTAGTATACAAAATTTGGTCAACATTTTATGAAAGATAACTGTCCATTGTTCCCAGTATTGTTTTAAATTAGATTCTATAAACTAAAAATAGTATAATACAAGGCTTAATACTATCATTCAGCTGCTTGAGAACTACTGTAAGTGATTTTAGTGTGATTCAGTATTTTTAAACAAAATTTGCTATTAAGTGAAAATATTACCCATATTTCTCCTGTGGTACTTAAAAATAATAATAAAAAATCCTCATATTGATTTAAGTAAAATAGATAACCTTTTTAAAAAAAAAATCTGATTTGAATTATTTTGGATTTGCTATCTGTGCACACACACGCAATAGCCGCTAGAGTCTGATTTGCTTATTTAAAGGGTAAATTTACATTGACATTGAAATATACAACTCTGATGTACATATTTACTTAAGTAAACATTTGAAGAACTGGGTGCTTTATGTCTAATTGCATCTTAGATTTAAGGTATCTTATTTATTTAGAAGTTTTATTAAATTATAAGAATTTAGAACAAGAAACACGCAAAACTTATAGAGCTCTATTAAAGAACTGAGTAGTGTGTTCTAATACAAATCAAACAAACAATAAAGCTTCAAAATTTTCTGAGATACTTCTTCTGTTTTAAATGAATTTTATCATTATTTCTTTAAAATCTCACAAATTCATCAGTCTCAAAATATGATTTCCAATTATGTACTATGGATATCGAAAACTGATGTATAATTATATCAATATAATATATAAATTAAAAATGTGTATCAACACCCAGTGACCCAGACAACAAAATTGTTCATCACATGAATGTTTGCTCAAAGTGTGAATCGAGCCATGACCAGCAGTCAGGGTTGCTGTTCACTGCTTCACCAGTTGAGTAGAATGAAGTTAGAATAAATTACTGTTCGACTATAGTAAAAAATATGAAGTTGGCTTTCAAATACCATTTTCCCATCCATCATCATCATCATCATAGTACACCCACTCATTACGGATCCTCCCGATCAATTAACGGTGCTTTTAGATACCACAAGCGCCGGTCACCGTCCTCGTCGAACCCGTCGCTTGCGACGAAGGGCTCGACGAGCGAATTGATCCATAGACACAGCCCACTGAGTTTTTCGCCGGATCTTTTCAGTGGGTCGCGTTTCCGATTCTGCGAAGCATTGCTCTTGCTAGGGTCAGTGTTAGCATCACTCCGGTTTGAGCCCCGTGAAATAGTTTCTCAAGGCAATCTGCTTAGGTAAAAAAAACCACCCACTTTATTTCTTAGGGTTTGTGAGTCTTTTTTTTTCTTAATATTAGTACTTAATTTGAACCCTGGCTATCTTTCATTCTGATACCCAGCAAGGGTCTCCGCTTCGGCGATATAAAGTGTAGGCTACGCTGTAAAACTACGGCGGAAACAACTTTAAAAAAAGTTAACACCTCTCACTGATTACTCTAGAGAAAAACCGCTAAGATGCACATGTGGATGTGGTTCGGTTACGACCTCGGAGACTTCCTGTTCTCCGGTCTAATCATCAGCACGCGGTGGGCGTTCGCCCTAACCTGGATCGCGCTGTTCTTTGTGGCACTCCTGTTCGAAGGTTCCAAGGTACGGACAAAGCTTTTAGATCTTGTCTTTTTTTTTATTGTTTAGATGGGTGGACGAGCCCACAGCCCACCTTGTGTTAAGTGGTTACTGGAGCCCATAGACATCTAAAACGTAAATGCGCCACCCATCTTGAGATATAAGTTCTAAGGTCTCAAGTATAGTTACAACGGCTGCCCTACCCTTCAAGCCGAAACGCATTGCTGCTTCACGGCAGAAATAGGCAGGGTGGTGGTACCTATACGCGCGGACTCACAAGAGGTCCTACCACCAGTAAGTCTCTTAGTAAGCGAATACATTGTAATGAAACGGCAGAGTGTGAAATGTAATATCAAAGATTATTGAACTAACCGTTAATATTGGACTAATTTCAAAATAAAATTATATGAATATCGCCACTTTCGCTTAATTTATTAAGTAAGGAAAATTAAATGAAGTGACGACAGGGAAGTCGTCCGAGAATTTAGGATTTAATTCGTGTTCATTTCAATAAGTGAAAAGTTTTATAGTGTTTCAAATATTTCAGGTGTACCTAGCCAAAGTGCAGCGCGAGGCACACAACAAACTGTACCCATATAGATCGGATGAAAGACGAAACCTTCTTTGCGACAGGTAATTCTATTTAACAATAGATACTCTCGATCAAAACGGCGTTAGATTTCTGACGAATATGCAGTCCAGTGAGATTCGCGTCGGTTATCTAAGTGGGTCGCGATTTCAATCCGATGATAGATTCTGCGAAGCACTCCCCTTGCTAGGTCTAGTGTTAGCAAATTCTCTTAGGTTGAGTCCATGAGCTCACCCATCCGTCCGATTGTAGTTGGAATAGCCCCTTAGGCTGCCAGCGAATAGGTAGGGGGGAAAAAATGACCATGCAAAATTGCGTTTTATTAGCTTCAGGTACGTTTGGTTTTCGTATAGAATACTATTGTGATCTCGTTATCGAATTGAGAGATTGTGTTCTGTGTGCTTAGTGCGAGTTTTTTAACGTTCTCGATAGCGTAAAAGTTAACTCAAAGTATGGAGTTGGAACAGCGCCCCTACCGGCAAACTTAGGCAAACGTTCCAACTCCATACAAATGTATGTTCACTTCTACGCTATCGAGAGCATTAAAAACATACTATCACAATTGCGGTATCTATGGGCTACAGTAACCACATCGCATTGGTTGTCAAAAAAATAGTTTAATGAAAAAAAACGTGTGAATTAAAAAAGGTCTATATTTGGTTATCATAATGAGTTATCTATATATTAATACGTGAAGCAAAAACTTTGTATCCCTTTTTACGAAAATTCCGCGGACGGAGGAGTATGAAATTTTCCACACTTATAGAGAATATAGAGAAGAAGTGCACAATGCTAATTTTTTTTTTAAATAATGCATAAAAGATACATTAAATCAATAAAAAAAACATCACACACACTACATACCATGTATTTGACGCACACACGCATGCATCATACTATTTATTGTCAAACTTTAGTTCTTGGCGTCTGTTGTCAAATTGAGAATAGATTAAACATTGTCTTTGTTAATATTTTTTATAGTGTAGTCTTGGCGAAATTTGCGATTATAGAAGTTTAAAATACAATCATAATAGTGTACAAACTTACAATTCCAATTAATTATAGTCGAATTTCGACTACTGCGGGACCTCTAGTAATCAAATAAATAACTGGGAACAAATTACGCACGGTCGTCCGGTCCCAAATTAGTATTCCCTGTGTTATGGGTATCAGAGGCTGACATACATATTTACGTTTAAATAAATACATATACATATAGATAATAATCATCCAGACAAAGAGCAAACAAACATGTTTATCAAAATTTTGTTTGCCCGATGTGGGAATTGAACCGACGATCATCGGCGCAACAGTTAGAGGTCACTAACTACTGTATTATCGAGTCAGTCATAGTTAAAAAGTAAAAGCATTATACATAATATATGTATTTTCAAGCTAAACCTTTTGTTTTTTATTAACTTTATTCGATACATTACATCGAGGTCAGTCGGTGTAATTTATTCTAGATCGGGCGTTGTCCGGAACTTGGTATAATGCACGGAAAAATTGTAATTCTATTAGTTTTGTGAAAGTTTGAAACGAAACTAGGTTGGGCGGACTCGTTTAGTTCAGTGCGCTAGTAACACGGAGCGACCTCATGCCTCCGGTTGGTAGGAGAATTTCAACTGTTTGACTACTGAACATCAGACGAAATGGTTCAAATCTATGCAATTACCTCAAGCACCGGTCACCGTTCACGTCGAAGCTTGCGACTCAGGGTTCAGTGAGTAAATTAACCTATAGACACAGCCCACTGAGTTTATAGTCTGATTTTCTCAGTGAGTCGCATTTCCGATCCGGTGGTAGATTCAGCGAAGCACTGCTCTTGCTAGGGCTAGTGTTAGCAACGTCGTCAGGTTTGCGCCGCGAGAGCTCACCTACTCGTTCGATTACGCTGGCATAGCCTCTCAAGGCTTACCAGCTTAGGTAGGGTAAAAAAAACCTTAAATACATGATTTAAGGTTGGTTACAGTTTTGTTTATGTCGGACATTACGTCTCAATGCCCTTGAGGCGGTATTTCGAACCGTAATTATATTGGAATGTCATTGCCCCACAGTTTACATCCTTTATAATATTAATAGCGGTCATGGCCGTTCGCGCCCATACACTTTTACTAATCGAACTAGTTCATGCCACAGCTGTTCAAAATACGTAGTAAAAGTTAATTGAGTTAATAAACAAACGATACACATTCGACATCTGTAAATTTAAGAATTTATCCTGTGATACAGGTTTCATCTGTGTTATAAGTTTCTCCTGTGTACAAAAGCTTAACTCAAATATGAGTGTTCTTCCAGCAAACTAAAATCAGAGTAAACTAAAATATGGCATATGGGAAAGTGTACACAGAAAAGATATTTATTATTTATGTTTGACACATGTAGAGAAAATTTATATCTGAGTGCTATTTTTAGTTTATCTTTGCCGTGTTCACCGACAAAGGTTACCAGATGTCCCAAATAGCATAGAAGTTAAATTTTATTGATAAATAAAGCTTATAATTTGAAATATTGATCTTTAAAATGACATTACGAGTTCGTCACAAGCTTAAATCACGAAAGCTTCAAAAACGGTAAACTAATGCGCGGAAAATTTTAAAATGCATTTAAAACATTCGGTTTTGTCGTCTGCAAATAGATTCTACTTTGATTTCTTATAAGTCTACAACTAGGAAATTCAGTATTATTTACGACTTTGCAAACTATGATCAAAGCAATAACTATAAAAAAAGATCCATATCATTTATTGAAGCTTTGCCCAAGCATGAGGCTCATGTTAAGGATTTTTTTCCTTCGAAATGATTACGTCCACAATGTTTGAAATCAAATTGAGCGCAACTCAATCTACGATAACAATCATATCATCAACTGTATCTTTATAGTTGATCTGTAATAAATAGTGAATTTTTCGCTTGAACTACGTAAGTATATTATTATGTTTATTGTTGAAATAAAATAAGTAATTATTATTGTAATAAAAGATCACATTAGTTGTTTATCGAGCCATAGTTCTGATCATTCATGATTAAGATCGTGTGATATTTGCCGCATTTTAATATTATATTATATTATTTTTATACAATAATGTAATTTAAGGAAAGAAAAACTTTTATTCTAAAACAGACGGTAGTAACAAAATATTCAAATGTCGCATCAGAACTGTAATAAACGTCGGGAATAATAAGAGCAAGATTAAACCTGAAAAATAGTTTTAATTTATTATATTGCTCTTGTAGGTAGACGAGCATACGGCCCACCTGATAGTGAGTGGTTACCGTCGCTGGTGGACGTCAGCAATGCCGGGGGCAGAATCAAGCCGCTGCGTACCGTTAATTATGCCTACAATACGCGAAAACCGAACCAAACACTATAAAACTTCAGTTATAAATGGTACATATGAATATGATGCTTTAGATTTTTCGTCTTTAAGAGAGAGTATACCTGTTATATTCGACCACACTAATATATAATAATTTCACTACAAGTCTAATAATATAGCGCGCCATTTATTTCGTTAATGTATTTCGATAACTGGCAACACCGTGCGAACGTATTACCTGTGGTGCGAACGATGAGCTTCATGCTAACAAGAATAAATGAGGCATTTTTTTAATCGTCTCAAGAACGTCTGATTATATCTACCGAGCCGATGTTCGTTGGGCGTATTTAAGGCTTCTAAGAAGTATGAATAACTGCGTTTCAGCGGCTTGGATCATTTGCAACGTACTGTGCTTGTAAAATTGTTGTACAGAGCACGTCCTTCTAGTGCAGTGGACGGATATCGACGGATGTTCCCTCAGACACACCCCACTGAGATTCTCGCTGGATCTTCTCAATGGGTCGCGTTTCCGATCCGGTGGTAGATTCTGCGAAGCACGGCTCTTGCTAGGGTTCGCGTTAGCAACGTCGTCAGGTTTGAGCCCCGTGAGCTCACCTACTAGTTAAGGTTACGCTCAAATATACTGTCAAGGCTATCAGTGTAGGAAGGAAAAAAAAAGACGGATGTTGATTGTAAAGACTACGACGGTAAAAAAGACCGATGTTGATTTAAGACTACAAACGTAATAAATATTAAAATAATTGACTGTAGAGAGCGAGGGGCCATGGAGCCGACAACTAGCCGTAACACCACCACAGCGCAGGTCAGCAGATGGGGGCTAATTAAAGTGAGGTGAGTATTTACGTTAGGAATATTATTTTTTTGCTTAGCACCTACTGGTTAGGACGTCTTGTAAGCCCGCACGGGTAGGTACCACCACCCCGCCTACATCTACCGTGAAGTAGTAATGAGTTTCGGTTTGAAGGGTGGGGCAGCCGTTGTAACTATACTGAGACCTTAGAACTCATATCTCAAGGTGGATGGCGGCATTTAAGTTGTAGATGTCTATGGGCTCCGGTAACCACTTATTACCAGGTGGGCTGTGAGCTCGTCCACACATCTAAGCAACAAAAAAAACCTATGTTGTATTTAATCGAGTCGAANCCGTGAAGTAGTAATGAGTTTCGGTTTGAAGGGTGGGGCAGCCGTTGTAACTATACTGAGACCTTAGAACTCATATCTCAAGGTGGATGGCGGCATTTAAGTTGTAGATGTCTATGGGCTCCGGTAACCACTTATTACCAGGTGGGCTGTGAGCTCGTCCACACATCTAAGCAACAAAAAAAACCTATGTTGTATTTAATCGAGTCGAAAGCTTTTGACTGATCGAGGAAACACGCATACACCTGTTTTTCTTTCTGAATAGCTTATTAACCTTTTTTGAGTGCTGAGCTTATTTTAACATATTTTGCAGAAATTGCTAAAGGATTTTTGAAAAATATATGCTTGAAAACGTTATACATTTGCGCGCGCTAAAAGATGTCCGTCGTATGAAACTGCGCAAGTAGTCGGTATTCCGACACTTTATACGCATTGATAGAGTCGATCTATCGACGAATCGAGATGAAAGGGTTAAATTAGTTTATCACGAATCAGCAATGTATAGCGAAATCGAACGTTTCTTATAGGCTCTCGCTTGTTTGGGGTTATCATAGGTTTTAACTAGCCGCATATTGTCAGGGCGTTGGTGAACGCGCACCATTCGGTCGTGTTCCTGGCGCACAACGTGGTCGGCTACCTGCTCATGTTGGCGGTAATGGTGTACAATGTGCATCTGTTGCTAGCCGTCGTTTTCGGAATGATGCTCGGTACGTAGTCTGATTTATCTATATCGTAAAAAAAACCACTTCCCANGGTTATCATAGGTTTTAACTAGCCGCATATTGTCAGGGCGTTGGTGAACGCGCACCATTCGGTCGTGTTCCTGGCGCACAACGTGGTCGGCTACCTGCTCATGTTGGCGGTAATGGTGTACAATGTGCATCTGTTGCTAGCCGTCGTTTTCGGAATGATGCTCGGTACGTAGTCTGATTTATCTATATCGTAAAAAAAACCACTTCCCAGTAGTGGATACCTACGTGTGTACCTCACCCTCGTCATAATCTTTGGTCTGTAATCTATAATTTACAAATAAATTTTGTAACAATATTTTAGTATATAAATATCGGTATCGACTGGTACTTAATACATCAGTACGAAATTCGTCGTGGCCTAAAGGATAAGACGTCCGGTGCGTTCGTATATAGCGATACACCGGTGTTCGAATCCCGCTGGCGTGTACTAATTTTTCTAATGAAATACATACTTAACAAATGTTCACGATTGACTTCCACGGTGAAGGAATAACATCGTTTAATGAAAATCAAAACCACAAAATCTTCGATCAATAATAGTACTAGATTAAGGATCAGGAACAAAAATAAGACGCTCCAGTGGCCACGTTTGCAGACACGAAAACATCTTCATTTCTTAGAAAAAAGTTTAATAATGTTAACGACTTCAGTTTATTATAAACCTTAATACTTAAACATAAAGTTTAATTACCATTGCAAAATATATGTATTTAGGTCCTTTCGTCAGAAAAAGAATATTATGGAATAAATTTAAAATGTCACTTGAACATAAAAAGTCATCAGTACAAAAATATTTATTCTAAAATGATACTTAAAGCCTAATTTATAAGGTTAAAAATATTTGTTTAAAATTTCGTGCTTATTGTATTGTGGAACTAGATGTAGTTCTTGGTATTACATTTCAATGCTCAGAACACAGTAAGTATTGAAAGACATAGAGTTGCAGAATATACATATTTGTTTTAGGTTTGTTTTGTATGGTCGCAACTATTTTTGACCGATTCAAAAAAGTAGTAGATAATATTTTACATTGCCGCTATTACAACAAATAGGTGATAAAAAATAAAATTGAATAAAGTAAAAAAAATATGAAAGGAAACACGAAACATGTTTTCCACGTATTCTTTATACAGAAGTAATTAAAACAATAATGTAGGTTTAATTACCTTTAAACAGATTCAGTTTGTTATAAAGCTGTCTTTTAGAAGTCATTTTTATATGAGCGGTTTCTTTTTTACAAATATAATGTAATCTTATATCAATGAATTTTTCTATAATCAGTTTAATTTAGGCTTATTTTATGGCTGTGTTCGTTTCCCCCAGAAAACAAATCCTTTTCAGCATATACGCTTAAAATATTTACACATACATATAAAGTTTTTTTAATACTTTTTTGCATTGATTTGCCACCACCATTGAACAATTCTAGAATTTTTATAAGGGTTCTATATTTCTTCTCTTTCTTTCGCGACAATATATATCCATTGTGCACAGCGACAAGGGGCTACTAGGAAATCTACAAACAAAAATAACATTATAAAATAACAAAACTACTCTATGCATTCCCTGTCCAAGAATAGGTGATGTTTGTTACAATAGTTGGTGCCTTGTTGCAAACACTGGCCAAACAATTACAATATTCGTAAATTGTGTTTTATTTACAATATAATTGTGTTTATTATTTTATGAAAAACACTTATTAATATAAATTTACCAAAAAAAGATATTCCTTCCAAAACCTTGGTGTTACGGTGGTTTTTTACTCAGTTTTTGAACGCGCATTGCAGCGTTTTGACGTCTTAGTGTTGGCTATGATTGGACAATACTAATTTGAAATAAGACCACAAATTTATTTGTGGTCTTATTTTTCGGGCCGTTTTTGAAGCGCTAATCGCGAATCTAGTAGTATTATTGATCGAAGCACAAAATTGTAATTTGTGTAATTAGTGGTGGTAGGACCTCTTGTGAGTCCGCATGGGTAGGTACCTCCGCCCTACCTATTTCTGCCGTGAAGCACTAATGCGTTTCGGTTTGAAGGGCGGGGCAGCCGTTGTAACTATACTGAGACCTTAGAACTCGTATCTCAAGGTGGGTGGCGTCATTTACGTTGTAGATGTCTATTGGCTCCGGTAACCACTCGGACTTCGGACCTCTAAAGTGATATGCTAAGTTGATTTTTTATTCAATTAATGTATTTATGGGTGACTGAACTCACAGCTCACTTACGTTAAACGTCACAATGGGAATGGCGCCACTCAATACATTTGAGAAAAAACCACAGACAATGCGAAGTTTAATAAATAACGTCATAGACAATTAATGATTATTTTTGGTCACAGGATACTTTTTATTCGGCCCGAAACTAACACGACTACAGATGCAATGCCACAGAACGAAGAGAGTGGTTATATGTACACCGGAATGTGACGATACAGGTATGAAATCATTATGAGAGCTTATACAAGAATACATTAATGAAATGAAATTAGTTTCAATTTAAATCTTTCTTATGCATGATTTTCTTTTTAGCTGTTTTAAAGCATATTGAATAAAGCTATGGAGCTATGGGCTAATATGGAAAAACATTTTATGAATGAAAACTTAACATTATACAGTAATATTAACTAACGGCTGTAGACAAGCGCTCTGACTAAAGAGGATTTTTGCTAGAATGGGGTTTTGTTTTGCTTTACATTGAGAAAATATAGCAATAGATTCAATAGAAAACAAATAACACAACACTATGTATAAATAGACATATATGTTTGAATTATGTATACTGACGTGATTGAGGACTGGTTGAATCGATACTAAATTACCTCACAGTTGAGGTTTTTACTGCGGGAGAGGTTTTAGAAACTTTGGAACACACGCAAACTCACCTTCTTCAAACGAGGCTCGTGGAGAGTATTAAGCGGTAGGCAGCGGCTTGGCTCTGCCCCTGGCATTGCTGACGTCCATGAGCGACGGTAACCACTTACTATCAGGTGGGCCGTATGTTCGTCTGCCTGTTAGGGCAATAAAAAAACCTAATCTTCGACCATAGACTCCCACATATCCCACGCGTCACTTCTTTACTGGATCCTTATAGGTTCAGTTATTGTTAGGTCCTATGTACTGCAAGGTGTCATCTTCGAGCTTCCATTTTTATTGATATAAATTTGTGAGCCTGTCCTCTTGTAACAGCGATTCATTAAGGACTTTAAAAAAAGTGTGTTATTAAACATTGTAGCGACCAAATACAAATTTATTAGATTTCGGAGGATTTTAATTATCGGGGAACCGGGCTCGAAGGTTAACTAAAAAAAAAAACAAAAAAATGACCGTATTTCTAGCAAAATCTATTCAATTCATGAAGCAAAATTATATGCGGTTTTTTTAACACGAATTAAAAAAAAAACAGCTAATTCGTTCAGAGAATTGTACCACTTTGCTGGTCTATTGAATAAATAAACGGAATGTTTCCCCATACAAGACCGGTGTAACACCGAGAAATGCACGTGGGAGGTCTGCGAGGGAAAGCTCTGCAAGGAGCTGGACGCCCTCGAACTTCAGCAGACAGACACGACGCTCTCGAGCGACGCCTACCCGCCGGGAAGCTACTAGGCTAGCAAGGTGCCGTAGGAGGTCTCTCTTGTTCAACACCGCAGTTTTTTAATTTCGATTTTTTTTTTAGTTTTCTTTATTTTTAATTTAGAAATTGTTTTTTTTCTCCTTCAGTAACTAACTAGTGATGATTTTTTTTAAGTTTTTCATAGTGCAGTCTTTTTTGAGTGAATTAGTTTGCTTTTGTTTTAAACTTAGAATTATATCTTTTTTTCTCTCTCTGTAACTAAATAGTGATTGTGACTACATCAGATGTACCAGGGTAGCATGTAGCTGTAGGAGGTCGTATCGTTTATAACATTAAAGTTTCTAGTGTTGAAGATTATGATTTTGAATAAAATGTATTGTGTAGGTATTTGGTATTTTGTATTACTTTAGAAATAGCTTTGTTGGTAGTAACAAACTAGTGATTTTTCGTAGTTAAAAGTGCTAGAATCGCATGTAGCTATATGTCCTATTGTCATTTGAGTTTCTAGCTTTGGAGTGTTTTTTTTTTTTTTTGTGAATTCGTTTATTTTTTAGTAATTAATGTTTTGACCCAAGTTAAGTACCAGGCTAGCATGTAGCTATAGGAAGTCTTATCATTGACACGACTGGCTTAGATTCTCAATTAATGTACGTTATATTTTTGTTATTCTAGTCTTGTTTCGTGCCATTATTCGTTGACGCTCGTAGTAAAGGGTAACCATTATTCTAATGCGGGACCAATACCAGTAATGGAGGATTTTCCCGTAAATATGTTTAATGACCTCGAAAGGTAAACCGTACTGTCGCCGGCAGCTAACCTTAGTACAATAGCTTTATTTGAAACTAGCTGACCCGGCAGACTTCGTAGTGCCTCAATCGATAAATAAAAGACCTAAACTTTTGTATAAAATAAACTTAAAATAAACAAAAGGAATCCGCCAGACGGGGAACCCATCAAAGGAAAAATAAAATTGTTATTTTTATTTAATTCCGAGCATTTTCATTCATTTATCTGCCTTTTAAACCTTCTCTGGACTTCCACAAATAATTCAAGACCAAAATTAGCCAAATCGGTCCAGCCGTTCTCGAGTTTTAGCGAGACTAAGGAACAGCAGTTCATTTTTATATACAGTCAAACCTGGATAAGTGAGAAAACTCTCTAATGAGAGTAATATCCAGAACCCGTCATTTTAAGCTCCCAAAACCTCTATTAGCGGGAAACAGAAACCTGTGTAAGAGAGAGTCGTTTTTCCCTCATGGACCTCCGTAAGTGAGACTGCTATTTATCAATACCTCTATTAGCGACAGTCGAGCTTTCTTTATTTATATTATTTAGGAGGAACAAATGACAAAACAAATTACAAATTTAACATCTGCTATTTTATGACTCCTTCTTAACTTCCGTGGAACTTCCTACCATTGTTTTTGTATTTTTTTCTCGTCAATATTGAACCTATTCTATTTCGTGGAACTAAATAACGTTGTTATTTTATCGCATTCTTTTCGAATGGACACGTGTGCCTGTGTACCGTCCTGTTTGTCGGACTTACTCAGTTTATCGTTAATCAATTGCAAAGGAAAGTTCTGTTCTGCATCATGTAAAAACGGAAAATTAAGTACTGTCATTAAGTGATAAACTTAAAATAGTGGATGCGTTTGAATCCAGAAAATCGCGAAATGAAATTCAGAGGGATCATTAGCGAGAAACTCGGATTAGTGAGAAACCTCTATAAGCGAGAATGAGATTGTGCTCCCTTGAACTCATCCAGGTTTGACTGTATATAGATAGATAGAAGATAAGTTAACAAGTTGAACGCCCCGATAGATATCATGCCTCCACGGTACCCTAAGGCCGTTTCATGTCAAAGATCGTCCAAAAATCGTTGAAGTGCTTTTTTGTAATAATTGTCAAGGAATAACTCAAAACTAAAAGGCGAATTATGGAAATAGTGACTACTCAAGTTTTTCTGAGAGATGTCAAATGGGACACACACCTGTTAAAACAATATATCATGGCCTTGGATATATTGGAGTATTGGAGTACCAACTTAAGTTCGTATTCTTATATAAGAAAGCTCTGAAAGTGTCGCGCCGCATTAGAATGCGCCATGCTAGACGCGGCACTAGCAATAATATTGAAATAATCTATTATTTAAATATTGTTAATCTAAAGCCGCGTTTTCTCTGTATTTCAGTATATTCGCTGTAGAGTATTTAAAATTTCAATTTTAATACGCACATGAATCTATTATCCTGATCGAGTACTTGATTTTCAAACTTCTGTCTATTAAATTGTGTCCATTAACCAACATCTAATATATAAATACTTATGCTTTTATTTACTAAATAATACCGACATCAAAACGAATGTCTTATTTATTTATTAACACCTCATTGTTATGTAACTATTAAATAAACAATTCCTCTTACTTTCAGCCGAAACATCGACTCCACCTCTCCTGAATCACTCTGAGTCAGATTCGGACTTCTACAACTGCCAGACTCGCACTTGCATACAGCCGTCCCACTACTTTCCGTCCACGTCACAAGATGGCGCCAGTACCGAAAATAACGTAACCTGCCAGTACGGCGCCAAGAAATGCCCGTCGAAAGTTGCCAGAGCGAAAAAAGCCCAATGTCACAGTGAAAAAGAAGACAATTCAAATATAGAAGATACAAAACTACTAGTGAAAGAGCGCTCAGGCTGTTGCAAGTCGGAGCCGCCTCACGAGGAGAAATGTTGTAAAAAAGAAATTGTTGTAGTTCAAGAGCCTACGTCGTGCTGCAAGAAAGAGAAAGTAAGCGAGGAACAAGCACACGAGGAAACGAGAGAGAAGACCCCTCCGGTGACTTGCTGCAAGTCGAGCAGTACCGAGAGTCGCGAACAGATAGTTCATCCCTGAAGCTACCGTTCGCTGTAGAGTTGGGACAGACTGCTAATATTAATCGCCCTGTAAACGATCAAATTTGTTTGTCAAACTTTACGTTTTTATCAAACAACTAGCTGACCCGGCAGACTTCGTAGTGCCTCAATCGATAAATAAATGACCTAAACTTTTGTATAAAATAAACTTAAAACAAACAAAAGGAATCCATACGACGGAGGACAACTCAATGGAAAAACAAAATTGTTCTTTTTATTTAATTCCGAGCATTTTCATATGTATCTACCTTTTAAACCTTCTCTGGACTTCAACAAATAATTCAAGACCAAAATTAGCAAAATCGGTCCAGCCGTTCTCGAGTTTTAGCGAGACTAACGAACAGCAATTCATTTTTATATACATATATAGATAGCATAAACGATCAAATCAAAGGTCAAACAAGTTGTTAACTTGCCCGCAGATTCGATTTTCTCCTTGCCGTAACGAGACGTCGTGTCGAGCAACGATTGAGATCTTGTTTGACAAACCCCCCCATACACCTTCAAACTTGTTTGTCAAACACGCCGTCAATCAAGATATCCATCAAACCAGTCAAACACGTACTGTTTGACAAACGCGTCAAACACACTGTCAAATAATTTGACAAACAATTTGATCGTTTACAGGGCGCTTTATAGTAAACAGGGACGACAGTGTAATAATGCCTTGACGCGACTCATACCAAAGTTAAGGAATTTATGATGTATTTCTAAAAAGCAATATTATAAACAAATATTTTTGCTCAATAGTTATGTAACTGTGACAAGTATTATTGTTTTAAAAAAATGCCTATATGTAGTTGTATATTTGACATATTATTATATCGAGAGGTGAAAGGCTATTTGGTTTAAGCGACATTTATCTTTGTAAAAATGCGTTTTATTTGGTACTAGCGACCCATTCCGGCTCCGCTCGGGTCTTTAACAAAAATTTCAACGATATTTGACGTTGTTTTATTTTTTTTAAATAACAGAACACTTATTGCGCCATAACTATCATAGTTAGAAATAATATGTCGCGACACTTTTTGTAAATATTAATGTGTTCTACAAAGTCGTAGTACATTATTTTATTCTATCATCAATAGTTTTCGTAGGGCACGCGATGTAAAGAATATTTTAGGTAATTTTTTACACCTTGAGTTACATTATTGGAATTTTAGTAAGGATCCCTATTTTTTTTCTTCAAAAAACATCATAAGCTATGTTACTCGGGAATAGTGTAGCTTTCAAACAGTGAAAGAATTTTTCAAATCGGTTCAGTAGTTTCGGAGCCTATTCAATACAAACAAACAAATCATTCCTCTTTATAATATTAGTATAGATTAGCATCAACAGTTCGATGTTTTTAATTGAGCTTCAATTAAGTTTACTGCGTTGAAATAGCTGAAGAAGTTTTTTCTTATGTAATTTTTTCAAAATTTTAAATCTTAAATGGCTCTCCTGTAAAGTTACAAAAATGTCGTTTAAACCAAATAGCCTTACTTCACCCATCGATACTTTATTTGAATGAATGCTGTTGTTATTGTTTTGTTTAAATTTTCTTATCTGTGATTGTACCTCCATGCGACACACCGCCGTGTTCAAAGACTGTCCACATTGTGAAATCTATTTCGTACATGTCAAACAATTCTGCCATGTTTTATTTATGGAAATATAAAAAAAATATATGTATATGTGCCTAGTCCAGTTCTTGTTGCTTTTAGTTTGTAGTGTACCTGTATTAGAATTTATTTTTTATATTACCAAATGGTGTAGTTTTCTTGTTTTAGTTTTGTAGTATTAGCTAACGTAGACTAAATTGGTTATCGGTCATGACCATATATATTTACAATGTTAACTTTCCTAAATTGTTTATTAGTTTAATTTCGGTTATTAAAAATCAGTGATGTATTGAAGTGCCTTACTATTTGTTTATAGTGTAACGCGTGTTTAGTTATAAATAAACTATATTTATTTAAATCGTTTTTTGGCTGAAACCTGGAACTTCAATGACTGCTGGACTAAATGTATCGATCCCTAAGATTGGAACAGACGTGTTCTGGTCCTCGATGACAGCAGCAGTGGGCGGATCTCAGATGTTCAGAAGCAATCCTTTACATTTAAAATTGAGTACAAAATCCGAATCGATATACACGCCGTTTTTTTATCCCTACCTATTGGTAGCCTGAGGAGTTATTCCAGCTACGCCCGGACGGGTAGGTGAGCAACGGTTTCACGGTTTCGACCTGAGAGAATCTGGTAGCACTAGCCCTACTTCGCAGAATCTATTACCGGATCGGAATCACAACCCACTGAGAAGATCCAGGCTGCGTCTGTGGGTTAATTCACTCGTCGAATTCTTCGTCATAACCGACGAGTTCGACGAGGACGAGCGACCGGTGTGCTCAGCGCGAGTTTTTTAACGTTCTCGATAGCGTAAAAGTTAAGTAAATTAAAGTAAAAGTTAACTCAAAGGACATGGGCCATTTTCAGCCCAGCTACTCGTGCTCTCAAGGAAATATCTATAGAAAAAAACATTTCATTTTTACATATCGGAACGTTTGCCGCTAGGGGCGCTGTTCCAACTGCATACAAATCTAAGTTAACTTTTACGCTATCGAGAACGTTAAGAAACTCGCACTAAGCACACAGAGCTTGAAGAGCCGAGAATGGTTCCGGGGGATCCAACGAGCCATGATGTTTCAGGCGACGCGACGTCGGCTTTCCATTGACGCGCCCGTGCAAGTCTCCATCTCGACTGCGGACCGCGACCGAGAACTGGTTCACTTATTATATTATGTACTTTAAAAAAAACAATGCAAATTTCGAACATTAGAATAGTTTTTCTTTATTCATAATAATACAATAAAACTTTAAATGAAATATAAAATAATGTCTTACAATCTAACTTACATCTAAATTATAATCACATTAATCCGGTGGGCGCGGCTGTGGGAGTCTGACAGAGATTCGCTGTATCGTGTACAGTGGTAAGTTTAACAATTTTGATATAAAAAGTCTTTATTCTTCATAATATTGTTTAAACATGCTAGTATATCCATTCAAACCATGTCCTAACGGAAACTTCCATATAATTATACAAAAGTACAAATTTAAAAACCTATTTTTTTCAAGTACTTGATGACTTTTAAACAACAATAAAGTACTTTTAAATGTTGTTCATTAATTACACTTAACATTTGCTATAAAACATGTAACAGCTTTATACACTACGATCCATGAACATTGCTTCAATAGTGATAAAAACAAGACTAATCAATTCTCAATGATCGCACAAGATTATCACAAGCTGGGAGCTTTCGATGTCAACGCTTTATCAAAAGCTGCACTCCCATTGGTCGGTTCGTCACTTCGGGACCACATCTTTAGTACTAGTAGCTAACATTACAGTAAATTGTTAGCTCAGAAAATTCACTGGTGTCAACAGGTGTTGGTATATGATTTTATGAAATATTTCAAGATGGCCTTATGATAGCTCTCCTTAAATCTTATATCTGTAGAGGTTCTCAACGCAAAATTGGCCAAACCTTGAACTACAATGTAGTTTTTATGGTAATGAAAAAAAAGTTACTAAAATGATATTGAATGACAAGTTATTATTTTTTAATCGTAATTATGTGTGTTTTGCGTTGACAAACTCATTCATGACGTCACCGTCATGAAGTATGTCTTTATGTGTATTCTAAAACAGCCGCGCCCTCAACTGCGAGGCTCTGAAGTCATTGGCGGCGAATGTGTACAAAGGAAACTGTACCTTATATTTTAGTGTATAAATACGTTATTTCTTGTCGTATTTATCTTAAGTTACCCCAGATTATATCAACGCATTTCTATAAAATCACAATAGGGTTGAATAATAGTTAAGATTAAATTTTTTATCATATTTTTGCAATGTTTTAGTGGAAACTACAGAATGGCATCAGTTTAACACAAAACCCCGCCAACGCCCGAACAAACGAGTACACTATAATAATCAATAAAATAAAATAAAAAACAAAATAAATATGGCCGATCCATAGTTTTTTTTACAGTTTTGTTGTAAATTTCAGGGAATTCAATGTTTCGTCGAAAAACTTCAATTGCTTGATAATTTACAAAAGGAATCATGGAATCAGGTTTCTATATTCAGAATCAACAAAAGGGAAGACTAATGTTAATGTTATAATCGATGCTTAGACTAGAGTGGGATGATAAAAAAGATTATAATAGCAGTTCAATTTTTAATTAGTATGGGAAATAAATATGTTTTTAAGCATTGTTATTAAGAGGACGTATACCTTTGTCTAGCCATGATTTTTTATTAAAATCATATCCTAATTCTCGTGAGAGATTTTTAGCTGGTATTGCCATGATAGTGAAAATTCTTGAGTTCTCATGACATCTTTACAGCTGGTATTACCATGATGGTAAAATTATATAAAACATTCGAATCCTCATGAGAACTTGTGTGTCATGTCTTCTGTGATTTTGTGCGTGAAAAGTAGATTTTCTTTTACATCAATGTGTGTAGTAAAGTGCTTGCTGGCTCTGTCTAACCGATGCTGTATTTCAGTGTTTGAGAAACAAATACAAAAATGAATACCTACAGTACTCTGGGTAATTGTGTCCCATTTAGGTAAGATATCGAATACTTTGATTGACATTAACAAACTAAATGTTAACTCAATATTATTATTTGTTCGGTATTGTTCATTAAGTTAGCCAAACTACTGACTACTTAGTTACTACCCAGAAATGTGGTTTAGAAAAGCTTATTTTTTGTCAAAAGACCCCCCATTAATTATATATTTGAAAATCTGGTAATGTTTCCAGAAATAAAAAAAAAAGGAAATCAATACATAATGTTTTACTGAAGTCTCAAAAAAAATAGATCATCAAAGTAAAAATTAAATGTGTATTCTATAAAAACTAAAACATACATTTTTCGTATTTGTTAATTTAAAGTTATTTTTGGTGAATTTTTAACGTCAATTTTCGCTACAAATGCATTAAATCTTACTTTTAACTATCTTAAATATACGTTCAACAAAAACATGCGGCTCTACTTTTAATGTATTAGAAGGTGAACGTGCGAGACATCAACGAACTCTGTTAGTGTCCAATGACAATGACATTGTCGATCGACGGTTCCGAACGAGAACCGCCCATGCTTTGATATTAACCCTTTGAATGTCCATGTGAGTTATGAACCGATAAAAAATTGATTTGTAGATCATATTTTAGACCAGAGGATCTTAGACGGCAGTAGACCAAGACGCTGTTTTACCTATGGTGCTGTTGACATTTGACCTATTCCATTCTGCCCGCGCGCTAAACTAGAGGGCTCTAGGGCAATGATTGCACGCGGGCGTCACATGGGCCAGAGACACCTTGAGTAGACCAATAGTCCATTGATGAGACGATGCACACAAACCTTCACAGCTACTTACTACAAAACAGTATTTTTTCTTCATAATTTTATTTCCTTTTCCCCCAATTCCTACTTTCAGTACTTTTAGCGAGTAGAGTTAGTGGCACTGTTTTGACAATTTGTGCCACCAAGTGTCTTGCTTTGTAATGTGGAAGTAGGGAACAATTCTACTAATGCAATTGAGAATGAAATCATCTCAAGGTGAGCAACGGGATCCACGCTGTGATGATCATGGGATCCGGCGGTTGACACTCAATCGTTTGATAATACGAGAAAAAAAAGAACGCCTGTGTTAACTGTACTCTATGAGAGACTTTTTGGGGGAACGCGAGGAGCGAAGTTGTGTGAATTGTTTTATTTTATCTATTTAGTGTTTCTTCAGGTTTAAATGTATAATAACGGTGGTTTATTAACTGTTTAGTATGTGTGCAAGTGCACAAATGTGGGAAAATGAAACAAAGCCGCTGGATGTAGTTTCTCGCGATCTTTAAAAAAGTCCAGTGAAAAAGTCTTAGTCAATTACCACCATTTTACTGAGATTATAATATTATTTCATCACATTATTATCATCATCATCACATCTCATTTAATGTCATCTCAATTTATTAATGTCTCAAAATAATCATCTTCATATCATTTTTCAAGAAAGAGAATAGGGTATACAAAATATTAGGCTGTATGGTGTAATACATTCGTCTTTCCAGTTGGAAAAATGGAACTACCACTGCTGTACTCTTATTACGATAATGTAATCTCCGTGTGTACATTTTAAAATTATTCTATGCGTGTTTGAATGTTTTCAAAATCTCTGGTGGGGTCCAAAGTGTGAAGTTCAAAAGTTTAATAAGTCCACGGCCGCAGTAACTAAAGCACATTCCGGGTGCTCGGATCGAACCAGCGATCCTAATACAACTGGGGTACTAGAGCTTTTATTAAATTTCGAATTCAAATAACTCAATCGCTAATCACATGTAATTTACTTTAAACTTTGGTAATGAACTGTTTTAATGAAATGTTTGTATCACGTCACACACACTGAATAAAAGATAATAAGATCATTTCGTTTTTTTTTTAGTCCTTAACGATTAATACAGTACAATGATTTGTTTAATCAACAAGTCCGTAATGTATGTCCATATGTAGGCCGAATAAGTTATGTTAAATTTAAACATGAAACAATGTTTCGTGTTTTGTCATTAGTGTTGTTCGCGTTAAAACGACGATGCAACATTTAGAATATCAGGGATGTAATCGATGACTTGTATCGATTAATTCGAAACTCGACTTTCGCACTCTACGACTATTGTGGCTGTGTAAAAATATATTTATTATATTTAACAAGAGAGGATTATATCGAATTTTAAAATTTTTTAAACATTTCAATAACTTACACGAATCTAAAGTCGATAAGTTTAAATTCTACATTAGTATCGATAACCGGGTTTCTCGCACTGGATTTTTATAGACTATTTCGATTCGATATTCAAGCCATCAGTTCCCAGTACTGCATGAGACGTTCGCCAGAGGGCGCAGTCATACCTTGAGGCCGGATAAAGTTCATCTCGATCGTTTTGAATCTTTTCTTCAACTCAGCATCAAACATCTGTGTACAGAGTTAAGTATATTTATTCATGTATTCGAGCTAGCCGACCCGCGGTATTAGTACAGTCTGCTAAACAGATACTTTTTACTGGTGGTATAACCTCTTGTGAGTTCGCACGGGTAGGTACCACCACCCTGCCCATTTCTGCCGTGAAGTAGTAATGNTCATCTCGATCGTTTTGAATCTTTTCTTCAACTCAGCATCAAACATCTGTGTACAGAGTTAAGTATATTTATTCATGTATTCGAGCTAGCCGACCCGCGGTATTAGTACAGTCTGCTAAACAGATACTTTTTACTGGTGGTATAACCTCTTGTGAGTTCGCACGGGTAGGTACCACCACCCTGCCCATTTCTGCCGTGAAGTAGTAATGCGTTTCGGTTTGAAGGGGGGGCAGCCGTTGTAACTATTTATTGAGGGGTACAGGCGTCGTGTCGCTACGCTATCACAAACCTGGTTGGCGTCCCCGGAGGACAGGTTGAAGGGCTCGGGGCGCGGGTCGGCGGCGGCGAGCACGGCGGCGAGCGCGGCGGAGAGCGCGGGCGCGGCGTGGCGGCGCAGCGCGGCCACCTCCCACAGCGACGAGCCCAGCGCGCCCGCGCGCGCCGCGCACGTCTCCTCCATCACGTACGGGTCGCTCGACACTGCGGGTAAAGATGACTAATTTTTTACGAAACCTGAACAGGTTGCTTTGAAAATAAAATGTAACCTGTTACGAGAAATCGTGCATTAGGTTGTTTACGAAAACGAACGAAAGCCAGAAATTAAAAACAACGTAATGCGAAACGCGCTGCGCACGTAACGACAGTTGTGAACTCTGACTGACGCATACTGTTGCCGAGCGTTACCCCGTTGCGCGCGTTACCCTGTTGCGAGCTCGCGCCGGCTGCTAAGCGTTGATAAAACAGCTTGGGACCCGACTTACAACCGAAAAAGTTCGCCAATTAGTATTTTTAAATGTCAATAAAAAATAAATATATTAGTAGATTACTATTATTATTAATTTTCGATTTATCACTAACAAATACAAGATTTTTCATTGCTTTCATTTCATTATCTGATCTGACTACTAAAAAAACCTGTTGCAAAAGCAACCTATTGCCGCAAAAGGTTTCGAAAAAAAAATGCAACCGGTTCCAACATTGCTACAAAACAACGGAAAGGCTCTTCTCTAGCTGCGGGCGCGACCACGCTACAACTGCGCTGCTACTACGTGCGGCGCAACACAGGCGCCACGTTTACAGACAACACATCACGCTTATTAAACACTAGCCGTACCCGCCCGCTTCGCTAGGCATTTAAAATTTATTTTATTATTTATTTTCATTATTATCAGGGAGTCCAACACTCATAAAAATATTAGCCTATCCAATAAGTACATGTATTTTCTACATGGATACCAAGTTTCAAGTCAATCGGATGCATGGTTCAGTAGTTATAACGGAACATCCATAAAAACCATTGTTGATTTATATATTAGTATAGAATTATAGATTCGATTTAATATGAATCTAATATGGCGGACCCACACACAAATGCAAGTACATCTGAACTCAAATACTAAATATCTCATTTTCATATATCACTACATAATACACAACAAATTTGATTAATTAATAACATAGAACAAGCATAGGCACACAAAGACAGTGACTGCAACCCAAACTCTGTGATGCAGTAGCTACGGTCACTTACTACTAGACATTAGATATGAAGAAATTTACAGAAAAAAAAACTAATTATCTGTACCAACAAATAGCTTCAATCCAAATACCTTTTCTACTTTGGTCCAAAGTACACAATTGACTTTGTTGGACTTCATTGTTTTCAATTTAATTATTACAATTGACTCACTGATGGCGGGCGTATCTTCGTAGCAGATCATGCGCTTCAACGCCGGATGTCGGAGCAGCAGGTTGGCTATGAGCTGCAGCAGCCCCACGGCGTCCTCCGGGCAGGCCACCAACGCCAGCCGAGACAGACGCTTTGCGAAGGCCGCCACCAAACTCTCAGGCAAATGTCTGTCAATTTACACATAAATACATCGCACCTGTAGAATTATAGACATAACCCATAAAATGTAGTCAACGGTAGGTAACGACTTGGCTCTGCCCCTGGCATTGCTGAAGTCCATCGGCGACGGTAACCACTCCCATCATGTGGGCCATATGCTCGTCTGCCTAAAAGGGTTTTTTTTTTAAAACCTCGACTGAACTTTTCAAACCGTAAAAAGAAAGAAAAGACGTAGAGGAAGGGGACGAAGTGAAAGAAACCGATGGATAAGTCTGTCCCTTTATAAGCTACTTTTGGTCCTTTGATTTAAGAAAAAAGATTATTAAGAGTCGCTGAAAGAGGCCGTTATAGGTCCATTTTCGAAATCCGAAAATTTCGAATAGGGTCTCTATAATTCTAAAGGTGCGATATATACAATCTAAAAACATACTTCAATACCAAATAAAGACGTTGGGTTAAAATAATATAATAAAATTATTATATTGTCATCAGTCCCGCGTCTCTATAATTTTTAACGCTGAACAAACGTTTTTACAATAGTGAAGACGTGAACGTAGCTTTCGTTGTAGGTACGCAAAAAATGCTATCAAAGAAAGATTTAATATTGGCGCCCGGAACTTTCTAGATGAAAACATTCCGTACTTAAGGGACCGAGTAGGAAAAAAAAATCCGAGGATATCTATGCCGCCAGGTACAACAAATTGTTGAATCGCAAACGTCTCATTTTTTTATTGCCTTTGTAGGCAGACGAGCATACGGCCCACCTGATGGTAAGTAGTCACCGTCGCTCATGGACGTCAGCAATGTCGGGGGCAGAGCCAAGCCGCTGCCTACCGTTAAGTACTCTCCGCAAGCCTCGTTTGAAGAAGGACATGTCATAGCGCTCGGGAAACACCGTGGAGGGGAGCTCATTCCAAAGCCGGATGGTACGTGGTCTCGCGAGCACGTGAGGCGAGCACGGAGACCGACTCACGTGGAGCTGAGGAAGATGTCGGCGAGGTGCATGAGGCGCCGCTTGTAGCGCGTGGCGAACATCTCCGGCTCGAACATCGCGTACAGGCGGTCGTACATGTCCGGGTAGTCGACGTTGTGCCGCCGCACCAGCTCCAGCACGCCCTGCAGCGCCAGCATGCTGATCGGACCGCCTGCTTACAGTCGAATCATTCCATTACAACTTCATTCAGAGGCCAAATTTTAATACTGCATTACCAACTTCCATTACTAACATTTTTAACGGCAGGCATTGCTGAAGTCCATGGGCGACGGTAACCACTCACCATCAGGTGGGCCATATGCTCGTCTGCCTACAAGGGCAATAAAAAAAACCATCATCTTATAATTTGTGTGAATTACAAAAACAGCTTCAGTCTTGTTTTTTTTATTGCTTAGGTGGGTGGGCGAGCTCACCGCCCACCTGGTCTTAAGTCTTTACCGGAGCCCATAGACACCTACGAAGTTAATGTCGCCACCCACCTCGAGACATAAGTTCTAAGTTTCAGTTTTAACAGTACAACTGTTGTCCTACCCTTCAAACCGAAATACATTATTGCTTCACAATAGAAATAGGCAGGATGGTACCTACCCATGAGGATTCAAGATGTCCTACCACCAATAAAGGTTTTTTACTGTTGCTGAGACAGACGAGACGTGGCTGTGTTAAATGATTTCCGGTGCTAAGCCCATATCACGAGGTACATGCTTCCCACCTTGAGATATGAGGATCTTTCAAACTAATTCAAATGCGTGACTGCTTCGCGGCAGAAATAGGCAGATAGGTGGTGCTTAAGCGTGCACCACTGCAGTACAATCTACCACCAGTAAATCTGGTTGGTGTTCGCAGTACGATGGTATAATACTCAGAGAACTTAGCTACACATTACTGGTAGTAGGACCTCTTGTGAGTCCGCATGGGTAGGTACCACCACCCTGCCTATTTGTACCGTTAAGCAGTAATGCGTTTCGGTTTGTGGGGCAGCCGTTGTAACTATACTGAGACCTTACAACTTATATCTCAAGGTGGATGGCATATTTACTTTGTAGATTTCTATGGGCTCCAGGAACCACCAGGTGGGCTGTGAGCTCGTCCACCCGTCTAAGCAATAAAAATAAAAAATAAACACATTATCCGATGAATTTGCCTTGATCACTTTTTATGATAATGAGAGGGCGAGATGAGCTATTCCTGACCGGCGTCGAGACTGTCGCAGAGCATGTCGGTGGCGAGGTGCGGCTTGCTGAGCAGCGGCATGAGGCGCTCCACCAGCAGCAGCAGGGCGCGGCGGTGCGTGCGCGGCTCCGAGCACAGCGGCCACTGGCACGCGAAGCTCCAGCAGCGGTTGGCGTAGCGACGACACACGCCCGGGTTGTACGGGAATGGCACCTTGGCTGCGACAAGCCACATTGTTGTATATACAGACACCTCCGCATTAGAGCAAAGTCTAAGTTAAACATGATGTTATAAACATCATGTTTAACGGTTAGACTGATGAACAACACCATCTTGTTGCTATTTAGCTATATGGGAGATCACTCCCACGTATCACTAATTTTTGTTTTTTACATGTTACATAAATTATTATATTATTATGAAACACCGAAAATAATATTCAAATTGGAAGATTTTTGCAGGACATAGTGTTTGTTTTCGAGACAAGGGTAAATGACATCAAAAACAAAGGATTTTTTTGGCATTTCTAAGTAGATTTAAGTAAAAGAAAAAAAAAAATCTAAAAATTAGATTTAACAAGCCTGAATCTAATAAAAAAAACTGGTCAGGATATTATGCCCAAATCATAAATTTATATAATTCATCAGTCAGCCAGTGATGTGTGCAAATTTTCTAGTAAATTTTTTTAATAGCTATATTATCTGATTTAAGTACCAGTCTGAGAATCTTCCAATAAATGTGCTTACATGCAAACTAAACTCAATTCTCTTACCATTTGTGCCACATAGAACTTTAAATTCTTCTTCATGGTCATCACCACCTTTGTTATTTTTAGTTTTTGTCTCAGTGGCAATCTCTGAGATTAGTAGTTTGTCAAGAAGTTCCAAGTAATTCTGCATGTAGACTGTAGTGGGAGACCTAGAACAAATATTATTGCTTACTATGATAATCACAAATATAACAATGTTAATGCCACATTATGTGGTGACTGGAGTACATGCAGAGTCCAGTTTTACTGAAAGTGAAATCTCGAGTTTTCTTTCTGCTCACAGTTAGAAACCTTGACTGTATTCTAGTGGGAAAAAATATACTCACTTCCGATATGCCAGGGTAGAGAGAACTTTCAGTCCATACTGCTGCACATCTTTGTACTCTGTGAACTCTTGGAAACGTGCTAATGGAGCTGACATGGACATATCAGAGTCCAACAGTACTGTGAAAATGTTCTGTAAGAAAATACTTTCGGTTAATACCTAGTGATGATATTTATTTTTTTATTGCCTTTATAGGCAGCATACGGCCCACTTGATGGTGAGTGGTTACCGTCACCCATGGAATTCAGCAATGCCAGGGGCAGAGCCAAGCCGCTGCCTACTGATATGATTCTCTGGCCGTTGTAAAATATAAGTAAAAAAATACAAAATTTTAGTAAAATTTGAATAGTCTTGTTAACAAAGAAGTTTTACATTTTTATGTTTTGGTAGGACATCAGTCAGCTTCTTTTGCTTTAAGTATGTGTATTAAGCATAAGTATTAATGAAATCACTGGCGACATACTATACAAAAAACATCTTTAAGCGGTACAGAGGGTTCTCTGTGAAGGGTAACATTGAAGCAGATGAAGTAGCTGCTCATCTGCTAAAGTGTATGGGAGTGGATGCATGGGTTCATAGCTTGAATTACTAAGGTGCTCACAATGCTGTTCCGATCCCAATTATTGTCTCAAAACTGTTTCTTGAAGTTGTTGGTGATGATGAATGTTAGATTTATCCCACCCACATACAGAACGAATGTAATTTAAGCACATTTAACACACACACACAATTACCTTCAATCTGAACGATGGGAAGTAATATCCAGAGCTCTGCTCCAGTGGGTGTTTCCCTTCAACTTGCAGTAATTTGGAGGCTGTGACAAGAGCTTGCAGCCGAGAATTTGTGCGTCCTTTCATTACACAAGCTAATATACGAGCGAGAGCAGTCTCGTAGCATTCACGAAGCCATCTTGTGTACTCCGCTTCTGGACTTTGTTCTAAAAAATATATTTTCTTCAAGTTGAATTTTGAATTTTTTCTGAATACTGTTTTTTTTATAGAGTTTAGGCAGACCAGTTCCCACCCTGACTAAAGTTTTAGTATCTACCAGAAACCGCAACATGTACACCACGTTCACTTTGAAACATGATATTGCATATTCAAAGCAAAGCATAATTCTTAATTACTTTACACCAGAAATAAATCATATGGTGGTGATACACAGCTTCCAGATTGATCACAAATTGAATATAAAAATTTCAGTGTTGATTTTTTTATCTTGCCTATTTGTCATGGACTAAAAATGCAATAGATTTAGTTAACACTAAGCGAATGTAAATCATCTAATGTAATGTAAAACAATCAAGAATAATTAAAATAAAAAAAGGTACAGTTGTTTTTGAGAATGTTTTAATATATAGACTATATTATGTTTTTGTAATTATTGATACTTTCCCCTACTAAAAAATAAGGTAATCACAAAATATGTTCAGCTTTTTAAAATAAAATAATTTGTTATCTATGTTCTGCTTCTGTAGGTTTGTGATTTAGAAATAGTACGAAAGTCATAAGTAATCAATAATAATTTTATGCTACAGTTAGATATTTTATGGATTTTAATAATAATCAGGGAAAAACATTGATTTCAAAATATATTTCTAAAAAGTCTAGTTCTCCATTAAAGTGTGGAGTAGTTTTCTTAATTCATTTTAATTTCTATCAAGCAACTAACACAATTGAGATTTTGATTCAAAATATGCTAATGATAGCTTCACATTGAGTTTAATTTTGACAAAATAAGTTATAAAATAAGATAACTAAACCTGAAGATAATTAAATAGACAAACATATCTACAGAAACGACCTTGAAACTAGTGACAGCCCACACAATAGCAAATTGCAAACTTTATTTAGTAAAAAATATATTTATATGACTACTTTTTTTTTCAATTAAAAACTGAATCGTTAGTACTTAAAATCCCAACGTGTTAGCTTCGTAATTACGGTTCAACTGCAATAATTGCAGTATTTCATATATTTATTCAAATGTTTTTTAAAAGCAAATGTCAATTAGTATGCAGCTAAATTGACAAATTTAGACAGCAACATTTTTCGCAACGTAACACAGCTTACATACTACGTAAACACAACGTATATCTACGTACAGTCAGGTTCGCACCATGCTAAAATCGATATATTCAATTCAAAAACACATTTTCGTGCGGCAAAACAAAATCATACCTGCAGGCTTTAATGGAACTATTTCCTGGACTAAATCGCCCCGTTTTAATAGTTCGGTGAATATTACTTCTATTGTAAGCAGTAGCGGCGTATAATTGTCTGTTTCGACCTGTAATATAAATGTTAAAATCACGAATTACAAATGTAACCTATGACGCATTACATTTTTCGTTGTACTAAATGAACAAGGGATTTCATGCTCACCTCAAACATCTGCAATATATCAGCAAGATTGTTCGCATGTTTTCTGGAGTTAAGAAACTCATTTGCTTTATTACGAAGCTGTCCCGAAATCATTTTCGAAAAATTTTGTTGCACAGCAGCCATTTTTGTATTGAAAAGGATTGACAAAAAGTGACAACTGATCAGGCGGGCAACCTTAGAAAATATGGTTTCGTTTAGTAATTAGGTAAACGACTAATGAACATGCCTGTGCCTAGGAAACTCTTATTTTATTTTCTAAAAATATATTAATTGAAATCAAAATCAGAATTAATAGCTTTATATTAAAGTAGGTTCACATCAAATCTTTTTAATCGTTTTAACTATATTATCTAAAAAAACAAACCACTAGAGCAACAATGTAAGCTTGCATTAAAATAATCTCTGTGAAAATACACAAATATTATTACGAAATATTAGTTTAAAAACTAACCATAAGACATTTAAATGATATTTTTTGATAGTATTAAAACATTGCTAAATTATTAGTGCTGCTCTTTACCTATGTTTTTTTCATACAGTCCAATTCGTTTATTTTCGTTTAGAAATGAAACCAGATTTTAAGGTTATCTTGCTGTCAAAGTCAAAACTTGTTCAAAACAATCTTTAGAGCATCGGCAGTTGTTTTGGATAATTATTTTTCGGAAATATTTTCAAAATATAGTTATCAATATTAAAAATGGACGGAGATTTATATGACGAATTTGGAAACTACATCGGGCCAGACTTGGAGTCTGATTCTGAAGACGAACAGAGTGTATATGGTCAGGATAATCGTGAAGGTGATGAGGAAGCAATGGAGGAGGACGAGGACGCAGACGCGGAGCCCGAAGTTGCGCCTATGTCCGTCGTTCTTCATGAGGACAAACGGTAAAACTTTTTCATTTAAAACTAACAAATAAAGCGGCCTTACAAGATGTTAACCCACTTTACCGGTACTAGCGACGCACATGCTAGACCATAGAACAAGCACACTCAGACCTCGAATACCTAATATTTTTAACAAAGAAAAAAGTACTGAGAAAAGCTATGCTCTGTTTTGGTATTTGTTAAAATTAGTTATTGATTAATAATAACATTATTAACCATCAAACTTCAGTTACTATCCTCAAGCTGTAGAAGTGTATGGACCCGACGTAGAGACAGTCGTCCAAGAAGAAGATACACAGGCTCTCGACAAACCCCTGGTAGAGCCTGTGAAACACAAGAAGTTCCAGGTTCAAGAACAGCAGCTACCAGAGACCACCTACGACATGGAGTACATGGCTGACATGTTAGATAATACTAACTTAATCAGAAATATTACGTTAATGGGCCACTTGCACAATGGTATGTGATGTGATTTCAATGAAATAAATAAGAGACAAGTCATCCATGAGCTTTTTGTAGAGCTTTTATTTGTTAATAATAAATTAATTTGATTATTATTATTACATTTTCTATAATTACCATTCAACTTATAATGTTGAGTTTCATAAAAACTACTTTATACTATGTACACACAGATAACCGTAAAATCTTTAAAGTGTATTGAATAAAATAAAATGAAACTATTGGAATTATATTATTATTATTATATATAGAGGCCTATTTTCTGCAGTGGACGGCGATAGGCTGAAATGATGATGATGATGATGATGATGATGATTAAATGCAAGAAAACTGAAGAAAAGACTAAGATTTAAGTGATCAATATTAATCTAAAATAGGATTTAGTAACAAAAATAAAAAAATGTGCAGATCAGAAAAAGAAATTTCATATTTCCTATCGAAAATTAGTGAGTGTTATTTGATCTTCTTAAAACTGTTTTATTTCAGGAAAAACATCTTTTGTAGACTGTCTCATGAGACAGACACATCCTGGAACAATTAACAATGAGACAACAATACCTATAAGGTATACAGATACTCTGTTTGTGGAGCAAGAGCGAGGAGTGTCGATAAAGTCCATGCCGGTAACATTGCTATTGAAGGATATAAAGGGAAAGTCACATTTATTGAATATCATGGATACTCCAGGTCACGTGAACTTCAGTGATGAGGTGACTGCTGCTTTGCGGATATCGGATGGTAATTTTTTTACTGAAGAGGAAAGCTTATTTGTGAAATACTTATCAATTCTCAATACTCATAAAAGCAATTTAACCAACAATCAAAGTCATGTGTGTTTCTTTATTTGACATTATAACCATAAGTCGACATCTGAGCATTTTTAATTGTTGAGGTTATTATCAAAAATGTACACGCTTCACAAATGCTGCCTATGAAAATTCATTTTAAAATATTTTTTAAAAAGAGGTTTCAGTATAAACAAATACAGGTTAATTTTGTCTTTTATAGGAGCGGTACTCTTTGTGGACGCTGCTGAAGGTATAATGCTCAACACGGAGCGAATGTTACGTCATGCAGTACAAGAAAGAATTCATTTAACTCTTTGCATCAACAAAATAGACAGGCTAATGCTTGAGCTAAAATTACCTCCTGCAGATGCCTATTATAAGCTCAGGCATATTATTGATGAGCTGAATTCTATGCTGGAGACCAATCAACCTCAGGATAATCCTGATGAGCCTCCAATTGTATTTTCACCACTTCTGGGTAAGTTATTAGTATCTCCTATAGCCAGGTTTGTCACCAACCATACCTGGAGTATAAGTAACAACAATTGTACTGTACTAAGTTTCATGTCAATTGGAATGGATCAATTTCAAATAAACATTGTGTCTTAGATAAGGTACAGAACATTGCCAAAAGTTGTTTTTTTTTTTCATTTTTATTTTTTTTATTTTTTTATTGCCTTTGTAGGCAGACGAGCATACGGCCCACCTGATGGTAAGTGGTCACCGTCGCTCATGGACGTCAGCTTAGCCAGGGGCAGAGCCAAGCCGCTGCCTACCATAAAGTACTCTTTGGACCAAATGTGAATTCAAATGGTAATTATGTAGCCATCTACACAAATAAGAGAAATGAATACTTTAATCCATTTTTAAGGCGATTGCTAAGTTGAATGAGTATACTGTTGTCCAGGTAATGTCTGCTTCGCGTCAACATTGTACGACGTGTGTTTCTCTCTGGAATCGTTTGCGGCGATGTACGCTGCCTCGTACCCTGCGTGCGGACTGCGGGCATCCGACATGGCGGGCTGGCTGTGGGGCGATGTCTACTTCAACGCGAAGACTAGACGCTTCACGAAGAAACAACCTCATGCCTCTGCTCAGAGAAGCTTCGTGGAGTTCATATTGGAGCCGCTGTACAAGATTTTTGCTCAAGTAATTGATTGTAAATAATAATTAATTAGAAAATATCAACAATCCATGGATTGACCCTGCAGATACCGGACCCGTTATGGTGCGGAGAGAGGTATTTAGAGAATGCCAGTGGACTTGTAACACAGGTGTAGGCTTAAAGAGTCCATATCAATAATGCACATTACGCTCTCCTCATTCTCTATACAAATTCCTGTCTAGCCCAATCTTATAGGAAATTACTAGTGTGGCTTTAGATGTTTATTCAAGTATAGAATTTACGGAAGTTCTTGACAAGCCAAGGACTTTTAATATGTTATAGAGATATTTCCCTGGTATACCTCTTGTTCCCACTTTGACGGCTTATAAACTAATGTATCCATTTTTTGTTTAGGTTATTTGTGAGACCAAAGTATTTGTTTCTTTTACCTTTTATCTACCTTATTATGAACTTCATATTATGAAATAGAAAAAAATGAAAGAGACCAGTCACTTCACACAACACCACCAATAAATAACGCCATAAAATATTTAAACATTTTTGAATTGCGTTGCTAACAGTACCAGGTAGTGTATGGAAGTACTGTGCTAAAGTTGAAGTTGTTGAAGACATATTTCATCACAGGTGGTGGGAGACGTGGACGACACCCTGCCAGCTGTGCTCACAGAACTCGGTATAAAGTTAACGAAGCAGGAAGCCAAACTGAACGTGCGTCCGCTACTCCGCCTCGTGTGCAGCAGGTTCTTCGGCGACTTCTGGTAAGATGTGAATACCGATGTTTAGCCCAGATAATAGCTATACTAATATATAAATCTACAGTGGTTTTCACGGATGTTCCATTATAACTACTGAGCTATGCATCCGATTGACTTGAAACTTGGTATCCATATAGAAAATACACGTACTTAATGGATAGGCTAATATTTATATGAGTGTTGGACTCCCTACACCAGTTGCGGGGGCGTTAATGATGAGAATCTTTGTGGGGGTGAGAAATAATAATGTTAATTTTAAATGCCAGCGAAGCGTACGGTTACAGCTAGTTATTTATATAAATGAAGACCGTTTGAATGTGTGTGTTGTGTAGCGGGTTCGTGGAGATGGCGGTCCGGCACGTGCCGTCCCCACTGGACGCGGCGGCGCGCAAGGTGGCGCACTGCTACCGCGGCGCCGGCGGGGAGCTGCGTCAAGACATGCTGCACTGCGACCAGTCCGCGCGGCTCGTGGCGCACACCACCAAGATGTACCCCACCGACGACTGCGGCTTCTTCCTGGTAACTTTTTTTTTTATTGCTGAGATGGGTGGACGAGCTCACAGCCCACCTGGTGTTAAGTGGTTATTCTCTCTCTCTACCTCTCACTTTCAAAATATCAACTAAGTTAAATAAAAATATAAACTTTCACATGATCAGGATAATGAGAATTATAACGTGGGAAAATCAGATTATTATTTTAGTTTCATTGTTAAAAAATTAACCGGTCACCGTTACCGGAGCCCAAAGACATCTAACGTAACGTAAATGCGCCATCCACCTTGAGATATAAGTTCTACTAAGGTCTCAGTATAGTTACAACGGCTGCCCCACCCTTCAAACTGAAACGCATTACTGCTTCACGGCAGAAATAGGCGGGGCGGTGGTATCTACTCGTGCGGACTACACATAAGACGTCCTACCACCAGTAAAAAACTCACTTCATACACGAGCACCAAGTTGCTCGCGCACTATTTTTTTTTTATTCAAATGGAGTTTTGTAGGCTAAGACACCCATAATTTTATCATCGGCTACCAATGTTTTCAACGTAGAAAATGTTGACAGGTACTGGCGCGTATCATGAGCGGGACGCTGTACGCCGGACAGACCGTGCGAGTCCTGGGTGAAAACTACAGCTCCCAGGATGAAGAGGACTCCAGGATCATGAACGTCGGAAGGCTCTGGATATATGAGGCTAGATATAAAGTGAGTTCAGTGGTTAATTATTGCGAACCAAAACATATAGCAATTAGTTCGTAATTTTATAATCTAAATAATAAGAGTTACAGAAAAAATATAACGTTAATAAATAAATTTTGATTTTTTCAGGTGGAACTGAACCGCGTACCTGCCGGGTGCTGGGCCCTCATAGAAGGCATCGACCAGCCGATAGTGAAGACGTGCACCGTCGTGTCGGCGGAGGAGGACTGCGAGCTGCACACGTTCACTCCGCTCCGGTTCAACACTCAAGCCGTCGTCAAGATAGCCGTCGAGCCGGTCAACCCCTCGGAGCTACCCAAGATGCTGGATGGGCTGAGAAAGGTCCGTCAATTCCGCTGTTCAAGAACAATTTGGACTGAGAAACAAGACCCGTTTCAAATTGTTAAGTGCTCACTGACCAGAGCCTACAGAAAGCACAGTGTAAATGCCACTGTATGGCCTTGGGGATTAAGTCGAAATTTCAATTGAAAGATCAATCTCAACTTTCCAATCGGAGTGAATTTATAATTTCGAAGAAGAAAGAAGTGGGACCGTTGTACTAATTGTGAACGGCTTATAAAATTATATAAACTCAAAGCCCCTACCTATTAGATTTAATTATTTTTTTACCGGCATTAATACCCCGATTTTACCGCAGCAGAGTGTAGTGATAACACTATATTCGCACATAAACAGCCTTGCCTCACACCTTGTACTGCGTCGCACCTTAATTTACTTTGGATCAAGTTCAGGGTTGCCATGTTGGTGCCCATTTGTATACTTTAAGTTTTTTTTTTCACATGAACATAAATGCTTTGCCCCAGGTAAATAAGTCGTATCCACTACTGTCGACCCGGGTGGAGGAGTCAGGGGAACACGTGATATTGGGAACCGGTGAACTATATTTGGACTGCGTGATGCACGATCTGAGGAATATGTACTCCGAGATTGATATCAAAGGTATAAAATTATTGTTTTATTCGAAGACTGTTTTTGCAATTTTCAAACTAAGTTTTTAGTTTCGATTCGATTGCTAGTAAAAAAATATATTATTACAATGTAAAATACGAGAAATATACCTAATACTTGTAGATCGCTGATGACCTCAAACAGAATACAGCTTGACGTGACATGACGTATCGATGCCACAGACTATAAACGTCATCAGTCGACTAAAGGCAAAGTGATACATAATTTACAGCCTAATCTGAATATATTTTAAAACAATACAAACATTTTTTAGTGGGAACGCGAGGAGTGAAGTTGTGTGATTTGTTTTATTTTGTCTATTTAGTGTTTCTTCAGGTTTAAATGTGTTATAACGGTGGTTTATTAATTGTTTAATATCTGTGAAAGTGCACAAATGTGGGAAAATGAAACAAAGCCGCTGGACGTAACTTCACGGGATCCTCCAAAAGGTCCACTAAAAAAATCACAGTAAATGAATCATTTCATTTAATTTCATCCCAGTTGATTAATGTCTCAAATTAATCATATTGATTTCATTTCAGTTCACTCCATATTATCATTTTTCAGTAAAAATAAGAGTTAAAAATTAAAATAAGACTTGACCTAAAGGTCCTAGTTACTAGGTCATAAAATCCATTTTTAAAAAAATACAATCATTTTGTCCAGTTGCTGATCCAGTCGTGTCGTTCTGCGAAACTGTAGTCGAGACGTCGTCGTTGAAATGCTTCGCCGAGACTCCGAACAAGAGGAACAAACTGACGATGATCGCCGAACCTCTGGAGCGGGGTCTCGCCGAGGACATAGAGACGGGCGCGGTCTGCGTGTCCTGGGACAGGAAGAGGCTAGGAGAATTCTTCCAGACGAAGTAAGTGATTCGTTCTTATAAGATTTTTTTACTGGTGGTAGGACCTCTTGTGAGTCCGCACGGGTAGATACCACCGCCCTGCCTATTTCTGCCGTGAAGCAGTAATGCGTTTCGGTTTGAAGGGTGGGGCAGCCGTTGTAACTATATTGAGACCTTAGAACTTATATCTTAAGGTGTGTGGCGCATTTACGTTGTAGATGTCTATAAGCTCCAGTAACCACTTAACACCAGGTGGGCTGTGAGCTCGTCCACACATACGCAATAAAAAAATAAAAATAAAAGATTGTAACATTGAATTATGAAGAGATTGTCTTGTGACTGTAGCTATCATAGCATACAAGATATTTGACAGATGTCTGTGTCTCCTTAATAACATTTTCAAGATAAGCTTACATATCTCCCGACGTGATCATGTTCAGTCTGGGAGAGGATCAGTTTGGAGGTTAACGCACAAAGGGAAGAAATTTCATCAAACGGGTCCGAATGTTGTTGTTTGGAACGTATCTTACTTAAGTATCTTACTCATAACTTATATCGACGGATGACAGTGGAATTGTCGTAACTCGAAAAACCCAACTTTACACCAGCGCCATAAAACTATTTAAAAAATTCACAACTCGTATTATATTCATAGAGATAGACGGTTGAAAATTGGTATGAAATTTTATGACAAAAAAAGGTGAAAACTTTAGTCGTATTTTTTTCATACAAGAGTATGGTAAACATTTATTTAGTCCAAAATGTAAGTTACGACATTTCCGCTTTCTCCTGTCGATACGCAAGCTTATCTTGAAAAGGTCGTAAGCGAGATCGATCAAATACCTTGTGTGCTATGATGGCCATCGTTACAGACCATTCCACGTGTTCAACTCACCGAAACTTAAATGAGTCCCAGTAATTTAATAAGATAAGATTTGAGTAAAAAACTTTAATATTTGCAGATACGATTGGGATCTTCTGGCTGCCCGTTCGATTTGGGCCTTCGGTCCCGACACGATGGGACCCAACATTCTAGTCGATGACACTCTACCCTCCGAAGTGGACAAGCATCTCCTGGCTTCGGTCAAGGATAGCATTGTTCAAGGTAAACTGAGTTTTCCCTTTCCTAATAGACAAGTCGTCCGGTAATTAAAAGTAATTTTTCCAAGTGTAAATTCATTTTTCATAATCATTAATACGCTTTTATTAGCTTCAGACGTATGTATGTATGTTTGTAACGGAATCTTTGAACATGATTTTGACCCCTTTCAAAGGGTCGGATTAACTCGAAATTTGGTATACTTATTAAGGACTGATGACAACTCCATACATAAAAAAAATTAAAAAAAAAATTGAAATTCAATTAAAAAATGAAAAATAAATAATAGTTTAAAAAAACTAACAAAACACGCATTTGAGTCGTCTATTATCAAAGGTGGCAATCTGTGCATTTCAACAAAAAAATTTTATTGATATGTCAATACAGATTGATTTGAATATAATCGTCTCCTTCAAAGAATACGGTTCAAAACCTGCATTAAATAAAGGTTAATAGTTAACCTGTTATTTATCTAAGATGTCGTTCCGAAGAGTTTTGTGACTGCCAATGGAATACAAAGTCAAACATTCGTTTTTCTGATTTACCAATCATTGTCCAAAAGTTAGATTGCCGGCTTTGATAATAGTCGACTCATTTATAGAAAATCCAACTAAAAAATAGAAAAGGTGCTTTTCAGGATAATATCAAAATAACATTTCTACTCATATCTGTTCATAAAATATTTATAACTACTGATATCGTGCACCCCACGCGTTTTTTACAATAAAATCATTTTTTCTTACACTATTTTTAGGATGCTCCCTCCTCACGTTACCGTCTAAGTTCATACCCATTCACGTGTTAATGTAAATTGGCGCTATTGCCAGGCTTCCAGTGGGGTACGCGGGAAGGGCCGCTCTGTGAGGAGCCCATCAGGAACGTGAAATTCAAGATCCTGGATGCTGTCATCGCGCAGGAGCCGCTGCACCGGGGCGGCGGACAGATCATCCCCACGGCGCGACGCGTGAGTTGAGCACCACCACTCGCCAGCAGACCTGAAATTTAACCCTCAATTCGACTTCAGTAAATCCTATCTAAGTTAGAGGCTATGTCAGCGTAAACTTAACGTATGGGTGAGCTCTTGAGGCTCAAACCTGGAGGCGTTGCTAACACCAGCTCTAGTAAGAGCAGTGTTTCGTAGAATCTACCACCGGATCGGAAACGCGACTCGCTTAGAAGATCCGACCAGAAACTCAGTGGGCTGTGTCTGTTGGTTAGAACTTCATAGTGCCAATAATGAAGTAGCTCTCCCTCTCTTGAAATCGGAATGCGTGACCAGTTCTCGGTAGAAGTGGGCAGGATGGTGGAAGCTACTCGTGCGGACGCGCCGGACATCCTGACACCGGTTTTGTGTAACGCAACATTAGACGAGTATAACCACCCTATTTTTGCTGCGTAAAAGTAATTTGTACCGGTTTCGTGGATGGGATAACCGTCGTGAAATTTGATATTCATCTGATGAGCAGTAAATAAAAATAAAATTTTTTTTAAAGGGATTTTATGACCTGTTAACTATGACCTTTAAGTCATGTCTTATTTTAATTTATATTAATAGTTTTATGAAAAATGATAATATGTAGTGAAATTAAATGAAATGAGATGACATGGGATGAAATATAATCTCAGTAAAATGGTGGTCATTTACTGAGATTTTTTCAGTGGACTTTTTGGAGGATCCCGAGAAGTTATGTCCAGCAGCTTTGTTTCGTTTTCCCACATTTTTGCACTTTCACTGATATTAAACAGTTAATAAACCACTGTTATTAAACATTTAAACCGAGAGAAGCACTAAATAGGCAAAATAAAACAAATCACACAACTTCACTCCTCGCGTTCCCGCCAAAGAGTCTAAAAATAAAAAAAATAAGACATTGCTTGAGTCGCAATTTAATTGAAAAAATATATATATGTATTTATTTATTTATTAGATGGGTGGACGAGCTCACAGTACACCTGGTGTTAAGTGGTTACTGTAGCCCATAGACATCTAGAACGTAAATGCGCCACCCACCTTGAAATATAAGTTCTAAAGTCTCAAGTATAGTTACAACAGCTGCTCCAACCTTCAAACTGAAACTCATTTCTGCTTCACGGCAGAAATAGGCAGGGTGGTGGTACCTACCCTCGCGGACTCTCAAGAGGTCCTACCACCAGAGGGCAGATCCTCAGACAGATACACCATGAGGGCAGACCGATTCAGGACCTTCTGTTAAACAGGTGGCGTATTCAGCATTTCTAATGGCGACCCCTCGTCTGATGGAGCCGTATCTGTTTGTTGAGGTGCAAGCGCCGGCCGACTGCGTATCCGCCGTCTACACGGTGCTGGCTAAGAGGAGAGGTATTATTAAAATAATTTGGTGGACAATAACGTCTTAATATCACAGCATTTTAAACGAAAAAAAATATCGCAGATAAAGCAGCTTTTAATTTCGTGTGGCAACAAGATTGTTATAATTCTGATTACAACCAGGTTGCTCACTGCGCACGTATCCGCAATTGTGCCCGCACAGTGCGGCGACCTTAGCGCAAATGCGGTTTTTCCTTTAAATATATACATACATATTATGTATATGTAGGAAGATCGGTATTTTTTTTGATCAGGTTCACACTGACACATTAGAATTATTTTAAAATAAGAATAATGAAAATTACAGTCATCGAATGACATGACGAGGTAAGGAGGGTTTTTTTTTGGAAAATAAAAAATTTTGGTATGAAAGTCCACTAGATTTCACTCTACCGTCCCACATTATATACATGTTGTAATATATAGTGCTGTTGATTCCACCGACTGAGCCGGTCATCGGGGTTTTCGTCGAACCCGTCGCTTGCGACGAAGGGCTCGGCGAGTAAATTAACCCACAGACACAGCCCACTGAGTTTCTCGCCGGATCTTCTTAGTGGGTCGCGTTTCCGATCCGGTGGTTGATTCTACGAAGCACAGCTCTTGTTAGGGATCGTGTTAGCAACAACGTCAGGTTTGAGCCCCGTGAGCTCACCCACTCGCCCGGTGACGCTGATATGGTCTCACAAGACTATCAGCTTAGGTAGAAAAAACCGACTGAGTCTGTGGCTCGTCGCGCAGGTCACGTGACCCAGGACGCTCCGGTCCCCGGGTCGCCGCTCTACACCATCAAAGCGTTCGTCCCGGCCATAGACTCGTTCGGCTTCGAGACCGACCTGCGCACGCACACGCAGGGCCAGGCCTTCTGTCTGCAGGTCTTCCATCACTGGCAGATCGTGCCCGGCGACCCGCTCGACAAGAGTATTGTTATCAGGTGAGTTGTCTAGTTTGGATTGTTTTATCTATCTAATTTATAAAAATGAATTCCTGTTCGTTAGTCTCGCTAAAACTCGAGAACGGCTGGACCGATTTGGCTAATTTTGGTCTTGAATTATTTGTGGAAGCCCAGAGAAGGTTTAAAAGGTAGATAAATAATAAATGCTCGGAATTAAATATAAATAAAAAAAATGTTTTCTTTTTCATGTGTCCCCCGTCGGACGGATTCGTTTTGTTTATTTTAAGTTTATTTTATACAAAAGCTTAGGTCTTTTATTTATCGATTGAGGCACTACGAAGTCTGCCGGGTCAGTGTATTGACGAAGATAATGATATTTATTATAAACGAATCTGTATCAGCAGTGAATGATAAAATCATATTTAATTCATTTTTTATTTATTTAGGCCATTGGAACCACAGCCAGCGACGCATTTAGCCAGAGAGTTCATGATCAAGACCCGTCGACGCAAGGGGCTCAGTGAGGACGTGTCCATCAATAAGTTTTTCGACGATCCTATGTTGTTGGAGCTGGCAAGACAAGACGTACAACTTCATTAATTATATTTCTGATTTAATAAAATTTACCAAACAATATTTCTGATTTAATAAAATTTACCAAACAATTATTTTGGTATTTGTTTTTCATTTTACGTGCAAAGTTTTGATAAAATTACTGAACAATAACATAATATATATGTAGTGAAAACATATTATTATAGTATGTAATACATAGATTAATTATTATAAATCAAAACTAAAAAACATTTGCAGTTGTATGTGAAACTTTTGGCGTTATACTATTCATTCTATATATTTTTTATTAAATCCATTAAACCTAGAGGGAGTGCGCGGTACTTTATAAAATTGCCAAACGTTAAAGCCGGCAGAGGTGACATGTTAATATTTGTCGCATTTTAACGATTTATCCTAGCGATTATACTACTCACAAAATAAATCCAACAACATACTAATGTTAGGTAGTTAAGCCATAAGTTTCTCGGCTAATCTAAATTAGTAAAAAAAAATGTATTCATTATTCAAATTGTTTTACTATTTTGTCATGTTCACGTTTATCAAATTTATCGGTAGGTGCCTAACAGTAGAAACATAGTTCAGAATCGGCAGTGATACGTGGGGCAGGTTTACATATCGGATTACTTTTCTTCATTACCTATAACTACAGATAATCCATCCACTCTGCTAAAACTGTGTCTCTGATCATCAATATTCCCTACATGGGCAATAAAAAATCAATAAATGAAGTCGTCGTGGCCTAAGGGATAAGACGTCCGGTGCATTCGTGTTGAGCGATGCACCGGTGTTCGAATCCCAGGCGGGTACCAATTTTTCTAATGAAATACGTACTCAACAAATATTCACGATTGACTTCCACGGTGAAGGAATAATCGTGTAATAAAAATCAAACCCGCAAAATTATGATTTGGTGGATTACTGGTGGTAGGACCTCTTGTTAGTCCGCGCGGGTAGGTACCACCGCCCTGCCTATTTTTGCCGTGAAGCAGTAATGCGTTTCGGTTTGAAACGTGGGCAACCGTTGTAACTATACTTGAGATCTTTAGAACTTATATCTCAAGGTGGGTGGTGCATTTACGTCGTAGATGTCAATGGGCTCCAGTAACCACTTAATACCAGGTGGGCTGTGAGCTTGTCCACCCATCTAAGCAATAAAAAAGGCTATTTCTATTTATTTCTGCCTAAGAAATAAGGTTTTAGTTTTTGAAATTTAAATATTTGATTGCATCAGCTACGTTCCGTTTGTCAGCTCAAGAAGATAACACTAAAGCAATTTGTGGACATATTAATTTTTGGCGGGAACGCGAGAAGGAGGAGGAAGTAGTGTGAATTATTTTATTTTACAAAAGTGTTTCTTCAGGTTTAAACGCGTATTAATGCGGTTTATTAAGCAATTAGCAACTGTGAAAGTGTACAAATAGGGAGATGTGGATAAATGAAACAAATTCTCTGGACGTCCCTTTTCGGCTTGCTCCAATAAGTCCACCAAAATCTCAGTAAAATTCCACCGTTTTCCTAGGACGTTACTTAATTAATATCATTACCTAATTGAAGTTTTTTATAAACTCGGTCGAAAATTTTTAAAAGCTGATTCGGTGGTGTTTTCAGCAAAGCACTACTGCTCTTGCTAGGGCCGGTGTTAGCAAACTTTTCCAGGTCGAGCCCGCAAACTCGCTCACACACCCAGTGTAGCCAGAACAGCACCCGAGGCTACAGGTAACATGGTATGAAAAGAAAGGAAAACAAATTTGCTAACAATAATGGCAACGTAAGACCCGAATCTAAGGAAACTTTTCATTTATTTTCATAGATAATAATAAAGTGTTTCGTTCGTTAAATGCGCAACAATGGTATGTTATGAACAGTATAGTACACAATGTTGGTAAAATGAAATAAAATTGCTGGTCAATATTTTGGGATTCTTCCATAACGAAAATCCATTGAATCAGATACTGTTGCATTACCATAATTTTGATGACAGGTCATTTCGTTTCATCTCATGGAATACCTACTTTGGTGTTTTATATGAACTCATTTAATTTCCGTTCATTACTTCCATTATTAATTTCATTTCATTTCAGTTTTCATAAAACCGACTTGGTTTCACCTTTATTGCAAATGATTTGACTGTGTAAGCTGGGTTTCCTTTGCCAGTTCAATGCACGAATTAAAAACAAAAGTCAAATGTCAGTATCAGTGTCAAGAAAACGTGAAAATTTTTGAATGAAGTAGCGTGCTGTTATTGTTATTTTTTAAAAGTTCCGAGAATTTATGTAATCTAATTTCTGATAAGTGTACCAACTTACCAATTTATTCTTTAATGAATTTAAAAAACACTACTTTAGTTGCATAAAATATAAAAGTACAAAATGGCTCGTGGAAAGGATAAAAAAAAGTAAGTATGGTTATGTATAAACGTTATTTCCTAATGCTAACCACTGTAATAAGGAATTTTCGCATGGTGATTTTATTTCAATTAGTTCAAACAATTATTGTAATGGAAAAAAATTAAAATTTTTAGACGCAAGTTAGAAAAGAAACAAGAGGGAGATGATGTACCTAAGAAAATCCCTCACACGTTGGAAACTCTTCGTGAAAAAGATGAGACGATGCTCGTTAATGCTGACACCGAGGAACAAGAGGAGGTAAAAATGCAAAGAACCTTATTATAAGGATCTTTCCAAGTACTATAAAATCTTTACTATACACATGTGACTACAAACATACAAGTATAAAAGATATAATTAGCAGTTGTTGTGTTTAGATTGATATGATGATAATGTACAGCATTATAACATGTTAATAAACAATCCTAATAATTGAGATTTAATATTTCCACCTATTTACACAGTATTTTTTTTATGTTCGACAACTTATTTGCTGCATCCCTAGTCAGGTCATAAATTCTGTCACATGTTTAATGTAAAATAATTGAAACAAGTTTATTCATTATGTAACCATTCATATACCAAAATGAACTTAACAAAACAGATTCTTATGACACTAAAGTTTATTCAAAATGACTTCTGTGATTTTGAATACAGGCCTTCAATCTGCGCGGCCAGTCTTCTATCGCAGCACGAACGAGGTCCATGTCAATATCGGCGGCTGCCTTAATCAAGGATGTCTTGAGTGACTCCAAATTGGGATGAGGCTTTGAGCACGCCTTTTCCTCCAAGTGTTGCCATATCTTGTAATCTAACGGAATCAAATCTGGACTGGAGGAGGGCCAGTCTTCGTGCCGGATGAAGTCGATTTCACGCGCCGCCAGCCAGTCTTGTGTGCTCTTCGCTCTATGAGCTGGCGCCGAATCTTGTTGGAATACCCAGTGCCTGTTATTGAACATGGTATGAGAAACAGGTTCCACAAGGTTCGTCAGGACTGTATTTTGATACACAACTGCATTCGTTTTTACACCTTTCTCACAAAAATGTACCTCTGTTAAGCCCCAATAAGAAACTCCCAACCATACCATGAGCGAGGATGGAAAATGACCCCGTTGGACACGCGGAATACGGTTGCTCGCTTCTTCACTACTGTGTGCGTACACCTTATCATTTTGATTGTTGTAGCTCTTTTCTACGGTAAAAATTTTTTCATCCGAAAAAAGAATTTCCCGATATTTTTTCCCCGCGTACCGCTTCAACAAAGCGCGGCATCTCTTCAGTCTCAGGTCCATTAGACGAGCATTCAAACGATGTCCTGTTTTTCTTCGATATGCCCGAAGCCCCAAGTCTTCATTTAACACCCTTTTCACCGTGGTTCTGCTTAACCCCATCTGAATGGCCAACAGTTTCTGCTTACGTTTGGGATTTCTTTGAATTCGCGCCTTCACAGCTTTTATCACTGCTGGAGTCCTAACAGACCAAGGACGACCACTTCTTGACCTGTCATCTACACTAGAGTCTTCACTGTATCGTTTGATGGTACGATAAACGAATCTTTTGGTTATATTCAAATTTTTCAGTATGTTAAAAATTTGAATTGGCGCGTAACCGCAACGATGCAACGCAATAACTGCAACACGGTCTTCTTTAAGCGTCCACTTCATATTTAAAAATGAGTAAAATTCTAAAAGTATACATTTTTATTTTCATGAACAATGGGAAATTCGAATTCAATAAACTTTTTTGTGGCCAGCATTCTAAAAGAAAAGTTTTTACTGTGTGACAATACTTATGACCTGACTAGTTATATTAGTAGATATTGTAATGTTTTCAATAACAATTATGTTATATTATCAATTAATTGATATAAGAAAATCACAAAATTTCAATATTTTATAACAATATAAACAATCTATCCAGTTTACTTGAGAATAAATTGAGATCATTGTTTGGTAATTACAACATTTTTACAACTTCAGTGGATTGTCTTTGTCTCTAGCATTGTTGATGACCATAACCACTTAATGACTTTAAAAATATTAATAAAAACATCTTCAGTACAATTTACAATATACTAAGTATAAAATCAATCTTTATCTGTAGTGAAGTGTAAATATGCTTTTGTAGAAAAAGGAAGGTTTTATTCTTTAATGCTTAATGCAATAAATAACTACATGTTGTATTTCCTATTTCAGGCACAAAAAGATATGGAACTTGATGAACTTTCAACATACTATGAGAATTCGTATGAGCCAAAAGTGCTGATCACATACTCTGATAATCCACACAGTAAAACTAGAATATTCGGAAGAGAACTGACTAGGATTATACCTAATTCTTTATCGAGATACAGACAGAGGTATTTTTTAATGCATTTATACAGCCTATCATTGTTAGTGTGTCCATTAAATGAGACAACCAATATCAAGCAACAATATTTTAATACCCACTAGTAAGAGCTATATTCTACACTGAGTATTGTATATATCTAACATTACTTACACACCATTTGTTGTTTTAAACGATAAATACATCCTTGTGCCTACTGTAAAAGTTTCAACTCAGCTTAAGATGTATGAGGATACTGATTACAAATATGAAAAAAAAAAAACTTATTAGATTAGTCAAAAGCACAATTATAGCTAAACTTGGATGAGCCATGTCTAGCTTTGAACATTTGGGCTAATGATGATCATGATGAGTCAAATGATGATTTTTCTATGACCGATCCTTCTTAATTATGATATATTATCTGGTTGTCTTCAAATTTATGATGTTATGTGAGTTAACTAAAACATGAATATAAAACAACTTATAACAAACCTAATATAAATCTATGGTGAATACCTTTTATAAACTGCCATATTTACTATATTTTACATTAAACATAGTTCTATGTTACATTCTCTTAAAAATATATTGAAAAAATTTTGAATTTGTTGACAGGTCATCAGTGAAACGTATAGTACAATCAGCAATCAGAGAAGACGTCACAGATGTGATTATAATTAATGAGAACCAACGGCAGCCTAATGGTTTTCTTCTCATCCATTTGCCTGCAGGTCCCACTGCGCACTTCCGTCTTTCTAGCTGTAAGATCACACCAGAACTAGGAAAGGACCATAAAGAAATTACCATACACAGACCAGAGGTAGATAAATAACTGTTTATCTTACTGGGCATCAAACAGTTGAATGTTGAAATTTTTGCATACATCACTAAGGGCTGAAGAATTCACTTTAACAACTATATAATGGAAGTTAATATATTACATCAGTGCAGGGTTTAGCAGTAAAGTTGAAAATACTTTCTTGATTATTTTTAATAATATTGCATCTAGTGTGGTTACTTGTAATAATTATGTTTACATCAAAAATCAACTTGAAACATGAGATCCAAGTTTAAATTAATGTAATGGCTCTACCATTCTTTAAAAAGAAAATATTCAATTTTTCGCTTCAGAAACAGGCTAGATGTTGATTATTATGTATTAATATTGCTTAGTACACAATATTGAATGAATGCAATTTTCCTGTAATTGTTTTATATATCTGTTATAATTTTTTGTGTCCTAATTAATCAAATCTTGAGTACTAACTATAATTTTCTCATGACTTATGGATCTTTATAAATATTCTGGCATAAACATTTTTCAGGTCGTCCTCAACAACTTCAGTACACGATTGGGTCTGACCGTGGGTCGCATGCTAGGTGCGCTCTTTCACTACGAACCACAATTCCGAGGCCGGAGAGCTGTCACCTTTCATAACCAACGAGACTATATATTCTTCAGGCATCATCGGTGAGTATATAAATAAACGAGTGGTTCCAAGATCAGAAAGTAACTAACTTTGAATGTATATGTTTGATTCTCACCACATTCAATACAATATGAACGCTTCAAAAGACACTTTACTGCACTCCTGCTCTATATTCTATAAGTGTAGGAAATTTCATAGTCCTTAGTTCGCGCAATTTTCGTAAAAAGGGTTACAAAGTTTTTGCTTCACATATTAATGTATAGAAAACGAAATGTACTTTTTTTCTTATTGCTTAGGCAGACGAGCTCATAGTATTTACCTACTTAACTACCAACACTAGAGACGGTTACATGAATGTTTTTATATATTAACAGTCAATTGCGTTCTGTAAGCCACGAATAATTACCGCATATGAGTCGTCTATTATCAAAGGCGGCAATCTGACTTTTGGACAATGATAGGTAAATCAGAAAAACGAATTATTGACTTTGTATTCCATTGGCAGTCACAAAACTCTTCGGAACGACATTTTAGATAAATAACAGGTTAACTATTAACCTTTATTTAATGCAGGTTTTGAACCGTATTCTTTGAAGGAGACGATTATATTCAAATCAATCTGTATTGACATATCAATAAAAAAAATTTGTCCAAATGCACAGATTGCCACCTTTGATAATAGACGACTCATATGCAGTAATAGTTTCATCCATTGTCAGTGAAATATAGTAGCTTCGATCCTATAAAAATTGTCTCTTAAAGTTCGATGTTGTCTAGTTTCCTTTCGTTTGCATTTCGCCCTCACATAATTCGATATAACTAGCACTAAATATAATATAGTGAATACTAAATAATATGTTGTCCCCAAAATCTAGATAAACACCTATGCATTATGTACCTATGTATTTGTTTATTCCAGGTATGAATTTACAAAAGACGGAAAACGCGCCAAGTTGTGCGAACTAGGACCTCGGTTTACTTTGAAGCTGATCTCCCTTCAACAAGGGACATTCGACTCGAAGCGAGGAGATTACGAATGGATCATCGCCGGCAGGAGACACCAAATGGAAACATCTAGAAGGAAATTCTTTTTATAGTTGCAATTTCCGTGTGTTGAGTAATAAATTATTTTCTAAATTGATCTGGTTGTTTTTATGCTGTAAATAGTACTCACTGTATTGACCCGTCAAATAAGCAATAATAACGCTCTACATCAAACAGCCCTAGTTGCTGTTGGCAGTAGAGATTAATATGTTAGGAAATATTACGAAGACTCGTTTTTGTAGAAAATGATCAGCATTTCTTGATAGATGCTATAAATATTCTCTTCTATATCTCGCAAGGGGATGTTGCCTCAACCGCCTTTTTTTACTCATTTTTTTTATGTTTGAGAGATTACTGGTGACCCGGAGGCCTTTTCAGTTTTACCAGGGCAGGTAGACGAGCAAGGGCTCAGCCAGGAGGGGTGGGTTTTGCTAATAGCTACCCGAGCCCCTCCAATGGAGACCTAACAACTTAAAAGTAGCTGCTTCGCGAATGAACCTACTACCGGATCGGAATCGCGACTCAGAAACTCAGCGGGCTGATGTTTAGGTTAGGTTGCTCTCTTTTCAGAGTTCGACGAGTACGGTTATCCTGGTCCCTACTTCTAGTGTTAGAGCTAAAGGTGTCTAATGCAAAGTTTATTGGATCTGATGGATCCGTAAAGACGTGTCTAGGGCGTCGATGGCGACTGGCTTTTGTGTAAACAGGATTCGGGGAGTACCTAGTCAGCGGCAGCAATGATAGATAAGGCGATTATCATGATGCATATCGTTTTTTCTCGTACTGCAACGTCAGCCGTATAATGACAATTCTTAAAGCAAATATTGAAAATTTAATGGATAGCTTGTTGGTACTTAAGTCTTAAAATACTAAATCAATTCAGCGGAATCACTTTAATTTGTCAGAGCATGTGAAGCATAACGGTTGATTAATAAATACAGTAGAAGCTCCATAATCACGCTTCCTTCATCGACGGATAGAAAAAATGCGACCCTATATTCATGGATTTCATCGGTACACGTTGATGAAAGGGATTGTAATCTATAGGTAGGTTGGTATCGAACTGAATATCCTTTGTAAACGCGCTTTTCCATATTCACGGCATTCTTACAAAACATATACCCAGCGAATAAAGCTTTTACTGTACCTAACTACTTTATTTACAGGAGATTAAAAACAAATATTATTGCACTAGGTTACTGCAAACCCTCCTCGACCGGGTAGCCGTAAATGGATTCCCCAGCGATAAAAAAAAAGTTACTGCAAAACTTGACTTTTGACTTTTTTGGTACCTACCTACTTTTAATGATGTCAAATACTAGAAAAACTGGTATCTACGTTAGCTCATATCTTACTGCCAAACAAGCCAAAAGAAGTCCACGATTGCGAACCACTTTCAAGAAGAAAACCAGGTTACAATTAAGGCGCACAGAAGAAGGCAGAATTCTTTCTCAGGCTTAATCCTATAGTTGTATATAATAACTAGCTGTACCCGTCCGCTTCGCTGGGCATTTAAAATTAACATTATTCTTACCCCCACAGATTCTTATCACTAACGCCCCCGAACTGGTGTAGGGAGTCCAACACTCATATAAATATTAGCCTATCCATTAAGTAGGTACATGTATTTTCTACATGGATACAAAGTTTCAAGTCAATCGGATGCATGTTTCAGTAGTTATAACGGAAAATCCGTAAAAACCATTGTAGATTTATATATTAGTATAGAAGTATAGATATGTTGATTTTTTTTTATGGCAATTTCATTTCCCTTCAAATTACAACTTTTCATTTTATATGTATTCAGTATTAGTTTTAATACAAAACGAATCGAATATGTACTAAAGCATTTTTACCATACCAAATTTGTGCTATGTAAGCTTTCCCATACGCTGGCTTACGCAATCTATCAAATTGGAGAAATATCACCTATGCAAAAGATCATGATGTGACGCTTAAAGTACCTTCTACAAGCGGGTTATAAAAAAAAAGGAAATATTGAAATAAGAGCTTTATTTTTGTATATAAAAATAAATCTAATAGCTTCTATTACGTAGTACTTTCAACAGCCTTTCTGAAACAAGAAACATTACATTTATAATATTAATCATGCGTTTGGGCCGCAGCCTGGATGGTTTAGATTCACAAACCAGCCTGGCAGATGGCGCTGCAGTCTGTATTTAAAATATTGAATTTTTGCAAGACGTCTGTCGGGTCCGTTAGTAATAAAGATAGCATGTTGTGGTTGTTATAACCGATTGGCCATGGCAACAACGCATCGGCAGTTTTGTTTCCACGTCGATGTGCGCCTCGCTGACGGGACGCGCTGCATTAGCATTGCACGCCCACGCAGTCAGTGAGACGACTTTCATTCGTCAGCTTGCTTGCTGACATTCAAAGTTTTTTTTTAAATTTACGCTGTTTTGGGATGTTATATGCGATTTGAGACATGTGGATACATTCAATTACTTAGTAGCAGAAATATTATAATTTCCAAGATCAAGATTTAGGCCAAAATTTAAAGAACCTTACCTTTCTCAAGATTAATCTACAGAGCACGACATAATGTTGTTCTGCAAAAGAAAATATATTTGTAAGTGAGTTGTTCTGCTAATTTAATTTTGTTTGCATTTAGAATATTGAGATCAGACGCTAATGGTTGGTCAACATGGTTGATATTGGGTTCGCTCTGTTGAGGGAGACCTGAAGTGGTCGGTCATCATTTCAAGTATATAAAAAAATACTATATTTACTTCAATACATGTAATATATATGAACAGTATTTTCATTGTAACATTGGTGATGTTTTACAGCTTTTGTAACAATTTAATATAGATTGGACGTTTTTTATTTATTTATAGCAATAAGTTAATGTATAATAGATCAAACAGTTTCATCTTCAATTGGTTCTTTAAAAGCGCTTTTGTTGTACGTGATAATAGTTAATTTCCATTAGAATCCATATTATACATACCTTGATCTAAAATATTTTCAGACCAGTTAAGAAGTAGCAGACAGATTTTTCTGTAATGTAAAAAATATTATTGTACTACTATATGTATTATATTCTCAATTTATATTGTTTTTATTTTATTGTGGATCAGACGCTAATGGTTGGTCAACATGGTTGATATTGGGTTCTCTCTGTTGAGGGAGACCTGAAGTGGTCGGGTCATCATGTCCAAAGTTGAATAATCTTATAAGACTGTAGTCTGAAGTTACTGCTGAATAACTGGGTTTTTACAGCTATATCATCTTCACAGTATTACAACCACACAAATGGGTTCAGGAAAAGTTAATAGTACAATTTGCTACTAAATGTAACCATTCAAAAAATACTGTAACTGGATAGGCACCATAGTAACCAAAAGAAATATACTAAATCTAAATTAATGTCAAATAGTTACTTACTTATCTTGAAGTACAATTTTTGTCTTTTTATTTGCTTTTTTCCTGAAACAAATTACAAATAAATAAATAATTTGTTGTTTGTGAAGTTTAATTTTATAAGATGTGAACTTATGATCAGACGCTAATATTTTGGTCAACATGATTGATATTGGGTTCACTCTGTTGAGGGAGACCTGAAGTGGTCGGTCATCATTTCAAGACACGAGTTGATGAAGGGGTTAAGTACAATTTATTAGATTTTTGAGTTTTTACATTGAATAATGTGCCTATAAACCATATTAGACCTTAAAGCTGCACATTTAAAGGCTATTACAAGGAAATTGCACATGATGAAGGAGTTGTGTATGAAGATTAAATTACAAGTAACAAGTTTGTTGCCAGTTTTCTCAAAATTAACAAATTGTATCATAAATCCCCTTTATCCACTCATGTCTTCAATTATTACTAGAATATTTCTAGTATGAATAATTCTCAATTCTTACCTTAATGCTGCAATGTTGTTATTGTCCCTTGTTAAACTGTGTCTTAGCTATAACAGAAAAAAAATCTCAATTATGAATTAATTTTAAATATCACAATATCATTTTTGACTTTGTTATAATAATCAGTGAAGATAGTTATGTTAACAGCATTATAACATCAGATGTCCCTATCTGAAATCATCATTTAAAATTGCTATTAGAGAATTCTTTATTTCAAAGGGATATTGTATTTCAAAATACACAAAGGCTTTTTAAAGTATATTTTGCATTCATAAGCAATTAATCTATATGCTTACTAGGTTTTGTATATTATTATTACAACATTATTACTTAATTTACTGAATCTTTGGTAAATGTTGATGTTGAAATTTTGAAGTTTCCGATAAATTGTTTTGTATTATTTATTATGTTGCACAAAAATTTCAAACTTACTTGTAAAATGATATCCTTTTGTTTTGAAAACATAAAAAAATTGATAATGATGATCTACCTGAAACAGAGGGGGTAACAGACATTTTTTGTTTGCTCTCAACATCCTATATTACAGAAATATATTATAAAAGTCAGTGTGGATAGTTATGTTAACATCATTATCAAATATACAGATGTCCCTATCTGAAATCATCATTTTAGATATGAAATAATCTTAACAAAAGTTACAATGAGAAAGTCGAATCAAAAATATTATTATTAATCTTGCAATAATAAATCACAACTAACTTTATGATGCAACAAATAGCATCAAACTAGCGAATATAAAATTTTGTAAGTTTGGATTAAGAGAACTGAACATATTTCTAAGGTATTGAAGATATTGAATATCTTGAATGGATTAAACCTATATTGAATGGTACGACATTTAATTATATAGGAAATTACCCTCATTATATCAACTAAGATAGTCAGTACTGGAAACAGATAACTGGTCACCAATAAAAAAGGAATTTAGGCACTTGTTAGCTTCAAGAATATCTATTATGTAAAATATGGTTAGCTCTTAGTTTATTTTTATTCTGAAGTAAAGTTGCCTTCAAACTTCATGGTTATGTAATGTGTTGCTTGCTTGCTCAGTGTTTTAAGTGTCCCTTTTCTTTACTGAGATCTGTTAACAAAAAAAACGCATGAAAATTACTATTCATGTTATCATTTTATAAATTACTTTACTTGTGTTTTAATATCAGATAGGAGCGAAAGACAATAATAGCTATACATCATAGTACTCAGATGAACTATGAAATCATCATAAATTAGTTTTTGAATTTAATTCACTCAAACAGTTTTAATAACTGATTTAGTTAACTCAATCTTGAATAGTAATTACTATTATTTGAAACTTCAAAACTAAGATAAACAACATAAATTGTATTTAGATGAATAATTCAGTTCAAATATTATCTGTTACTTACTTTATTGTGTCCCAGGCCCACAGGGATTCAGTTGTAACCTGGTTATAAGTTATTGTCAATTAATATATTTATCAATTGATTACAAGAATAGTTGTATGGCAATGATCAATCAGATAGGAGCGAAAGACAATACAGTAATACATCATAGCATTCAGATGAACTATGAAATCATCATTTAGAGAAAATAGCATAAAATTTTATGTTGATCATAGTTTTTTTTTGCAAGCCTCAAGTAATGAGCACAGGCAATGAGTAGTGATCTACAAACAGTGTTTGGTATTGACCTTCTTGGTTAGAAGGTCTATTTACACATTCTTGTAACATTTTAGTATAGACAAATATGACATTCTCACAAGTTGCTTGATCTAATACAATACTTTACAATTTTACAAGAAAACGAGTTGCTTACTTATCATAGTCCGTGTTTATTCAAATAAGTAATCTGCAACCAAAGAAAAAGATATGTTAAACTAAATGTAATCAATAATTCAAGGTATAATTTGCGTATTATTTTTTATCAGATTGCCTTAAAAGCATAGTTTCCATCCGACCTCATAGCAAGCCACCCTATGCTAAAATTTTTAAGAAAAAAAAAACATTAAAATACAAATTTTCATTACCATAATTAGAAATTAATTAAATTGAAATGCCAATTAGAGCCCTATTCTAAAATATAGCCAGCTACGAGTCAACCAGAGGTTTTCAGATGCACTGCGATAACATCATATGCTACATTAGATCAAGTTAAAAGGAGTCTATTTATAGTGTAAAATATTTGTAGCTTACCATTTCAATAAATCATTCAATGGAATTGCATGTTGTTTCAGTCTGCAAAAAGAGTAATAATGGTTAAAGCATTTAACAAACTCAATACTGTAATGGAATTTATATAAATATTCAGATAGAGCTAATAATACATGCAAATCATTATTTAATCAATGGTTAGCACTTTTCATCATTTAATATTTGTTGATTAGAATTAACAGGTGGAATAGATGGCACAAGATGTTTAGTGGTCACCATAACACAAAATAGATGAGATATAATACAATGTTAATGACACTGTCCACCTAAATAAGACTTTGGCATGAATTCTCAACCAATTGAAATATTTAATAAGGAAGACCTTACAAAGGTAGCCTGGTGATGTCCATAAGCAATTGTAAGCCTTCATGGCTTTGAAATTCAACTTCATTTGTAATTATGTTTGAGATTAATTCTTGAGAAAATCTTTGAGTTTGAGAAAATAAATGAGAAGTTCGTCTTACCATTTAAAGGTTTTTTTATATTTTCCTTGTACAAATATTCGCGGTACATCTATGCCTGCTTTAAAATTTACAGTCCTGCGCTGCACGTACGTGTTCGTGAGGATCATGAAACCAGCATTAGTGAAAAGTTTGAGTAGCTCTTCTTCCGTAAAATAATAGCTCCTGAAACCCAAATTATTTATTACTAAAGTACAACAAAAACTAATCTATTGATCTAAAATGATATAACTAAGTTCATATTTTAAGTTTAATAATCGTAAGACATTGTAAAGGGGATAAAATGTCCAGATTGATTACCTAGTTCCGTCTTGTCTCATGTAGAAATTGTCAGCAATTTTATGTCCAGGTTTAAAGCGTAACTGGGCCATGTCATACCTCCCATAATCTCTAAAGAGCAATACGCCCCCGGGTTTTAGAGCACGGTAAGCCAGCGCCGCCACGTGGGCCCAAGCAGCCGGCTGGATTGCAGATAGCACAAAAATCAAACTCGCGATGTCTATTGAATTCTCCTGGATGTTTTCGAATAAATCTTCTGTGGTTAAGTCAGCACAGAAAGCCTTCATGCGGTTTTTGTCGTACAAGCTGTTACGTTTGACAAATTCTACTGCACGTGGTGAAAAATCACACGCGTAAAAGAAGAAGTTTGTAAAGCCTTCTTCGACCAGCGGGAATATCATATTACCGACCCCGCAACCAAGCTCTAAGTAAACTATTTGCTGTTCAGGATCGAAGTTAATCAGTTCTTGAAACTCACGTGTAGTCCAATGCCGGTCCCGGAAGAATTTTGTTTCGTTTCTTTTGTAAAATAAATCCCAATGGCGTTTAGCATCTTTTTCCAATCTAGTCGCTTTGGCTTCGGGTACAAGACGTGTATTTTGATTTTGTAAGAGCTTTATTTCTTCTTGTGACAGTTCTTTCAGCCTGTGAACGAATGTGTCACTGCTGCTTGTTTCTTCAACATGCGCAGGAATATCGGTTTCCATCTTGATACGGTTTTTAATATATGTAACTTTATCGAGATTGTGCAATTAAATGAATTAAAAGTTTTAAAATACAGAGCTTATTTTTAACATTAATAGACAGACTTGCTCACGACATGCACTATTGGAATCATAATACAACTGAAAGAAAAAAAATTAAACCCAAAACCCATAGACTATACATGTTAAAACCCATAGATAAAATCAAGAGCATAGATTACCTAATTTAATAGTTCTTCTTTATCTTTATTTTTTGACTCTGGCATGGTTTGTGGATTAGGCAGGTACTTATTAACTCCATGGGCAGCGTCAAGTAATAAGATTTTTTTAGTTCGCCATTTTAATTATTTACAGTATATGAATAATAGTGGCGAATGAAAGGCGATTGCATGCAGCAGAGATGCGAATGTTGCGAGGGATGTGTGGAGTAACGAGAATGGATAGAATACGGAATGAATATGTTAGAGGAAGTCTGAAAGTGGCACCTGTGACAGAGAAGCTGAGGAGTGCGCGTTTGGGATGGTATGGACATGTGATGAGACGAAATGAAAATGAGGTTGGTGGAGGAGAGTGTTAACTATGAATGTGGAAGAAAACAGAGGAAGAGGTAGACCTAAGAAGAAATGGATAGATTGTGTGAAAGACGATATGGGTAAGAGGGGAATGAGCGAAGAAATGGTATATGATAGAAGAGTATGGAAGGAGAAAACATGTTGCGCCGACCCCAGGTGACTGGGTGAAGGGCAGGATAATGATGAATGATGACAGTATATGAATAATAAAAAACGAAGGAAGCCCAAATTAATCGACTGAGATGAAATTAAATGAATGAGATGAGATGATATGGCATGAAATAAAATCTCAGTAAAATAGTGGTTATTTACTGAGACTTTTCTGTGGACTTTTTAGAGGGTCCCGAGAAGCCACGTCCAGTGACTTTGTTTCATTTTCGCACATTTGTGCACTTTCATAAATATTAAACAGTTCATAAACCACCGTTATTACATATTTAAACCTGAAGAAACACTAAATGGACAAAATAAAACAATACACACAACATCGCTCTTCGCGTTCTCGCCAAAAAGTTCCTATTAGATTAGTCACATAAACGTAAACACAACTGCACGGTAATACTGCTGAAGAATAATCGATGTTTCAAATTGTTGATTTCATGTTGGACATGACAATTTTTTTTATATTTTTGCAACAAATTTTCCTTAGTTCTTTATCGTAATATGGAAATCGAGCTTCTATACTTTTATTTCATTTTTTAATTGCCACTTCTCCTAACGTATTTATTTGCTAATAAAAAAATGTTAGGTTGTTTGGAAATACATAGTCCAGTAATTAAAAACATATATGTTTTAATTTAAAGTTAATTTATGTGCAAGGCAAACTAAAACGTAACGAAATAATCACAACAAAATCTCTGATTTTAGAAATTTCTTGAAATAATTCAGTTGGAAAAATCGATATGTTGGAAATCATGGCCGTTTTTCAATTACAGCACAAGAGCGCATTATGCCGCTTAATGCGCCCATGTGCTGTAATTGGAAAACGTCCCATTACTTTTATAAAGTCAGCACTTTCCCATAACATAACTTACAATTTGTTTAATTTGGTTTGTCTATTGCATAGGCAAAAGAAACAAAGCCCATATTGCCAATTGTTTTGGAACAAAGGCTAAATTAATTATTGTACGAATAGTGAAATGTAACAAAAATTCCGAGCGTAGCTAGAAGAGCAGCTTCAGCGAATAAGTAGGGGAAAAAACAAAAAAATAAATAATAATAATTGTGAAATTAAATCGATGGAAGTGGAGTTAAATTAAATCAGCCATGTTCACAATTTTGTACAATTTCTCCACACTTCTGCAAATTCATACGAAATTAATATTAAAGGGTTATTAAGCTAAAATAATTTACAAAACTTTACTGCTCGCTTTCCCTCGTAAAACTCTATACTAAAATCAATAGAAAATGGTCACGTGTTCTACTTACATCTCTACTGCCTTGTGTTTTTATCTTTTATATTATATTCGCAAAGACTTTTAGTCTTCATGTTCGTCATTGCGCCGATGTTTGCCCACTATGTACCCATTTTCGATTCTTACTACACGTGATCTAGTACTACTTCTTGTTTTGGTCTCTTTATCGAGCGTTGAAATTTTTGATCGAGTTTTCCACTGAGTTAAGACTTAGTGCAATGTAATTAAAATTTATTCATAATAATTGTTTATTTACGTAATTATATCCTGTCGCCAGTCTGTTATTTTCATATTTGAAAAGAGTCATTAAGAAATTTAATAGCCACGTAACTGCTGCTAACGATCTGTGCAGTTTACGACTGAATGAGCGGATGATCCTGTGTGAACAAACGCTTCCATTTTTGTGTACTGGCAATAAAGCACGTGCTGTATTCATACCGTATGTACATTAGTTCGAGGTAGTTGTTGATAGTTTATCGCTATAGATGGGCAGAGGAAGTACCATACGTTATTATGTGGTCACTATAGCCCAGACGATGATATCACAATGTGCACGCTATCAACCTCCATGAGATATAAGGTCGAATAGTCATATCGTTTGACGGCTGTTGCAATTCAAACCAGAAGGCAAAGTGGAATTGTGGCTGAAATAGACGTAGACGGTTTGGCTCAAAATACTGATATCATACACAGATACTATACCTACAGATAATACAGATGCCATAGCTTATAAATAAATCGTGCTCCCCAGCTTACTGGCGGTAATCGAAACTGTACAACAGTTCGGCGGCATATGGGGACTTGGAAGTTTAAGGGATGAACGATTCTATCTTAAGTAGACGGTGCCTAAGTGATTTATTGTTTTCTAAAAGTGAATTTCCCTGAGACATATTAACCTTTACTCTAATAGACTAGATCTCATCCTTTAGAGCTTTCACGTGTGGTCACCGTTGCGAACACAAGAATTATTCTAAATGCGATGTAAGATGAGAATTATAAAGGTTTTTTGATTTTTTATTGCTCTTGTAGGCAGATTTACTGATGGTAGGACATCTTGAGTCCGCATGGCTAGGCACCACCACCCTGCCTATTTCTACTGTGGAGCAGTAATGCGTTTCGGTTTGAAGGATGGGGCAGCCGAGGTACTGTTAAAACTGAGACTTAGAATTTATGTCTCTAGGTAGGTGGCGGCATTTACGTCTTAGTTGTCTATGGGCTCCGGTAACCACTTAACACCAGGTAGGTCGTGAGCAAAAAAAAAGATGGGCGCCGCAACTGGTGGTGAAGGGTTACCATTGCTAATGGACGTCAGCAATGCTGGGCGATAGTCAAACCACTGCTAAGCGCCGTGTACTCTTCGCAAACCTCGTTCGAACCTCGTCGAAGAAAGACACATCATAACTCTCTAGAAAAACCGAGTGAATGATGAACTTTCCATATAGCCTTATATTAAAGCCGGGTGACATGTCCCAGAAAATATGCCTGGAAAGGCATTGTGGATGAACGCAGCGGTTCTATGTAGTGTGGATGAATGGATCACAGGTGAATGAAGTAGAAATATATGCATAATCACGAAAATAGGGGGGTTATCATCGTGTATGATCCTGTGAGTTGATTTGTAAAGTATTTTCTGTTGAAATGACGAGTTATTGTTTGTTTAATGAAGGCAGTCTGTGTTTATTAAACACATCGTCGTCTGTTCACATATTGTCGACACATAACGACTAACAATCCGTCAACTTAACTAGCAGGTGATGTGCACGTGTGCAAATCTAATGTAATAGTTAGGCACATTACATATAAGAGTACTATTTCCCTACTATTTATGCATTGGACAGTCAGAAAGCAAGTGCATAAAATATGTAGATATTTGTAATCACTAGTTGTCCTGACTGGTAAATATATTGATGAACTCAGAACCTAATTCGCTGGGGCTACAAACTTGTCCTTTTAGTAATAGAAAGGAAATTTGAAAATATCGAACCACTAAGCGCGAATTTTGGTCAACAAGGTTCTGGTTAGATATAATTCTACTAGAAAGAAGAATGTTATGACTACTACACAATATATGTATTAATGTAATGTAATGTTTTCTTTACTTTACTCTCAGCACTATCCTGACGCATGCATGCTCTAGCCTGGGTGGGTCATTTGTTATGCTATTTCTTTTCATAATTTATGTATTTATTCGTGCAGTACTCGGAAAAAAACCAAGCTCTGCGTTTTTGACGTTTCCTGCATAGGTGAGTCCGCATAAGTGCTAGAACCTTGCTCTTTCTACTCATAAATATTGGCGCGTTTTGTATGCAGGATGACCACATTGTAGTTGTCTCGCCTCTCGGGTTAATCCTCTAAGGTCAATCCTTCAAGCCTTTAATATGAACTGAGCTATGAGTCCATGAGTACACATATTGAAAAAGATGTAAAGAGGCGAAAGAGAAGCAGTTGTTCTGGAAGGTTCGGTTTTTGGCAAATTTATTCTATTCTAAGATCGTACCGCGCTACATTACTCTTCGCCGGGATAGGAAGTCGTGCCCAAAGGCGTCTCTAGCCCACGTAGAGCCACTGTGTGACCATTACCTTAGCACCCTCTACTAAAGGTTAAAGTAACATGACCAACGCATACCTTGCACCATAGGTAAAGCCGCCTCTGGTCGTGTTAGTAAGTACGAGAAAGTTAGCAATGTCTGCTACGAACTGTATTTTAAGGCTGCAATGCTGGTTTGCTGTGATTTGACTGCTGTAGATAGCTTCTGTTGAACTGCGAGGGTGTGGGAGCTGTAGTACATGACGCTAATGACGCGCTGATGACGTAAGAGTGAGACTCTCTTTTTAGTGGTTTACAGAGGACTCCTGAAGTTTTGGAAACAAACTCGTATTTACTATGAAATGAATTCGTTACTTTACGTTTTTCGAAAGATCGCAAGATACACTCCAACGGTGGCTTGCAGGGGCCTTGGAACACTGGAATTGTGGCGTGATGATTAACGGGATCTTCATTGTTGTGAATCCGCAAACTTGAAACATAAAATTATTTATGTATTTGGAGAGCCGTCCACGGAATCGTTATATTTCTATATCGTTGTGAATAAAATGTTATTAAAATCTACTCACCGAATAAACAGTATGCGAAAACTAAATAACCGTATCGTTTGTAACCAGGTACTGACGGTGACACGTTTGTCCTTGTTGTAATCATAATACTGC